CCATAACTCTGCCGAGGTAATAAAAAAAAACAAAAAATACAACAAACACTTAACAATAATAAAGGGGGGGGGGGTTGTTTTGGGGGGGGGGGGGGGGTTGGGGGGGGGGGGGGGGGGGGGTGGGGGGGGTGGTGGGAGCAGTCTTGGTGGGAGCAGGAGTCTTGGCGGAGGGAGAGGGTTGGGTATTGGATCGTGAGTGGGATGGTTTGGGAGGTGTAGTTTAGTTTGGGTTTGATGTGGTGTTTTGGATGATTGCGGTGTTGTCTAGCTGGGATGAAAGGATTTGGGGGATGACTGGGGTTGTACGATGATATGCAATTTTGGGAATATTATGTCGGGCGGATGAGTGTTGGATAAAGGTATCGGGTACGATGGTATGCTAGATCACGACAGATCATCTTCGACGCATGTACTTGGGCTACTTGACTATGTAGAGATTGATATGTAGGACTAGGCAGAGACGCTATAGTATAAGAGTTCTGCCATGTATTTGATTCCACTATAATCACCTTACATCTTATCGCTTCATCTCCTATGAGATGTTCCTGCGCTATGATGTCAACGCGCGTCTCGTGCCGGCCGAAAGTGCTTGCTGGCTTGGAGTGGCGTGATGAAACAAGCTTGCGACGACAGCTCATATCCGCAGTCACGAACCACTAGCATAGCCTCATTCTCATTATTCTTCCATTGCGTTACAATCTGCGCCTTCTTTATATAATACGACACCAACAGTTTACCCTCACGAAGTCCAGAGAAGACAGTCGAGAATCATTCAAAGCAATCTACGCAGCACAGCATAGTAAGTTCGATGCAATGACACTGTCGCTCATGAAGCTCATAACACCTGCTGACACCGAATGGCAGACCTCAGTGAAAATGTGCCAACACAACGACACCACCGCGCCCATTTTGGCGGCCAAGCCCATCAAGCTCGTCAAGCCAGGCCAACCGAGACCAGTAAGTACACATACGCCTACTGTGGGAAGGGCCCAACCATTTCTCGCCTCCTGCTAACGAAAGCCATAGTGCATTGATATTCCCTGCGGGCCCAACTGGTAAGAAATCACTCCTTCCGTCTCGGTTGTGATAGCCCGCTAATCAAATTCCCAGCGACTGTGAATTGTAAGAACGACTGTCAGGATCGGGTCTGATAGCTTGCTGACGTTCTTCACAGCTGCTGCATCCCTTGTACTGTGATGTGAGCGGCCCCAGGACGGAGCAGTCAATGTGACCTGAAGCGTAGCGGTTTGTGCGGGACCTGGATTATGTTGGGAGAAACCTAGCAACACGAGGGCGGACGGACGTGCACAGAGATAGTGCATTTTGGGCATGCCATGCCACTCAGATATCTAGCTCGAAGATGTCCGGCCTTCTGAATAATCCATCAGGTACATGGCACTTGTTTCAATCAATCTCGCCGTGTGCGTTATACTGCTTATGGCCTCAGTAAAACCACCCTTGCATTGGCATGACCACGGCAAATCTCTCATATCGTATGATGCATGCTTCGGTTATGCCTGCTACAAGTCAATGTACTCCAGTGATGGGATTAGTGTCCCACCAGTAGGATCGAGATTGTGATGACTTCGCATCCTGCTCAAGCCAACAAGAGTGGCGACGATCAAAACCTAACTATGTCGCAGGAGAGCATGCCCCGACGAGGTCTATACGCAACCGCTCCGTACTGCTCGAGACCGCAGAGATATGCTCGTGCTCCGCCCGCCACGGTTTTGCTTGTCATATCATGCAGTGAGAAAGTAGCAAAGGCGAGAAAGAACTTGAAGACCGTGTCACAGGCTTTTGAGCTTTGAATTGCTGGCAAGGATACCGATCTTCATGGGCGTGCAAGCAACGACACTCTGGACAGCAGCGTCATATCATGCCTCACTTCGAGCGCCCACCACCGATATCCTGTCCTAATCTATACCCACCAATCTTCTCCCATTCCACTTTTTGTCGTGTCACCGGCAGCTGCCTTCTCAAACCCTTGAAGCTGCCCTCTGCTAATGTCGTGAACGCCCTGTTCAGCTCCTCCTGGAACTTATTCTCCGCCTTTGCAATCTCCCTTACTATTCCATCCGCGCTACTGCTGCTGAGCTCAACCTTTCGGCTTGTGCTCATCCTCACGTTACCGTCTTCGTAGTAGTGCACGTCCACCTTGATTGAGCCAGTGACGCTGTTGTTGGAGGGAGTGAGGTGGTATGTAGAGCGCCATCGGCCGTTCCAGAAGTTCTGAGGTGAGTATTTGTTCGCTACGAGGAGGATGGCGATGCTTGAGTTGGAGTCGTTGGGGTATATGCCGATTGTGGAGGACGGGAAGTGCTCGGATGCTGCTGCAGAGAAGGATTTCTGTAGTGATTTGATGGTGTCGGCGTGTGGTGATTCTAGTGGATGCGATTGCGCTCCTGAAGCGGTCTATGCAGACGTCAGCTCATAGATACGTAAGCTAGTAATGGTGACTGTACTTGTGCAGCATGATCGACTTCAAAGGACGTCTGGTTCGCTGTGTCGAAGTATCTTCCGCTTCCCAACGAGTTGTATGGGCTGATTAGGACCTGACACTATCAGTCGAAGCTGTGTACCAGCTGGGTGGTGCTCGTACCGCCTCGCTACTGCCAGGGATCTTGATCGTAGCATATTGCTCTTCGTTGTACTTCTGGAATGCTGGGCCTAACGACGAGACCTCATTCGGGGACAATGCTTTGATGTCTATGGAGCGGGCTCAGTGACTGTACTTTTGATCGGTTGGCAGGACATATCCATACCTGCGACAACATTCGAGAGCTATACCAATTAGCTTGGGGTTCATGATCTTGACGTTGGGCTGATCCTACCAACCTCTCCCGGGGGTGCTGCCTCGACAAATGAAGCTACTGTGCTGGACTTGGAGCTCATATTGACGTCCTGGTCGTGCTCTGACCTATAACTCACGGTATTAAATAGCAGCAAGAACGAGGGCAGCGAGGTCGTGAGCATATTTCGGAGTATATGTTTCCCCGCTCCGGGACATGGTCTGCCTCGACGGGGATGACTTGACTTCACTTGCTCAAACATCACGACACTCCACCACATCCTTTGCTTATCCAGCGTGGTCAGCATTCAACATGCCGGCGTGGAAAGGGTGGGACGAGGCGGGTGTTCGGCAACCAATGCCACAAAGTTCAGGTTTCACGCCGATCAACGCGCCTGCTCCAACAGCAAGCGTGCCTGGAGGCATAGTACGTGATACAACTCAACAGACCCCGACGATAAGGAACGTCGAGGCCGTCAGCTCGGCTGCCGGGCGAACGGCCGATGCTCCAGGTGGAGAGAAAACGACCAAAAAGACCAGAAAGCGAGCAAGCACTGACACAAAAGCGACAACCTCGAAACGGCAGAAGACTGACGGACACATTGATGACACTCCTACTCTAGCAGAGGATGCTCCAGTCAAAGTACTGAAGGAGGTAGCCAAAGCTTCAAAGCCGTCGTCTTCTCGTTCAAAGCAAGTGGCAAGTACCAAGACCAAGCGCAATAAAGGAGCCCCCGAAGGTTCGGGCAGCAATGCCACAGCACAGATGCAGCCAGACATCTCGCAGCTTGGTTATGCTCCTGCAACGTCGATGGAAAAAGTCCAGCAATCGGCACCACTGACGTCCATGAACGTACTATCAGCTGCTCAGGGGTATGGCACAACTCTTTACGACAGTCACTTTGGAACAAACACGCCGCTCGAGGGTCTCGACATGCCTCGGCTATTTCTCACGCCACGTACACATCGAAGAAACAGCAAGAAGACTGCTTGTGCACCAAGACTATCACCAGCCGAGGAAGAAGACGGGCTCGATTTGCTGTTTGAGCAGATAACAACAGAATTTGACAGTGGAGCTCTTGCAGTCGACAAGGCATACGCGGTTGCTATCCCGGTCGTTAACTCTACACAACTGCCAACGCCGTGCAATTCGGATGAGCCCGCACCAACTAGCACTCGCAGACAGCCTGCCCGCAAGGTCAAGAAGCTAGCTCAGGATGAGATACAGACAGAGGAAGACTTCTTCAACAGCCACGCGTCGGACGAGGAGGGACCGGACATTGATCATATTCCTCCCCCAAGAAGCCCAGCACCACCATCTCGCGATCGCAAGCACAATGCGCGAGAAGTCGAGCACGACGAAGATTACGGAGGCGCACTACTGACCGATGCTGAGAAGAAGATCCTTCATGAGTTGAAAGTGGCGCAGCAGAATTCCGCGAAGACGATCGTCCGAAAGCCATTTCCCAAGCCTGTGCTCGACCGCTCACCGATCTTCGGCGCCTCAAATAGTGCTCTCCTGCGTACTTGCTTCCGCGTGGGCGAGGCTTTGAACGTGGGCTGCCAAGCTGTGCGGGAGAATAAGACGGTCCTACTGGAGCTCTACGCACGCGTCATGCAGTCGTGGCGTGAAGAAAAGCCAGGACGCCACCAGCACTTTGTCTTACACGATCTATACCACGATAACCCTCCTCATGTGAACGGGACGTTTGACTTGTGGGACCAAAGTCGGCTGTGGGAGCTTGATAGCAAGGCTTTCCTTGTCGGAAGGTCCGAGGGCATCATGTGTCGGCTGATAGGGAGGATGAAGCCTGATGGGCAGAAATGGAAGCTTGAGATCCTAAGTATTTGGGAGGCGACGTGGGAGGATGTCGAGAGCGTTGCCGGCATCTGTGCGAGGCCTGGCGGGGAGCCGTGGTTAAATGAGGCTGAATGAAGGCTACGACGCGAGAGTATCAATCTGATGTGATGTGGCCATTTCACGGTACATGGCGATGTATGGTGTGCTACACTGGCAAAATAACTTATGGCCACATGATTTAATGTGGTGGTATAATTGGCTTGTCCAACCTCGGACATGCTTCCGCAGCAATGTGGGGAGCTCCACGCGCGCATGTAGAGGCGTTGATATTAATGTCGCGGTAGACTTTCTGCAGTGATCAATTCACGGTTATACATATGTGCTGTGGCACTCATCAACATTCCACTGCCTTCTCCCGATGATCAATAGCTTGAGGCACAGTGCAATGACTAGTAGTCAGGTCGCATAGCGCAGGCTCAAGGCGATGAGCCAAGGAGCGACACTGTAATGAACACGATCCAGCAACGACAATCGCAATGGACAAAATCATGGCAAGCGCAAATGACTCCGTATCGCCTCTGGAAGGCGGTACGGCGAGTACACCTTCCAAGTCCCGATCACTATCAGACCCTCCTGCTCAAGCACCACTCCAACCATCACCAACATTCCGCGAACGAGCCCGGCAGGGTAGTAAAGACGACCATGCCGTACCCACGACTCCCGCCAGCAAGCTCTCACTGTCTGGCATTCGTCGTCCCGACTTCCTCGCTCGAGGTTTGAGCCTACAGATGCCGGCTAGGCTTGATATGCCCTCACCCGCACACTTCCAACGACCCGCTGTACCACTCAGCCCAAAGCTGGACGAGAAGGATATATACATGCAGAGCGAGAAGTTGAATGCTAGTCCTGCTACGAGCTTACCGCGACATTCACGTGGTTTGGATTTCTCGAGAGCCAGCACGAATTTGCATCATTCGACCGTGGCTGAGGTGAATAGTCCGGACTCTTCTCCTGTCATCACTCATAAAGGAGTCCCGATTCCGCTGAGGAAGAGGAGTATGAGTAGTATGATGCTGGACTCGCCGGGAGTAAGTGGACTGGGTAGTGCACCGTGGAGTTCACTCGCGCTTGGACGAAGCACAGTCAGCAGTTCAGTTGGAAGCGTTAACATGATGGCATCGGAAAGTGAGAGCTCGGACAGTGATGGAGACGCGAGTATGGGGGGCGAGGACCAGGAAGATAGTATCTTCACAACACCGCAGGTGCATAAGATCCAGAACCCAACGGCGCCTACACCTTTTACTGGTCCTCTCACACCCAGCGGGAGTGCGACGTGGGGTACCGGTAGCAACTTTTCGCCTGCTCAGTCTTCTTTGATGAAGACCATACGGAGGACGAGATTGAACAAGACCGGGAAGAAGAGTAGGAAGAGCTCGAGCAGTGCGAGTAATAGTGGTTACAGCTCGATAGCTTCACCTCGAGCGACTTCTCCACCGCCGATGAGGAGTATTGAGGGTAGTGGGTATAACGGTGGATACTTTCCTTGGCAGGCGAATGCTGCGAGAAGTAGAAGGGAGAGTTTGGCGCTGGGCACTGATGGGTTGCAGTTGAGTAGTGGAAACGACAGTGGAGATGAGGCTTCACTTACGGCGCCGAGTACGCCAGGTGTTATCCGGCGCGCGGTGACAAGACGAGGAAATCTGCTACCGAAGACGAAAGGATTCGCTAGGATCAGAGCTGCATTGTTGGAAGAAGCTGCACCAGTGGATACAGAAATCAGACGGGAGAGCGAGACAATCAAGCAAGTTCGCGAACGTGATAATAGCATCCCCGACCTTGATCTCGCACATGACGTACGACCAGGCACAGGCACAGCCGCCTCGAGTCCCACCATGCTACCAGCCGTACCCGAAAGCGCGCAAGAAGACTTCGGCCAAGACCTAGACAGCGATCTACCCACTGCAGGCAGAGGCCTCGGCATGAACTTCGCCACGCACGCCTCGCGCAATGGAGGTGGTCTGAACTACTGGAACCGCTTTGACCCTTCAATGCGCACCCCGCCTCCTCCAGCCTTCCGCCATCAAAGCAGCAGTGCAATGTCAGACATCAACATGGACTCTCCCGCGCCCGCTGTTTCAAACAATCCGAACGATATCTTCTGGCGCCGTCCACGAGCTAGGAGCTCGGCGAGCGATGCCTCGGATGCCTTCCCCTTGCCCAGCAGTAGTGCGCTAAACGGCACTACCACCAACCATACGATGAACGACGATGTTGTGCTGAGGAAATTCAAACGCAGAAGGGAAGACGATTCGGATATTGCAACTATTAAACGACGGGCTGTTTCGCCGGGCTTGAGTGCGCAGAACAGTCCTGTGCTTACGCATTCGCCTTCGCAGAGGGCTAGTGGGGATCTCTGGGGTCAGCCGCCGGAGAGGAAGGCAGGTGGGCAGGGCTCTTCGGAGTCGAGCTCGCAGCAGTCTCAGCAGCAGCAGCAGCAGCAGATCTCGAATGTGAGGTCGAATAATGGTGGGGCTGCGGCCGGTGTGGCCGGTGCGAATGTGCTGCCGGCGCAGGGGAGGAAGTTGGGGATGCAGGGGATGGTTGATACGAACGATGGGTTGATGAAGATGAGTATTGAGTAGGACCTCATGATTGATGCTCCGTTGATTTATGGTGGGTATTTATCCATTGTGTTTTGCTTTAGCGAGGCGTTGGTGGCATATACTCATGATATCACGAAGACTTATGATTCTCGTCCTTCTAGCAGTTGCTGTGCACGTCCTGCGGCGTTATTCTGTGGTGGATGGGCTTGTCGTGAGACATCTCTCCTGATGGCCCAGACTCGTTGTGTGACTCGCCTCCCAAACTTCTTCGTAAGCTGCGTACTGTAGCAGAATCTTATCGACCCTTCTTTATAAGGTGGACTGCTGTTACGGTGGTAGGAATGTCATCGCCAACATCCAGACGTCAATCGGGTCCGGGTGGAGCGGAAAGTTTGCTCCACTTCAGGTTCTTGAGCTGGGGAGCCAGATTGTGATCATGATAGAGGTTCTGTAACTCACGACCTTGAAAAGATCGCAAGACCGATGTGAAAGGAATTCATCGACACCGAGCATCTCGTCCTAAACTACGACGTCCGAAGAGAGTCTGGTAGTTGTTGCCTGTTTGAGTCAAGCACAAAACTACCCTGAGGCAGCAGTTGACTATTGTTGGTGAATATGGCCATGTTTCGTGATGTACGCTCGTAATATCGAATGAGAAAAGCTCATTGCTGATTCATCACAGAAGAAGCCATTTACGGCTGTGACGGTCCAGATCGACCGTCTCACAAGCGAGCAGTACGAAGAGGACGATGTCGGTGGCATTATCGATCTGGTCGAAGTCATACGTATACAGTCATCCGGACCGACCGAAGCTGCGAGAGCGCTGAGGAAGAAGCTGTGAGTAATGTCAATCAGTCGCCGTGAGCACATTACTGACTCGACCCAGCAAGTACGGCAGTCCACACAGGCAAATCAGAGCTCTAGTTATCCTGGATGGACTCATACAGAACGCCGGTTCCCGCTTCCAACGGGCTTTTGCGGATGAGGCCCTATTGGAGCGACTACGTCTCATGCCACGGGAAGACACTGTGGACCCACTCGTCCGCAAGAAATGCCAAGCCTTTTACATACAGTGGGCAAACGCCTACAAAGGGACTCCTGGACTTGAGAACATCGCCAGTCTATACAAAGAGCTCCCAAAGACGCAGCGTCCGGTAGCCGCTAGGCAGAAGGTGCTCCGCGATACTGAACCTCATGACTCGGATGGAGAGTCGCCGTTCGATGCTCTTGAGCCATCAGCTGCATCTGTACGACGTAGTCATGCCTCCGCTGCTCCTCGGCCGCTTGTAGCAAGCGCTGTCAATGCCCCTTCTCGACCTGTCACACTCACACCTACGCACTCCAGTTTCAGCGCCAAGCTAACCAAGGGCAAAAACAAGTTCAGCCATGGAGGGCAGAACAAGAGCTTCAACCTGGCGCGGGAAAAGGAGAACATGACCAACTGCATTGCACGTTCCTCGATCGCATCCACAAACCTACTCAACGGCTTGCAACTGGTCAATCGTGAGAACGAGCGAGTCTCCGAGAACAAAGAAGTCGTCAACCGCTTCGAAACTTGCAAGACCCTTCGTCGTCAGATCTTGCTGTATATCCAGCAGGTAGAGTCTGACGAGTGGATCGGAAGTCTAGTCAACGCCAACGATGAGCTCGTCAAAGCTTTGACCGCATACGAGATCATGGATCGGAGCATTGACGAAGATAGCGACAGTGAAGTGGAAGCTGCGGTGGCGAAGCACACCAGGAACGTCTCGGCAGATACGCAACAGCAGCTGGCAGGGCTGAGACTCGATGATGGAGCGGCTGCACCAGTCAAGCCTCCGCGGCCTACAGCTGCTCCTGCTGCACCTCCCGCGAATATAGCTATGCCACCGAAGCCTAGTTTTGCACAACCTGTCGCAGCAGATGAGGAGGAGGACGACGATCCGTTCGGAGATGATAATGCGGCACCAACGCCTGCTCAGGAGAGACCTGGAATGACTTGGAGAGAAGTGTAGATTAGCTGCATATGATCTGGTGCTTACGAAGTCATGATTTTCATACGAGTGTAGCTTTACACGAACCATGATTCTGTTAGGTCGACATGACCATTTGACAGTGGAGCTGAAGCCTGGTGATAAGTATTGGCAAATGCTGGAGGCATCGGAGAGAGCATGTCCCACTTCCAAGCTCTCGGCCGACCTCGGCCGAGCTGACAGGTCGCATTGTCACTTTCGCTTTCTCAGCTGCCTCTCGTCTTTGCTCTTTCGCCTTGTCAACCATCAACCACACCACGACAACGATGTCCGACTAAGATCGAGCTACCAAGCAAGACGATGGCTTCATCAGAATATGGCGGCCATATTCTTGACGCGTGAAAGGTCTGCACTACTGCTCGAAAGCACACGTTTCTCCTACAATATCAGACTCAACTACCCGTGAGATCCTGCTCACATCATATGGCTGTTCATCGGCTGGCATTGGCTAGCATCAATTCGAGCGTCTGTTTGCGGCAAGGTCCAGCCTTGTGCTCGTTTCCCGGCATATTTTCGGTTACGCTCGACGTCATATTCCAGTGCCACAGCAGTCAGGCTATCATCCGGTAACAGTTCTGGAAGTGGGTTGGAATACCTGCTCGTCGGTTGGCCAGTCTACTGGAAGATCTCCCTTGAGTCCCATATCGTTACATATCGCCTCGGGAGGCCTTGTTAGGAGATCGCCGTATGTACGGGGTATTCGATCGCCACCTGAAGATTCTGTCGACTGGTGCGCTCTGGATCATTCCTCGCTCGATATCAGAATCGGGATGTATGGATCCTGGCTGCCAGAAGCCCGATTCCTCCCAATGTAGCGGTTCTACACCTGCCCAACCACAGAAGCGCATATGCTTTAACATACTATTCCAGCTCTTGGAAGTCAGGCTCGTGAGCCGCGTCCACTCGCGCAAGTGAGCTATATCGAGCTCTTCAATGGACCATATTGGTGTCCAGCCTGGTAACCATGGATCCCGACCAGCCTGGTGATCCTCGAGCATCTCGAAGTAGTTGCCGCGATGTTCTTAATGGCCGCCTCGGCGGAGAGACACTCGGCAACAAGGACGTCACGAGCTTCTATCATGAAAGATCTAAAGTCGCCACCATTGTTCAATGCCTCGAAAAGAGGACGTATAGATGCTGGCATCATCGAGCCATCTTGGTCACGAGCTCCGGCTTGCGGCGCCTCAGTCTGTGGTATCCCTTCTTGCTTCGCCTTGTTTCTCTCAGCTTCCTCCTCAATAGGATCATTCTCCTCATGTTTGGGACCTGCCACTCCGAAGTGAGGCTTCTCAGCTGAGGGTGTGTCGAGTGGCGGCTGTTCGCCATCAACAAGTTTCTGGACTAGTGGCTCAAACTCCTGCCCGCTTGGTTTCGTGGACTGTTCCTCGGGTCCAGAAATCCCGAAAAGCAAGCTATGCAGATTTTCGTCGTTCAAACGCCCAGCTGTGTCTTCCCCTGCAATATCACGAAGCAGCTCCTTGAGCATACATTTAAGCCTTGCTTCACCTCTGCTAAGCCGCAATCGAGCGGAATCTAGCGACGTACGATTGGCTTCGAGCGAAACTTGAGCTTGCTCAAGCCATCGCTGCAGTTGTCTGCTTGCTTGCTTGTTCTCTTCCTTACCTTGGTCCAGGTCAGTCATATCAGCCTTTCGAGACTCGATATCCAGTTGCAATTGCTCCTGTTCTGCAACTCGACCGGCTGCGTTGCTGCGTTGATCTTCAACCAGAACCATGGCCTGCAGCGCGTGGAGCACTCGACGTCGACCGATGACTGGCGCCGCTCCTGCCCCGGTTCTGAATGGATCCCAGATTTGACCAGGGTCTCGTAGGGATGAAGAGAGTTCCTCGATCGAGACCGGGACCGTGACAGCGCCAACGAGCTCGAGTTGTGTATCACGAACAGTTGGCTGTACGATATCCTGCAGCATGAAGTATCGTTTCATCTCCGTCCGCAATGACACATCATGGAACGGCATCAATCGAGATTGGTTGCGAAGCCCGAATCTTTGCACTTTGCGCCGGATCCTTTGCGCAGGATTCGGCCGTCAACGGGCCTCTGGTAGAAGTCCATCAGGCCGGAGGCTATATGACTTGAGCAACCCGCGGTGATCAAGACTTTTGGAGGGTTTCAAGCGCGAGCTGTTGATCGCATGGGCACATTCATTTGCTGGGACACTGGTTCCCGAAAACCTTTCCACGGGGTAGCTCATCAGATCGTGAGTCTGCCTGCGTATCTATCGCTTCCCTTGGTCAAATTGACATGGAGGGCACGCCGAGTGGAGAATGTCATCAACTGCAGAAGAGCGAGTCTCGCGCCGATACGGAGGCATCTGGGGAGTTATGCGTATCAGGAGTGGTGCTTCAGCTACATAAGAAATCATATCATCGTTTTCAATCTAGATATGCCAGAGCACTCATGCTCATGCCATGGTCGTGGTCGTGGTGGTGGTGGCTCGTGCACTTTGTGGCTTCTTTTCCTGCAAGCTTGCTTTCCTCTCCTATCGACAAATCGTTCTGAGATCCTTCAACGCTACGTATCCGCCGGCACGGCCGCGTGTTATGATATGCAGACCACCCACCACAGTTCTTTGGTCTTCAGATGGTGTTATGCGTCTACGTATCCACGCGAGATTCGATGAAGCTCACCAGGCCTCGATTGGCAGCATCGACATCGGCCCGCGATACAGCTCCAGCTTTGCTTCACGCGTGTGGCTTGACAGGTCGTCCAGGCCATCATTGGCCCCGACGTGTCTTGTCGTAAAGCCAACTGCCTTGGCTGGCGTTCTATAGCGCAGCGGCCCCCCTCGCCCAAAGATACTGCGACCCCACCTAGGCCACCGATCTGAGCTCCATGTGGAAGGTCGATAGCTCAAGTGGAACTCTGGTATGCCTATTGCCGAGTGTGGTAACTATTGACGAATGTGGTCGACGACCTCATAATCACAATGCTAGTAGTATAGGTCTGGCCTGTTTCATTGCGGAGCTTGTTTCCCTCTTCCCTCTCCCTATCAGTCTGCTTTTTTATTCTCACCGTCATGTCTCAATCGGAAGTCCCAGAGTGGAAGCAGAAAGGGCAAGAGAAGGCGGCATCAGTCCTCGCATTAATACCGGAAGAATGGCGTCTGGAGCATATACCTACAGCAGAAGAGCAACGAGACATCACTGGCACATATCTTCACCAATATCTTTCGAAGCAAGAGATCGCTATTACGGAGACGGACGCAGTCGGTATCGTCAACAAGACAACGTCGGGAGCATGGAGTGCTGTGGAGGTCGCAAAGGCTTTCTGCCATCGAGCAGCGTTGGCGCATCAGCTAGTAAACTGCTTGCATGAGATCTTCTTTGATCAGGCTATCAAGGATGCTGAAAGAGCAGACGAGTACTTTGCCAAGAACAAGCAACCTATTGGCCTACTACATGGTCTTCCGGTAAGCTTGAAAGACCAGTTCCACGTCAAGGACGTCGATACGCACATGGGCTACGTTGGCTGGATTGGCAACTTCCAAGGTAAGACTGGGACTGGCAAGGAGAAGAACTACGAGTCCGAAATGGTCAGAGAACTGCGAAGCCTGGGTGCTACGCTATACTGCAAGACTTCTGTGCCTCATACATTGATGTGTGGTGAGACCGTCAACAATGTTATCGGCTACACGTGGAATCCAAAGAATCGTAATCTGTCCTCTGGAGGGTCATCCGGTGGAGAGGGTGCTCTGATCGGTCTCAGAGGAAGCCCAGTTGGCTTCGGCACTGACATTGGTGGCTCAATCCGGATTCCAGCTGCGTTCAACGGTTTGTACGGCCTGCGTCCATCTCATGGTCGTCTACCGTACGAGGGCATGGCGAATAGCATGGACGGCCAGAACAGCATCCTTTCTGTCGTTGGACCCCTGGCGACATCGGCCGATGCTCTCAAGCTTGTCGTCCAAGGTCTCCTTAGCACCGATCCCTGGCTCCATGATCCGCTACTCGTCGAGCTCCCATGGCGAGATGATGCCCATCTGGCTATCTCAGATCCACTGCGTCGCATCAAGTCGCAGTTATCCTTCGGCGTGATTCGCCACGATGGCGCGTGCGCTGTCCATCCACCTATTGCTCGCGCATTGGACATCATGGTGCACACGCTCGAGAAACTCGGCCATAATATCATCGAATGGAAGCCTCCGCCTCACAAGAAGCTTTCGGAAGTCTGCTACAAGATCTGGAACTTCAACGGCAGCGCGGACGCAATTGCTGATTTTGCACTTTCCGGCGAGGAGCCCGCGCCTCAAGTAATGGTCACTCCAGCACCAGAAGCAAATGCTTCAGACATCATGGCCGCCAATATCACGAAACGCGAGCTGCAAAAGGAGTATATGGAGTACTGGAACAGCACAGCTGAGATGTCCGGCACTGGAAGGCCTGTCGATGCTGTGATTAGTCCTTTGGCGCCCTTTGCAGCAGCAAGGCCCGCTCAGTACAAGTATTACGGTTATTCTGTCTGGGTCAATACGTTGGACTACACTTCTGTTGTTGTGCCGGTCACGACTGTGGATAAGAACGTTGACAAGAAGATCGAGGGTTTCAAGGCGATTGACGAGCTTGATCAGGACACACAAGATTCTTGTAAGTTTTTGCCTGCTCTACAACTGTGCATATGGTATGCTGACCCTCACGCAGACGATCCGGAAATCTACGATGGTGCGCATGTGAGTTTGCAGATTGTGGGTAGACGGTTGCAGGAAGAGAAGATGATTGCTTTGGCGAAGTATGTTGGAGACGCTCTGCATACTACCGACTGATATACTCGGACGTACTTGTCATTTCCCGGTGGCGTTGACTATGTAGAACAGCGAGGCTATCATGTTGTTCTCTCTTTAGCCCTGTCAAGCCTCAGATGATTTACTTTTTCTCTCAGACGTTCGGAAGCATGTTCGAGAGATGAGACGACCTGCAGCGGTGATGTCGTCGCGAATGGAATCTCACTGGCTACCATGTGCGCCCCAACCACTCCCACGGTATTGAGCTCGCAGACATTGCCAACCTGACCGCGCCGCGACAGACGTGCCTCGCGGTCTGGTTACATTACACGCTCCAATTTTTCCCTGCTCTCGAACTTCACTTCGTGTCCGCGTCTGAATCCACGAGTCTACGACATACACTATATATGAAAATGGCTCCGTTACTGGAAGAGTTCGTGAGATGGCAGTCAATGTGCACGGCACCAAAGCCGTCTCGAGTCGCCTACACGAGCAGACTAGGTGTTAAGAAGACGGTACAGCCAGGTGAACACAGGAAGACGACACTAGAGCCACAGACAGAGCCGGCGACCACAAACGTAAGATTGCCAATCTCAATATACATGCAGCACGTGCCAAGATATGGAATGTTCAAGTCTCGGCTCGATAAACTGAATCCAGAAGTCCCAGAGATTGACAAGGCCCAAGCAGACGACGCACTTATAGCCTTTTTCGCTCTGGTGACCAGTACCCCAACGGCTAGGATGAAAGAGTTGGTCGAGAATGGTTTTCAAGGCAGATTGCCGAGCAAAGGCCTCCAGTGGGAGTCGTGCAAAGCGTTGTGGAAAGACTCGGAGAAATGGTGGAAAGAGAACGGAAGCTCCTGATGTCAAGATGGCAGAACGCCTGCTTCGCAATGGAGTTGGTTGCTAACGGGTAGCTATTGTGATGTGACAAACGGGAAGCCACTCCAGTCATCACCCGCCATGATCTCGTCCATGTCCTTCATAATGGCTTCCCAATCGAGCCAGCTATCGTCAGGCTGTGGCGTATCCTGCATCACAACCATAGGCTCAGAAGGAGATTCTATGGCTGGCAGGGCTGAGAGGTCAAGACTCCAATTCTCGGAGCTGAAAAGCGGCTTATTGGGTGTAGGAATGCTGTCCAATGTGTCTGAGCCGGTAGCTGAGGTTCGAGACTTGAGTGGACTGGCATCTCTGAAAGCAACAGCGTTCTTGTAGAGCCTTGCGATGGGCTTCCACAACATGCCATCCTTGGAATCAGCTATGTCAGGCATATAGTGGTCCAAAGACAGGGTGACGAGTCTCCAAGCCTCACCCGCAAGCACGTTGTCACGGATCGAGCAAAGCCCCGCAAGTACGACGGCTATAGGATGCCAAGGAATCCATGGTGGTGTTCGCCAACCGTCGGTATGCGTAGACCACAGTGCAGCGCCAAAGCGAAGTTGATCCAGCGCGATTTGCATTACCCAGGGGCTGCTGACAGGCGGCGGAGCAGTAGAGCCGTGAATATAGTGGAAAGGCCTGACAGCGCGCAGTGTCAGACTCGTAGTGATAGCCTCCACCATCCCTACCAGCATATTGCGAGACGGATGGTCCAGTGGGCAAGCAGGGAGAACAATGTCCTTCAATTTTTTCTCGAAGCCTCGTACAATGTCCAGACGGTCTTGCCAATTGAGTCTCGGCTGGTCGGCTTGCAAGGACAGTGCTGCACCTTCCAATTGTATGAGTGCCACGGACATGTCCGTAATGCGTTCATTGTGGTTCGGCACGTTCAATGAATGCTCACCAAATTCGTCGTCGTTGCAATTCGATGGCAACGATCTACTGAACGAGTCCGGATGTATGATTGGCTCCGCGCCTCGATCGAAAGATAAGTAGAAGTCGACCTGTACAACGTTGTACCATAATCGTCTTCGCAATTGTGCTTGGTATGGTGTTTCTCCTGCTTGATCTCGATGGACATTGAGTGCACGAGCTATGCGTACCAGTAAGCCGACTAGCGTCCAGGCCCGTCGGGTGGAATCAAGTACTCTTAATGAGCTCTAGGCTAAAGTCAGCCATAGGGAACGATAAGTGGCATGGGCCAGACTCACGATGTACAGCCACAGTGCCTGCACAGAGGACAAGTCGGTAGTATTCATTAGATCAGCTTGATGCATTGCAAATTCGACCACAAGCCTTAGCTCCCCAACGAGCTTGTCTTTAGTTTTGCTACTGATCGAGATTGATTCACTTCTTGTCAAAGCGTTGGCACCAGCATATATCAATGCTGCTCTTAAGAGTCTATTGCATGGCGAGCTAGCAGGCTTACCCATATATGACCCTCTGTCGCGCACGAGCGAGTCTAGAGTGGGGATGTGAACTGCGCATTGGAAGGTGTCAGCATGGTGAGGTTGTTGTCAGGACAGGCTATCGTTGTGCTTACATAGCCTCCCATAGATCTGAACATGCTCCAAATAAGCCTCATACAGAATGATTTCCACGTCTGTATCTAGTTCCAATAGTACTTGAGGAGACGTCGGTGTCGAGTTTAGTGTGGCTAATATTGGATCGTTGTCGAAGATGCTTGTGGCCGGATGAGTGTGAGCAGATGGTGCTTCATTCAACGACAAGATATTCTCCGTAGTCGGGCCATCTGCCTGGTCATGCTCGTCGTGCTCCAGTATGTTCGCCAAGGCCCTTACCTCGGAGGTCAGTGTGGACCAGAAGCTTCCAGCTACTTGATGATTCTCGAGATCAAGTCGTGACAAGTTCTGCAAGTTTTGCTGCAGCGCGACACCATCATTCGCGCCGTTACTAGGCGTCTCGCTGGCAGCATCTCCTGTGGAAGATTGCTGGGTCATGCCATTGGATGTCCCGACCACGGCCTGAACATCGGGCAGTGTCTGAATAAGAGCCTCGAGTTTTGTGATACGTTGACGAAGCTCCGCAGCAGCAGTACCATTCTTAGCACGTTGTTTGCGGATAGTCGGCTCGCACGTCAACTTGAGTTTCGAACATCGTCCGCATGGGTGTGTCTACCACATGCGTCAGCGGAGGATCTACAGAGCAGAAACCGCCAGCAGTCATGTTTACTCTATCACATTTGATCTTTCGTCGATGACACTCCTTACAGGAAAGACCGTTGTTCAATCTTCGTGGTCCATCTGCTTGAGAGGACATGATAGCAGATCAGCGTAGCATGTCGAGGCAGATACAGTATTGCCATGGTATTGATGTAGCGAAGTGATGTGGCTGAGTGCAGGATCCAAGTGGGTTCTTGGGAATTGATGAATCATCAATCTTGCTCCTATACAGGTTTCCTCCCTACTGATACGATTGCTTCAGCAACTCTACAAGACCTATCACTATCTGAAAGAATGAGCATCAGTAAACTATATGCAAGACTAAATTGCATTGGTGCAGTCTTGGACGGTGGCTAATCGGAGCAAACATGGCCGCCAACGCGGTACGAAGAGCATTACATGGGCTTGCATTACTCAAGCCCGCATCGAGTAGGAATACTGATACCGTTGTACTCCGCTAGATGTGAGGAATTGTGACTCGTCAAAAATGCACTCAGAGACGGAACAGCAGACTCAAAGCGTGCCTGCTCGGTCTCGAAAGATGTTCGGAAGATGGTGGTCGGTCTATGTGGGCAGCCGATGATTTTTCGACAGATCTTTGATATTTCAAGACACACAACGTAAACTTTGGCAACATGAAATGTATGCGTATGCTGAATAGCACTTCTTTTTCTTGAGCACACTCCGAGTTCAGCACCATCGAGACGAGCCTCATGCCATCCAGCAAACGTCCAACCTTTGGCAGTTATCTCGACTCTTCCACAGCCACCACTCAAAGGTCGGCCAAAGCAGAGATTGTGCCATGTCTCTAGACCAGAAGTCCAAGGGCAAAGTCGCGGAGATAGATGTCGACGACGATATCGAAAGGCAGACATCACCAGAGAATACACCAGGGTCCATTCGCTCCTCGTACGAGAAGGATGGATACAATGGACCAGACAATGGCGAAGCGAACGATAACCAGACTCCTATCAGAACGAAAGGCCGCATTGCCATCATCATGTGTGCACTAGCCCTCGCCCTCTTCCTCTCCGCGCTCGACAGCACCATCGTCACTACAGCACTCCCGAGCATTGCAGAACACTTTCACTCGAGTTCAGGATATACTTGGGTGGGTAGCGCATATCTGCTAGGAAACGCCACCTCGACTCCGATCTGGGCGAAAGTGTCTGATATATTCGGAAGGAAGCCTGTACTCATCGCGGCGAAATTCGTCTTTCTGATCGGATCATTGGTTGCTGGACTTTCGAATAGCATTGGAATGCTGATCGCGGCTCGAGATGTACAAGGTGGGCTGCCAGAGCCTGCTTAGCTCTTCCACCTCAGATACACTGACACAATTCGCGGCTAGGCATTGGTGGGGGTGGTCTGAACGTGCTGGTAAGCATTGTCATAGGCGACATAATACCTCTCCGCATACGTGGTGCATTCTACGGAGCCATGGGAGGCATCTGGACCTTATCTCTAGCCATAGGACCGATGATAGGTGGAGCCCTGACCCAGGGCGCGAGCTGGCGATGGTATGTAATACGCGTAGTATGAGCGCGGTAGTCCTCTCTAATGCGGCGATTAGGTGCTTCTACATCAACCTGCCAATCGACGGTATCGCACTCGTTGTACTATTCCTATTCCTGGATGTAAAGACACCGAAGACTGCTCTCTTAGCTGGTATCAAGGCGATCGATTGGATTGGTGTTCTCCTGGTTATTGGCGGTACGATAATGTTCCTGATCGGACTGCAGTACGTATACATTCCAATTCTGACTGAGAGCAATTCTGACGGCGGTAACAGACTTGGAGGTGTCTCAGCGCCATGGCAATCAGCTGAAGTGCTATGCCTGCTCAGTTTCGGCGTCACGACTCTTGCGTTATTTCTCTTCTGGGAATGGCGATCCGCTCGAAGTCCAATTATGCCACAATCAATCTTCGCAGGCCGAAGCAACAAAGGAACGTTCGCCGTCGCTTCTCTCCACGGTTTTGTGTTCATTCCCGTAACCTTCTACCTGCCGCTGTACTTCCAAGCAGTCCGGGGTGCGAGTCCAATCCAATCAGGCATTTGGCTCCTGCCAACGGCATTGTCGATTGCAGTCGGATCACCACTTAACGGACTTTTCATCGGCAAGACTGGCCAGTATCTGCCACCTATATACTTTGGCTTCGTTCTGATGACCATTGGCTACGGTCTCCTCATCGACTTGGATGCACACAGTTCGTGGGCCAAGTTGATACCTTACCAAATCATTGCAGCCATTGGTAAGACCCTCAGTTCCGAAGTAGGAAGAAGAACCTGCATTGACTGACGAATTCCTAGGGTTCGGACCTCTGTTCCAGTCGCCATTAGTAGCTTTACAGGCACATACTCCACCTAGAGATCTCAGCACCGCTACTGCAGCGCTGACTTTCGTCCGCTCTCTCTTCACCAGCATGTCCATCGTAGTAGGCCAAGCAGTGTACGAGAACGCGTTTGCAAAGAAGATTCCACATCTCCGATCGATTCTTACACCTGAGCAAGCCGGATCGATCCTCAATGGCAACATCGGCGCAGCGACCAACCTTATCGAACAACTTCCACAAGTCCCAAGGAACGCAGTCCGGGTTGCCTTTGCGAACAGTCTGCAACCAATGTGGATCATGTATTGCGCTTTCGCTGCCGTGGGATGCGTTGCTATGTTCCTCATCAAGCGGAAGGAGCTGACACGTAAGCACGAGGAGACCGTGACTGGTCTAGAAGCTGAGAAGGCGAATGCTGAGTTGCGTGATGCCGAAAGAACGGCGAGAAGAGAAGCAAAGCATCGTAAAAGGGCCGGTCCATAGCCTCTGTGTGAAGCTAATATTCGTGTTGGGCTAAACTTTTGATCACTGCATAAACAATCTTGAAGTTATGCAGGAATTGTGTGACTCTGAATGGCTTCCAAAGGAGATATTCTCCGCATCACGATTTGTAGTTCGTGGTCAGCCTCCATATCGCCCTCACTCCAGCGAAAGAAGGACCTCAAGGTTCATCTTCAGCTGCTCCCAAGGCCACTCAAGCCAATGTTGCATATCGTCAGCCAGTACCAAGCTCACACCTTGCAGCGCAAACTTGCCCCACTCATTAACGAACCACGAACCATGCAAAGGACCACTAGCAGCAGCATAATGCGCGAGGATAACAAGCATAGGCGGATGTCGTGTCTGTATCAGCCTGGTAGCTTCTTCGGACAAAGTAGCTGGCCAGCGCCAGACGATGCCACTCTCGACTGGGCCGAGTCGCAGGAAGTATGTTAGATGGTGATAAATGTCCACGAGTTCATTCCAAGCATCGAGGCAGGCTTTGAAGGTCTCGGCTTCGCACTTTTGTCTGAGCATTTGCTCGACTGCTGTGAAATGAGAAAGTACCGACTCTGGTAGGTATGTTGTGGTTCGTGCTTCGTCCGGCATTGTATAGCCGTAGAAGAGCTGGGAGAGAGGATGTTTCACTAGAAACTCATGAGCACTGCTCGTGATGGCCCTCACGCCATGGGCCATGACAACCCCTTCGGAGATCGCATCCATATCAAGAGCCCTCGGTTCTGGATTGTAGGCGACCATGGCATGCGACCTGGCCAGCGATAGCACTGACATGACTGTCGCAAGGGCAAACAGTGCAGCGCTGTTCTCTTCGGTCAGCGCGCCGCTCAGTGCTTCACGAAACTTGACTAGGGCTGCTCCTTGATGTCTATCACACATACGCAGACATCTCGAAGCCTGCTCTGGGTGGTTATAGGCCAGATGTAAGGCAGACAGTGCGAGAAGACCGTGGAGCAGGAAGGCGTGCTTGAGAGCCTCTTGGGGTATAACTTCCTGCCACAGCAAGCCACTGCCATTCTTGAATAAGACTCGCTCCTTGGTCAAGTAAGTTGAGTAATACTGCATCAGCTCCATGTCCTGCAGCCACTCATTCGTGTTGCTTGGCAGCGCATCGTCACCGTCACGAGATGTCTAAAGGTCGTGTTAGATACGAGGGAGTCTGATTGTTAGCTGTTTGACGTAAAACGATCTTACCGATGCAGGTGAGGGAGTGACAGCAAGACTACAGCTTTCGTTGCGGCGTATGCAATTGGAGCATGGTATCCCCTCATTGCACTTCACATGGCGTTGTTTGCAGGCCGAGCAGCCCTTCCGACTCTTTCTTGTGCCCAGCTGAGTCATGGTAAACGTAGATACCAGCCACGATCATCAGACATTGGTTGGTGCAAGGTATCGTCAGCCTAGGGCGGTATATTGTCCTCCCTTGTGGTTGATTCGAGCTGAAGACACAGATCCAGGTGTGGTGGCGTTGCCTTCGGCTTGAAGACAGCTTCGGCCGATGGAGAAGCCGAAGCATTTGGTTTTCGTCTCTTGTCCTCTGGCAGGCATATCTTAAGACGATCTATGTCTGAAGCTTATTTGATTGTCATGTCTGCATGTTCCACGATGTCATCCACCTCGCATACACAACAGGTTTCAACGACTTCGATGGCCAAAATTGGTGCATTCATGGATCGGAGACTCTCGCCGGAAGAATGTGGATGAACAGACTTTGCGGCTGCCACGTTTTCGACCCCTGAAGAAGATCAGCCGGCATGGCAATGAGTCGCTAATGTCTGACCCACTTCCAACCAGGCGGTCTCCGATCGCATTTCTTGGTTCACGGAGGATCTTCCTGCAGCGGCTGATAAAGACTTGCGACACTGGTGGTGATTGGGGCGTGAAGCGTACTCAATCAGATGGAATAGCATGCGAGCAACACGAAGAGAGTCACCATCACCTGGCGGCCTGGTGACCACAGCTCATAATGAATACAGGAGTGCAGGATTGCGACACGCAAAGATCAGCTGCAGTGGATGATGCCGCAATTCATGCCCAATCGTTACATCTCTTGACCCGGACGCTGGGTCCGGGCACTTACCCAGTAGTGCATAACCTGGGTGCCGAAACAACCAGCAACCAGTACAATGGCAAAACCAGCGAGCCGTTACCTGAACTGACTCGGCTCTCGTATTCAGCCCAATGAGCAGTCTTCAAACAGAATACGGTGGCCAAAGACTCTTCATCGCGCCATGGCAGACCATGACCTAGCCAGTTACTGGTGGGAGTGGGTATCAACGTTATGATGACTTATTCTCTGCATGTTCGAAGTTCTTCTGAACATCCTCTTACTTCGCCGCCTTATGTTTTACTTCTGCACGAACTAATTATACGAGTATAGTCCTCTCGATGTGATCATTAGCACGAGCGCGTACGGACGCCGGTATAAGCATGGACACAGCCTTGCCTCCAGATGCACGGGTCGCTTCCATCCTTGTGATCATCTATTCAGTGATTTGCTTAGCCTCGAGCGCCTTACTCTCGTGCGTACTCTGGAGCAATGGCGAGCGCACCACCTGTATGCCGTGACATACCCCGATACGTCGCGACAGTGCTGACTGTCTCCAGACCTGCTCTTGATAGCCATCGCATCGTGTGGCAGCACTACCGCCTCCATCGTGCAGCAGATATACTACGCCTGCCAATGGCGCACCGTTGTCGAAGTCGCCTGGGAACAGGCGAAGCTCAGCATCGACAAGCCAGGCATCGCACTCGGTCCACTCTTCACTGGATTTAATCTCGGCCTATATCTCATACAGTTCTGTATATACAACATCATTGCGATACTCGTCTTCTGCTGGTATGTATTTGTCCCTCCACGGCCATAATAGTTGACTGACAAAACACCCGCTAGGTCCGTGGCTCTACTGAAGGGCGTCTACAACCTACAATTTAAGCGTCTCGCAGGATGGGAAGCCACCATCTCGATCACGTCGAGGGTTCTCGCCATTGTTGTACCCGCGTTGCTGATTGGACTATCCTTTCTACCGTCGGTACAAAGTAGTGCCAGCGCGACTCTTGCTATTGGGATTGTTCTAAGTAAGTGAAGACTGAGATATTGGCAGAGGGTCTACTGACGAACAGCAGTCATGGCAAGCTATGGTCTGGGAGGCGTATTCGTCGTAGCAGTGCTTATCCGCTACATACACAGTCGACACCTTTTCTCTAGTTTCCTAAGCTCGTCACGCACCCACACAACCGACACACTATCGACCACAACCCATGGAACAACCTCACGACCACCGAAGATCCGTGTGGATAGAATCCTACTAATCCGCTTTTCAATCGCCTTCTTCATCCTCGCCGCTTTCGAAGTCACGATCGCCTGCTTCGAGAGCTCTCGCGCCCAAACTTCTGCACGTCTCGCAGTAGCAGAGGGACCCGAATACTCGGCCCGTAGCGCCATTGCATCGATCCTACTTTTCCTTCCCGCTGTAACAGGCAGTCTGCTAGCCTTCCTCCTCTTCGGCACAACAGCGCATAATGTTCGGAAGTACATGGCCGTAATCAAATCGATTCGGTTTCCCCGTCGACGAAGAGCGAGCTTGACGCAGACAGTCAACAGCCCTGAATCATGGAACAGACTAGATGATGGCACGCCCAAGCCGCTGTATAGGTGTACGATCAGGTCGGAAGCGAATCGTGAGGATATCGAACTGGGTGATTCGGGGCCCTTTGGCAAGGTCAGGACAAGTGTCGTGGTGCATGACGATGACCGCCTTCCAATTCAGTCGAATAACGATGAGAGGCCAAAGGATAGGAATTCGTGGCGACATTACCGGAATGCTGATCGATATAGTCGATCATATTAGATAGCGATGTACGATATCTCAGCCAACTGCCTCCCAATGACGGAGAAATAGAAGCTCTAAGCTATCATGCCAGCCACGGCCCATCAGGGGGGACACTGGAGTCATTGGAGCAGTAATGCCGCGCCTGGGGAGACGCCGCCGAATGCTATGTTGCGCCTTGCAGGCAATACCGGATGTTTATCGAGACCGAGTAGATAAGATGAATCGTGCGTACATTGAATGTATCTATACTTTTGTCATCGCAACATGTGCTACACATATATCAACACCATGACCCACACCATCTACTGCCTATACAACCAAATGACCTGACTCTGATAATCCTCAATCTGGAAGACCGGATTCAACCCCGCATTCATGAGAGTAGCCCCCGAATACGACCCATTATACGCATTACTCGTATACATCCCCGTCGCATTCAACCCCTGCATCCTCAATGGCGGAGGCGCAGGTTTGATCATAGCCTGCTGCTGGAACGCAAATACCAAAGCCGTAGTCGCGTTGGCGGAGATGAATTGGACCGCCGGCCAGTTACTATCGTCTGGCAAACGTAGGCGGTAGAAGGAGCCGGTGATGACGATCGCGTTTATTTGCTCCCAGAGATCCAGGATACCGGGGATAGCGGCGCGTTCTTCGGCGCTCAGGTCGACGGGGTTGAGTTCGAAGCCGAAGGAGCCGCACATGAGGGCTACGTGGGCGCGGTACTCGATTGAGATGTTCCGCATTGTTAGGCCGTTGGGGACGGCGGAGACGTGGCAGGCCATGGCTGAGGGTGGGTAGGCGATCGATGTGCCCATTTGAATCACGAGCCTGTTCGCGGCGTCGGTGTTATCGGAGGTCCAGGACTGGGACATGTAATGCAACACGCCCGGATCGAAGCGGCCGCCTCCTGAGGCGCAGCCTTCCCAGAGGATGTTGGGGTAGGTGGAGGTGAGGTTGTCCATTACGCGGTACATGCCCAACATGTAGGCGTAATCTGTGGCCGGGGTAGGCATCTCGTGGATGCCGCGGTTGTTGTCCCATTTGATGTAGGAGATATTGGCGCTATTGATGACGTTGGAGATGGCGCCGATGATGTAGTCTTGTACTTCTGGCAGGGCTAGATTAAGGACGAGTTGGTTGCGGACGAGCGTGCGTGTGTGGGCGCCGGCGTGCATGGCCCATTCGGGATGTTCGTGGTAGAGGGTGGAGTTGGGGTTGACCATCTCTGGTTCGACCCAGATTCCGAACATGAGGGACTCGGTCGTGTTGGCTGTGTCAAAGGCGTTGACGTCTCCTACGTATGGGCCGAGACCGTTGGGGAAGTGGTTGACGTTTGGTGTCCAGTCACCAAGACCAGCGGTGTCGTTGATACGTGCGTATGGTGTGTTACCGAACCAACCATCGTCGTTGACGAAGAGTCGAATACCAAGATCTGCAGTCTCCTTTGCAAGCTGATCTAAAGAGCTCTGGTTGATGTTGAAGCCTGTGGTTCGTGTTAGACTGCAGTAGATTATGTTATCCGTCAAATTCTGAACTCACCAAGTCCCTCCCAAGAGTTCAGCAGCACCGGCCTCGACTCAAAAGTGTGATTACTTCTCGAAAGATGATTCTTATACAAATCATGATAACTCCTACTCATCCCACCCAGACCCTCAGACGAATATACCGCCACCGCCTCTGGAGACTGGAAAGTCTGACCAGGAGCGACAGGGATACTTGCATGCAACGGGTTCAATCCAAGCAACACCCGTACGAACCCCTGCGAGAAGCGCTCGGTGGTAGCGGCGAAGGAGCCGGTGTAGATGAGGTGGAAACCCCACGCCTCGCCCGTCGACTCGGTCGTGGAGGGTGACATGAGAGCGAAGAAGGGGTTGTGGATGTGGGAGGAGTAGCCAACGGTGCTACGGAAGCCAGTCTCGCCGTACTGTACAGGCCGGATAACACGATTGGCTTCGTGAGACCAATCGCCTTGAAGTTCCAGCATGTTCAAGTCCAAGTTTGGGAGGTCGAGGCTGAAGCTGGACGCACGCTCGATGGAGATATTGGCCGTTCCATTATTGGTGATGCTAAACGATCTTGCAATGGCATTATACTGCGGGAAGATGGAATAAGACAACGCCGCAGCGACGGAGGAGTAATTGTCGTAAAGATGCACAGTCAAAGTTGAGACATCGCTCGCATTCCCATATGTCGCCGGAAGACCAGTAAGACTCGGTTTTCCATCGCTAATCTCATGGGACTTGTAGATGAGTTGGGTGACGGTGTCGCCATCGGCGTGGGAGATGTGAATGGCTGGGAGCCGGAAGTCGCCTCGTCCGACGTCGGGAAACTCGCGCCTTTCGTCGCCTATACCGGCTACCCACCCACTTTGCGAGATGGAAGGTGGGTTGACGAAGTCGGTCGCTGGGCCGCCGAAGTGGTCGGAGATCAGGTCGCCGGAGGCTTGGTCCACGTGGAAGAGGTAGGAGGAGCTGGCGCCGGTCAGGGTGAAGTTCTGGCCGTTGGCGGTGATGGCTGTGAAGTTTTAGTCTTTGCCACTTTGCGTCTCTGCCATTGTCTGTGGCAGAGGGTTATGCTAGACCATGATTGACGTACCTGAACTAGCAGCCAAAGCACCACCCACGATCGAGGCACCAGCAAGTACTGTGCGAAGAGCAGACATGGCGAAGGAAAAACAGCAAAAGACGACCAGAACAATAGCCTACCAGATTTCCTACTATCTTACAGCGGCACCGCTCTTATATGTCCCGGTACCTGACCAAAACCTCTCCTCTCCATCCTTCGTAAGGCGGGGAAACTCAAGGCGAAGTGACGATGCTGATCTTCACCTCATTGCGGAGACGACGGGCTTGGCAAACATTGTCCGGATGGAGAAGGTGCAGGCTAGACATTGCGAGTTTACGTCTAGGTCAAGATGTTGAGAGTAAGGATAGATGGAGATTGTGGAGCCGTCCGACGACTTCTTGTATATTGTGTTGTCGATCTGTTGGTGCGCGAGGTATGAAGAGTGGTCTGTTGAGGTAGCAGAGCCAATGAAGTGCTTGGAGGCGGCAAACTGGCGGGTTTCGGATCATATCCTCCACTTACCGCTGCCGTCAATGGACGCGGAAGCTGTCACGGCAGACAGTTTAATGCATAATGCTTGATGAGGGACGGACGGCATGTTGTGCATGATGATTTTGGCCGCTGTGGACCGGGTATCTATACGCTCTATACAACCGCCATCTAGCATGGCAGTAGCAGACTTGTTGAAAGCACCTCTTCTCCCACCTCATTTTCTAGTCAAAGTAACCAGGGAACAAGAACCCGATATTCTTCTTCGCCTGTTCACTCCTCCCAGCCGGCGCCGTCACAGCCCCAGAGAACTTCATCCCGCCTTCGAGATGCTTCGCCAACACTAAATCCTCATGCTCCTCCTTACTCAGCTCATTCAATACAGCACCCACGAACCGTCTCGCATTCAGCGAATTGGCCTTCATATTGCCCATCACCATCTCCACCGTCACATCGCCCGCCGAGTCATGCCAGCAGTCGTAGTCAGTAGACATGCAAATCATCTGATACGCAATCTCCGCCTCCTTGGCTAACTTCGCCTCAGGTAAAGCGGACATGTTTACGACACTTCCACCCCACGATCGGTACATGTCACTCTCTGCCCGTGTACTGAAAGCAGGGCCCTCCATACATATCACGGTCCCTTTATCGTGAAGCCGTACCCCCTCGCCTTCGAGACTGTGCCCGCATTTCGTGACTATCTGCGCCAATGTTGGGTCGAAGGGGTCGGCGAAACCTACATGGCCTACCATGCCTCCTTCGAAGAAAGTAAAAGGTCGTATTCCTTTCGTGCGATCGATGACTTGGTCGGGCACGACAAAATCCCGTGGTTTAATCTTCTCCTGTAGACTTCCTACTGCGCTGAATGCGATTATCGTTCTCACTCCTAGACTCCGTAAGGCGGCTATGTTGGCGCGGTTGGGGACTTCGTGGGGCGCGAGTTCGTGGTGCAGGCCATGGCGGGAGATGAAGGCTATGGGGATTGGGTTTCCCGAGGAGGGGGAGTCGTGGTGGAGGATGGAGATGGGTGAGGAGGGGTTACCCCAGGGTGTGGTGGGTTTGAGGGTTGCGATGTGGGAGAAGCCGTCGAGGGATTGGAGGCCAGTTCCGCCGATCACTGCTATGGTGATTGGGTCTGTTGGGTTGTTAGTATTGCTAAGGTGGGTGGTTTTGGGTCGTGCTTGCTATTGTAGCTGTCGGCTATGTTGGCCATTTTGCGGGATCCGATATGCAATGCCCGTTTGGTTATAGTTGAAGTGAAGGCAAACTGTGATCGAAACATAAACATTGACAGCTGTGCCTGCCTCGACTTTTTTGTTGACATTGCCCCACCTTGTTGGATGACGCGATTGGTGGGGCAATAGCATGGCTGCAATGCCGCTGCCACGTTCTGACAACACGTGGCAAGCACTCTGCACTTCACTTCGCCTTCTTGGTGATAGTTTTGTCTCGATCAGGAGGAAGATGGGGTATGATGTGATGAGCAAAAACTCCAGTAGAAGATGGCAGGCTGATGAAGTCGTGCCTTCCTTATCGAGTATGGCCCACGCCGCTGCTCACCACTACAGATGCTCATCAACAAGTGATGCGTGATAACAATAGTATGATGCCATCACGACCCGACCGGACGACTTCTTGTCTCGAGACATGGCCAAACCGATTGGAAAGCAGTCTCACTGGATAGGGAGTTGTTATTGCTGGCGCTTGCCACTCCGGGCCTGCCATATTCTCCCCTACCACTTGCCCACTCGTAGTGCACAAGATAAGGATCTCTGCCTTCCCGGACTGCACCAGTATCTACCTGCCACTAATATTCCTGTCGTGAAGCCTCGACGCCTGGCACATCCACAAGACCATACAATACACCAGCGATCTTGTCAAGCAGCCTTAGCCGCTACTCGACCCCGACAAGTCTCCTTCATCAGCAGCTCAAGCACACGAAGTAGCTCAAAGTATATCACCACGAACTTAAAGCACACCACGAGTGAGCCCGCCTCTACTACGCTAATGCCAACCGACAATCATACTGACTTCCTCGAACAGAACCCTCCACAATGCCACTGACATCCGGCTCAGCGACCGCCCCGTCCGCCACCGCCGGCAGCGGCTTGCTAGCCAAGATGAAACTCTGGTTCATGACCCGCCGAGCCAACCACGCCGCCCGCAAAGCCTGGCGTTTCGGTGCCAAGAAAGACCATGCTGCCGCAGCAGCAGCTCCCACACCAGTCGCCCCGGTCCCACCAAAGACTCCTGCTGCGGTTGTCCCACCTGCTATACCCGCTGCTGCGCCCAAGGCACCTGTTGTTCCGGCTGCTGCTCCTCCGGCGGCTGCACCGGCTGCTAAGTGAGCGAGTTTGTTCGCTTGATATGATGGACTTGGAGGGAGGGAGATTGGAGTACCTATGCGATGGGCCCTGGTAGACGTTATGGAAGGGTAGCCTGAGGAGGAGCATGCGTTGGGTCTTTTGTACGAAAGTGTGTCGTGGATCTGGAATGCCTGTCGATGGCGATTATTGTTTCTCCGTAATGTATAGCATCAAAGACAATACGCCTGTGGAAACTTATGTACACACAAGCTACAACACCATCTCACATCACGAACCACTCACCAGAAGTGACTCCTGAACCCAGCTTTCTCACCTTTCTCCTCCCTCTCCTCCTCGGCCCCTCGCCCATTCACCGTCCCTTCATTTCACCACCCCCTCAAGCCCCGACCTCTCCAATATCGGCTGCATATACGACCCCGCAACCGAAGCAATGACATCCCAGGGATAAATCTCCTCATCCACAGCAACATCCATATTGTCCGGATACTCAATAGGCCAATGCGCATCGAGTAAACTCTGCACCCGTCACTTCGTCCTGAAACTCCGTCGCTGCTGGAGGCAGGGCACTCCGCCATGCGTCCACAGCCTCATGCGGCGCATCTGCAATCGCCTCCATCATTTCTTCCTCATTATCGGAAAAGTCCTTGCCTGGATCAAGGGACTCAGGAAACCTATCCCACTGCCACGGCATCGGCTCCAGCCCTAATTTCTGCGGCCTTGACAGAACTTTCTCCACTTTTGCCCTACACACCCCTACCTCCCGTGCCAACTCCATCGCATGATGCAAGTGTCTCACGTCGAATTCCTCCTTCGACCACTGCGAATCCCAACTCGCATCAAACCCGCCAGGATCGTTGCCTGAGAGGTAGGTGGCGAGAAGATCGTCGTAGCCTTCTCCCCACATGGTCCACAGGGTATTGGCATTTCTCCAGGAGATTACTATGTTGTTCCGCGACCGGAAGACTATATCGGCTGGATCTTGGCTCTGAGTTTGTGGCACGGCTGGCGGTTTTGGCTCTGATTGGGACTGTGGCCCTACAATCTCGGGAGCTGTGACGAACCACTCCGGCGGCGGTATAGCGAATTGTTTTTGCATTCGGCCAAGACTCTGTGGAGGCATTTCTGCAAGTCGAGAATCGACTCCGTGAGGTCCATGGCATGCTTGAGGTGGTGGTCATCGAATTCATCCCGGGACCAGGAGGCTCGCCACACGCCTGGGTGGAAACCAGGATCTTGACCAGATCTGTGTCGAGCAAATGTTTGCTTGTAGTCGTCGTACCAAGCTCGTTGCTTTTTCAGTGTGAGTTGGTATTCGTAATGGATCTCTGGGCGAACTTTGGGAACTTTGGCTCGACGGCGCCCGGTCTGGGCTTGTGGTGGTGGTGGTGGTAGTGGCGATGGCGGAGGTTTGCTAGCGCCTGTAGTCTCCGCTGGATCCGTAGTAGACTTCAACTCCTTTGGCCACTCCAATGCTGGCAGACCGAGCTCGAGCCTTTCACTTAGTATACTGCCTACCTTCCTCTGGAACCTCGTCACGTCATATGAAAGCTCGAGCGCCTGTTTCGCATGTATTCTGTTGAAATCTTTTCAACGACTATGATGCCTGCCATCCATGTCAATCTTCGAACCAGGATTCTGCCCTGCCTTGTGCTTCGCCAGGAGGGAGCCATAATCTTCGTGCCAGGCCTGCCATTCCTTTGGTGCAGCGAAATACTTGGTTTGAAGCTCTGATTGAGGTTTCGTGCTCTTGTCTCGCCGAGGTTCTAGGGCAGTAGAAATGGCTGGTTTGGTTTCGCTTTGACTTCGAGACTGAGTAGGAGGTGTTGTGAGATCTAGCTCGGGCTGCGTGGACACTGGCTGAATCTCGGCCGGCCGTGGTGGAGGCGGCATAGATGTGCTGACGTACTTGCCATCTGCAGGGTCTTGTGCTGGCTAGCTACTACTATTACTCTGTAGCTTTTCAAGTGCATCCCCAGCAGATCGTGTCGACCTACTTCCATCCCGTGGTTCCAAAGGAATGCTGGCACTCCTAGCGCTGAAAACTGCCGTTCTATGTCCACCACCAGAGGCTGGCTTTTTCACCCTATTCGCGGAACCTGTGGATTTTCGAGTTGGCCTCCGTTGTTGACTCTGGTAGTATCTGAAGCATCGTTGGTCAACAGAGACACGAGAAAGCTGTGTTCGCCGGAGATGATTGACTGCACGCTGGAGATCCCGCTCCACCGGTATTGCTTGGCTAGCGTACAAAGGGAGTAGAGATTGCAGTACAGCCAAGCGGAATCGACCAGCTGTACAGCGAATGTGAGTGGGGAGTCGAGGCATGGAGCAGAGACACCTACAGTGAGCAGCGAAGCAATTGAGACTCGTGAACGCTCGTTCGTCTGTGGGAGCTCTCGCATCAGGTCTACGTAGAATCTTACCGTACGCCTCACGAGGTAATCCGTCGCTGCTATCTCACCCGCTGTTCAATGGGCGTAACAGCGCTGTCAGCTAATCATGGCTGTTCTGTCATGGCGCTTTGCTTCCTAACCCAAGAGTCCGTCGCTCGAACACCCAGCTTACTTACAGCCTACAGGCGTTACTCGTACAGAATCCCAAGCATCTTCCTCCTGATCTTCCTCGGCGCCGGATACGCGACATGCCCGCACGAGAAATGTAAGCCGTCGTCTGTGTCACCGTCCACCCTATGAATATCGCCGGTATCCTCAACTTTTTGTGCAGGGGCCCGAGGGTTTCCAGATGTCGCACTTGAGGGGAGTCTCCCATTCGGCTTCTCTGGCCTCGAAGTGTTGGGTTTGCCAGTCGACTTCTGCGGTCCTCGTGCCTTGCTCGCACTATTGGCTTGAGTGGTTGGGAGGCGTTGGTGGCCGGCACCAGATGGCGGATGTTGGAGGTCGCCATGCTGCTTCGGCTTGGTGGCACCACTGCGGGACGCTGGCGGCGCTTTAGCCAATCCAGCGTGGCCATTTGAAGCGACCTTTCCCACCGACGACGGCGCATTGCTCTCAGTAGGCCGCCTCGGACTCTGCACCTCGCTCTTCAACCTAGCATTCTCTTCTCGCAATTTCTCCTGCTCGCTTTGCTCGGCAGTCAGCTCGCCGGTGACTGTTGGGAGCCTGGCTTTCGAAAGCCGCGTGCCCATGTTGGCAGTCGCTGCGGGTCTTGTAAGCGGCTTGTTCGAAAGCTCTGTTGCAGGATTGGGAATGCTGCCTTTTGCCTGCGGTTTTGACGACCCAGCGTCAACAGACTCTGAGCCCTTATCAGCGTCTTTCGGCGGTAAGCGCTGACTGCTAAGCTTCCGATGCTGTACTTGCTGAGCAATCAAGCTCTTCAGTCTCTCGTGCTCCTTCTTTAGTCTCTCTGTCTGTGCTGGACTGGGTCTGCTCTGCTCTATCTGGTCTTGCAGGGCCAATAAGTCTTTCAACCTCGCATTCTCCTTCTCTAGCTGCTCCACATGCGTAACATTGACGCTCGGAGCTGCCTTCTCTGCCTCCGTGAGACGCCTCCCGAGCTCCTGCAGCTGGATCTGGAGTTTCAGATTCTTGTTCTCAGCTATGAGCAGGCTCTCGGCTTCGGCTGGCTCCGTGCCGCCCTTGGTTGGTGTCTCTCGTTTGTTGAAAGCTTGCATCTTGGCATCAAGATCTTTCTCTCGCATTCGTAACTCTTCCTCTTGTGCATTGAGCTGCAAGCCTTTTTTGGTGGAGCTTGCCAGCTTCACAGCCAACTGCTTCTCTCGCGCACTGACATCATCTATTCTCCTTTGAAGACGGTTGTCATCGTCTAAGCTAGACGATGGAGCGGGTTGTGTTTTGGTAGAATCCTTCTTTTTGGCGTCGAGCTGCTCCATTTCCTTCTTCAGTGCTGCCTCCCTACCATAGATATCCTGCTCTTTCTCCTTGAGCTCAGCCGCCTTCTGCTCGAGTTGCTTTTGCTCCTCAGCCGCCTTCTGCTCGAGTTGCTTTTGCTCCTCAGCCGCCTTCTGCTCGAGTTGCTTCTGCTCCTCGTCCCTAGCGGCCACAGCCTGCTCCTTCTGGTTCAAATCTGCTTCTCTCTGCTTAAGCGTTTCCGCGTCTGCGCTATTTGCAGAAGCATTCGCGCTGGGGAGTCCAGCTTCGTAAGATTTTGGCGTCCACCCGGGAGCGCCGGCATCTTGGAAGTACCACAGCATGGAATGTGTCCAATTCAGCTGGCCTTTGTCAGTGATCATCGCCACTGCAGCCACTATACAGTGCTTACCTGTTTTGGCCACATGTACACCAGGTTGTTGTCTGTATAATTGGCGTAGCTGTTGCAGAGGAATGCATCAGGATAGTCGTCACACTTAATCCAGCAGCTTCCTGGCGCCCGACCTTGCTCCAAGGTCCACCACTGCTTGTCGCCCAAGTCAACCTTGCCGGCCGCAGCTCCGCTGGTTGCACGCAGCCACTGTCCATTTGACACGTTCTGGATAGCCACCTTGGTGCCAGCTTCATCGCCGTACTCGAGTGTCCACCGTTGGGCTGTATTGGTGTGGTCCGCGATCTTGTTGTATATGCCTGCCGGGGTCTTTTGCGCGACCATACCGCCATTGGCGGCAACAATGAAGAAGGAGGTACTTTCTGGCATACTTGCACTGCTACGCCCGAGACTCGAGAATGGGAAGAAGGTGATGGAGGGGAGGTGGGTGAGAAGTGTGAAGATTAAACATATACTTGCATACTGACCTGTCCATGCCGCTGTAGGTTAGCCCTGCGAATAGCGTTCACTACGACCTTGGACGGCGTCGATACTTCGACTACTGTAGGATGTAGTCGAGTTCGAGCTCCACTACCGAGCGACAGCGCAGATCAATGCTGTAAGCCGCGGCCAATAATAATGAATGTGGCGGGAGAACATGTTTTAAAGCTCAATAATATGGAGTATGTACGCCAGATCTTAGCCCCGAACAGGCAAATGCGGCCAGGGGCCACGCAAGGTTGCGCGCGAGCAAAGCAACTCATTATTTGTCCGACGGGTGCTCGTAAATTGTGGGCTGCATACTCTTCAATATCCGCTACTTGCGACGCTCCCATCACTGTATCCGACAAAAGGGAGCGGGTTTCTTGTCCATCCGTGGTGATCGATGTACACAAAATAATCGTGTCCGTCGATCAGGCCTGGATCCTCGGACGCGCGGGCGGTGTGCAACCACGAGGTTGATTTGCTATTGGCTCTCCTAGCAATAGAAGTTATAGTAACAAACAGAACGCAAAGTGCCGAGTGGTTGTCATGTGCGCGTCCGTTTGAAAGGGGCAGCGGCAAGGAATGGAAAGTTAAGGCAGATACGCCTGGTCTAGCATTGCCAGGCTAACTGTAGAAGATACTCGATGACTCGAGAAGTACCTATAGTTCTATGTGCGGAGTGCCTGGTCAAATACTTGACTCGGGGACGGCTGTTGTGGTATCGTCGCGCATCTTTCTGCTGAGCGCGTATGACCGCTCAAGTAGGTATGCAAAACGTCGAGGTGTGGAGGAGAGAAGCAAGCTCTATAATCAGCGCTGCATCTACAGAACATGGCGAGACCTGTAGAGCGGGAGGGAGATGCAGAGTATCACACGATTGCATCTTGCCACGATACCTTGTGACTTCAATTTGCAACGAATATCGCGATCCGTTTCCATCCAAGACTTCACCTGATCGCTGTGATATGGTAATGAGCAGGCCTGTGACGAGAATCAATATCGTGGCTGTACTTTCTGCGAAATCGATAAGGGCACGCCCGTTCTGTAATGGAAATTAAATCGAGCATATCCGTAAGATGGCATTAAAGAACGAGGAGGACCTGAGAATAAATCCCGACGACTGCGGGCTGACACAGGCCACCATCATGTCAAATCTCACATCGATCGATGACGTCGATCACCTCAATCTGTCGACGATTCCACATCGACACCCTCCAACACATAAGCTCCGCCACACACTTTCCCATCTCTATTTCAATTACCTTCCACTTTGAAAAGATCATAAATGCGCCTCCCATCCTACGCAACCTTTCTACGTACCCTCTACACCTTCAGCAACGCCACCCTCCATCGAGTTCCGCCAGCACCTTTCGCAGCGTCAGCAAGCAGACCAACGATAGGATATAAGAATATATCTATGCCCACGATTCCGTTCTTGGGAGCGTTATTCAGTACAGCCGATACGAGGAAGATGAGCCATCCGGTTAGCAAGAGCGATAACGAGTGGCAGGCTCAGTTGTCTCCTGGTATGTATCTCTTGTATCCCGATGGAAAGTGGGGTCAGGCCATCATGGTTGGACAATGATGGCTTCACACCACAACAATATGATTGACAGCACATACTAACAATGTTCTCCCGCAGAACAATTCCGCATCCTCCGGGAAAAAGGCACCGAAGCGCCCTACACAGGCAAATACGACAAACACGCCCCCACCACCGGCACCTACACCTGCGCCGGCTGCTCCGCGCCCCTCTACACCGCCAAGCAGAAATTCAAGTCCGGGTGCGGATGGCCGGCTTTCTACGATACGGTCCCGGGCGCGGTGACAAGGCATTCGGACCGCACGTTTGGGATGGAGAGAATTGAGATTGTGTGCACGAATTGTGGAGGGCATTTGGGGCATGTGTTTAAGGGGGAGGGGTATGCCACGCCGACGGATGAGAGGCATTGTGTTAATTCTGTTAGTTTGAATTTCAGTGAGGAGGAGGAGAAGGCTAAGGCCTAGACGCTGGTGATGTGCATGACTGAAATGGTTGGATGAGACGTATATCGGATTCTCTCGAGAGCAGTGACTCCTTCGGTCTGTAGGACAAATTTCTTGACTCATGGCGGTGTGTATCAAGTTGTCCTACATGTACCCATTGCGCCATCGCTTGCCATCTCTGTACTTCGACAAGAAATGGGCGTACCTGTAGCTCTAGTCCTCGCCTTTGCTTTCCGCTACGAAGCTATAAGATGTGTCAAGATGTTCCGTCAGCGATGCAGATGTGATTACGACTCCGAACAACAGCTCGATCAAGCGAAAGAAACCAAAGGTATGTCCAATACATGTCCTTCACTTGAACATGCTTTCCCCACCAAATTTCCCCAGACCTTCGTCAAAACGCGTTGAAGCTCGAGCACGCGACCTCACAAGCACGATTCTCCAATCTTGAGATGTCATTATAACTTCGTACTGTGCTATCCTCATAACCTAGTAATGGACAATGTCAAAAGCACCCCCTTCGTCAGCGCTGACTCCACAATCAGGAGTCAGACAGACGCTGACACCATACACAACAGCAGCAGCAAGCTCGGAGACAGATGAGCAGACCGCCAACACTGCTCCGAGCACACTTACTCGACACCCCAGTCAGGATGTCGGAGATCGTCAGAACGCGGTACCGGTCCTGTCGCATAGGCTGAGACACGATAGCAGTATCCTGGCCTTGGTATGTGGAGAGGAGGAAATCTACGCTGGGACGCAGACGGGAGAGATCTTGGTGTATAGTCTCGGCACCTTTGAGCGGAAAGCTGTGGTCGAGGGACATAGAGGAAGTGTGCTGGGGTTATGTCTGTATCAGGACGAGGGGTTGCTATTCTCTAGTGCTGGAGACAGGATTGTCAATGTCTGGAACACGGCCGACTTGTCACGGAAATGTTGTTTCTACTCAAGCTATGATGTCGGCGATATCTTCTGTGTGTCCTACTCTACGACACTACAGACGGTGTACCTGGGAGCACAGAACACTACCATCCAGTGGTGTCGACTGCGCACACCCGAAAGAAGATCACGACAGGACATCCATCCCAGCTTGAGAGACGACCCTTTCTTCGATTCTGCTGGACCTGGAGGTATCCGAACGCCGAGACCTGCGGAGGCGGATGTCACCCCTAGACATGCTAGAGGTGGCGACACGATCGAGATCAACAAGGATCATGTGAGGCACTTTGCACATTATGGGTATGTGTACTGTATGCAGCTCGTCAAGGACGGTATACCGGAGTCTGCTGGGAATGAGATCTTGATCACTGGTGGTGGCGATGGAGTGGTCAAGTTATGGAAGCTGGATGCTGATCGTAACGGTGCTATCGAGGAACTCTATACTCTGGACGATGGCCGGGAAGAAGGCCACAGCATCCTGTCTATCGCCGTCGACGGCACTTTCTTGTACTCCGGCAGAAGTGGCGGCGAAGTCGATGTGTGGGACTTAGAAACTCGACAACTCGTCCGCAACCTCAAAGCACACCGTGACGACGTCCTCACGATCTGCGTCGGAGGCAGCTTCATGTTCAGCGCCGCCGTCACGGGCTATGTCCGCAAATTTGACAGACAATACCAGCTCAAATCCCGATTAAAAGCACACGATGGCCGTATTCTCTCCTCAGCCTTTACATACCACCGTCAACGGCCACTCTATGTAACAGGCGGCAACGACTGTACAATCGGCATCTGGGACATCAGCGACTGCATGTCGCCCTCCACAGCCGCCACCCGAACAAGCAATGAACAACTCTTCGAAGCCCTCCGCAAATTTGTCTCGTACCGCACCGTCTCCTCGGACCCAAAATACCAGGTTGATTGTAGAAGAGGCGCCTCTTACCTCCGCTCCGTCTTCAAGAACTTCGGCGCCACGACCGAGATGCTCACAACGTCCTCCGGCCACAATCCGGTAATCCTAGCCCGTTTCCGCGGTAACCCAGCCACAGCCGACAAACGCAAGAAGATCATGTTCTACGGGCACTACGATGTCGTGGCCGCCGAGAACGCTACAGGCAAGTGGATGATCGATCCTTTTGCCATGGAGGGACGGGATGGCTATCTGTATGGTCGCGGTACGAGCGATAACAAGGGGCCGATCATGGCGGCGATATTCGCGTGCGCTGAACTTACTAGTGAGCAGGCACTTGGATCGGATATCATTTTTTTGATTGAAGGGGAGGAGGAGAGCGGGAGTCGAGGTTTTGAGGAAGCTGTGAGAGCCCGCAAAGAAGTGATTGGGGATGTGGATTGGATTCTATTGGCTAATTCTTACTGGCTGGACGACCGGATCCCGTGTCTGACGTATGGACTGAGGGGTGTTATTCATGCTACGGTGCAGATTGAGAGCGAGCATCCGGATCTGCATTCGGGTGTAGATGGATCGGCTCAGCTCGACGAATCACTGAAAGATATGGTTATGTTGCTTAGTACACTTTCTGGCAAGGACGGGGTGGTAAGGATTCCGGGATTCTATGATCCGATCCCTGCTTTGAGTCGGGAGGAGGCGGCGCTGTATCGGGATATTACGAGTGCGCTGGTGCAGCGGAATCCAGATCTTGGCGACCCGAAGGCCCTGGCTACGAGTTTGATGAGGAGGTGGCGTGACCCTTCACTCACGATCCACCGTTTTCAGACCTCCGGGCCGAATAATGCTACGATCATCCCTCGGCTGGCTAAGGCGTCGATCTCTATGCGATTGGTTCCGAATCAGGAGGCTGCGAATGTGGCACAGGCTTTAGAGGAATATCTGCATGATCAATTCGAGAAGTTGGAGAGTAACAATAAGCTGACTGTTACTATCGATCATCAAGCGGAGCCCTGGTTGGGTGACTGGACGAACGAGATTTTCAAGACATTGGAGGAGGCTATTATGGATGCTTGGGGGCCGATTGATCAATCGGATCAGCAGCATAGGAGGAGGAGGAGTAGTACGAGGAAGAGTCGGTCCGGGCCGCTCACGGTGGATATACCGGAGGGAAATGGTGGTGGGTATTTCGCGGCGAATGTTAAGCCCAGTCCTACTACGAGTTCTACGCTGGCGGAGGGGAGTGTGGTTACGCCTCTGCTGTTGCCGCTCACTCCGTTGGCCGAGACGACGAATGGGAATATGAGTACGACGGCAAAACCAACAGCGAAGCATAAGAAGTCCATGTCAAACGGTGCCTTCACGAACAGCCACCACAACGAGCACGTACATGAGATCACGGCCCGCCGCAAGCCTTTGTACATCCGTGAAGGTGGCTCTATCCCAGCTATTAGATTCCTGGAAAAGGAGTTTGGGGCTCCCGCCGCGCATTTCCCGTGTGGTCAGGCGAGCGATTCGGCACATTTGGACAATGAGAGGTTGAGGCTTGTGAATCTGTACAAAAGTAGGGACATTTTCAAGAGAGTCTTCGGGGAGTTGCCTATGCGATGAGGAATTGAGGTGGGATGGGAAATGGTGACGGGCTTTGCATGGATGGTTGTTGGGCGTAGTGCCATTTGGAGTGGGTCTAGCAGGGTATTTTGGTGCGTCCTTTGATGAGAGGTGTAGCGAGACATACTCACGGGATTGTTCAGAAATTTGTTTGCCTCGACAATGTATCAAAACTGCATTTCCTGTTCGAACGAGCATGGTAAAGACCACTGGACAAGGACCTTTCAGCAATGGCTGCGCAAATAATCTGGACTTGTCGCAGATTCAGCAAACTCAGCCTCAAAGACTGGGCGCAAGATAAAAGTGGTATGCCTGTCCTGGCAAGACTCCCAACCCACACCATCAACTCTCAGGGTCAATCTAAGATCATGACGACATACGAAGAAGAGAAGACTGCGTTGCTGCAATGGCGTAGCAAGGTGAACGACAAGCGCACTGGTGATCAAGAAGAGCTGCGTAATTCTCCCCTGTTCTCACTGAGCGTCCGTCACAACATCGACAACTCGACAAACAAAGCCAAGATCTTCCCGCAATATGGCCTGCTTGGCTATGACCTCGAGAACGTTGACGAGGATGGCGATATCGAGCCAATCCTCTTCAACGTTGATGCACCACATTCGACCTTCATCTGCGGGTCACAGGGCGGCGGCAAGAGCTATACTTTGTCAGCTGTGCTGGAGAATTGCCTACTGAAGAACAAGACTGTCAATCATCTCGCGCTGCCCATCGCAGGGTTGGTGTTCCACTACGACCTGAATTCGACTCTGGCTAACGAAACTGCGACACTGTGCTCACTGGAAATCAAAGTCCGCGTGCTGGCTTCTGCTGCCAACTTGGTAGAAATTCGCAGGCGCTACTCGGCTCTGGAAGGCGCCAACAATCATCTGACGGTTGAAGCTCTGTTGTTCCGCGACAGCCAGCTGGACGCAAACTCAATGAAGAAGCTCATGGCGTTCTCAGATCAAGAGGGTTCAGTACCGTTGTATATGGAGATCATTGAGCATGAGCTGCGGCAGATGAAGAAGGCGAGCAAGCCGTTCAACTTCAAGGCTTTTCGGACGAAGCTTGAGGACGACAAGAACTTCAATCCTGCTCAGAAGTCGATGATGAAACAGCGCTTCGATTTACTCCAGGAGTTCATGGACTCTCGCCAGAAGACAACGAACGCGAATATGCTTGACCTCCAGCCCGGCACGCTGACGATCGTCGACCTCAGTGACACCTTCGTCGGTCCTGCTACTGTCTGTTCACTATTTGATATCTGCCTGGGACTCGTTCTGCAGCAGCCCAAAGCAGTAGCGAAGATCATCGCTCTGGACGAAGCGCACAAATACCTAAACAAGTCTGACGCGGCGGCGACTTTCACCGAACATCTCCTCAGCACGATCCGTACGCAGCGTCACAACGGCACTAGGGTCGTCATCTCCACACAAGAACCGACGCTGTCCCCATCCCTCCTCGACTTGTGCAACACGAGCATCATCCATCACTTCAACTCCCCGGCATGGTTCGCAGCGATCGAAGGACATCTAGGCGGCGCTTCCAGCATGACGACCACCGAGCATGGCCGGGCGGAGCTGTTCAAGAGGATTCTGGGGCTGAAGCTGGGCGAGTCACTTGTATTTTCACCCTCGTCGTTTGTCGGGTCGGACGAAGATGGGATGCCGAGGAAGCTGGGGAGTGGTGTATTGAGTTTGCAGACGAGGTTGAGGATGGGGATGGACATTGGGATGAGTGATATGGCTTCCAAGGGTCTGGTGTGAGAGGTAAAGATGAAACTAGGAGAGCTGTGTGTTTTGTTAGACAGGAAGAGGATATGTGGAGATTGTTGATGCATGCACGCTGCACAGCAACTCGTCAGGTATTTGAGTGGCTCGTCGAATAGTGTCGTCTCAGGGTAAGACTTACGGCTAATGTCTTACTTCTTGTCCATAATCAACTTGGACGTCATGACCAGACTCATTGCTCAGTTTACGCTCAACGCATCATGCCCTGTTAGTGCCAATTCGTAGTTGTGTTTGGTGAAGCTGTATGACATCCTTGAACTCTATCTTTGCTCTGAGCCCCTGCAGCATCGACTTGTGAAGGCCGGAGGAATCTGTTATGTTGATCGATCAGATAGGTCATCAAAGCACACTGGGCGGTGCTGTGTACATGCTTGGTCTTAGCTACAACCGGCATTCCGCCCAGGATGTATGATACGGCAACGGAATCCCAGCATGGAAGTCATCTGCGTTGTGTCCTACCGGACTGGCACATCAATCAATAGTCATGGTACAGCGACTGCAGACGGGCACAATTTCGATTGACTATATTCAATCTAGATAGTTATCTCGCCTACTTGAAGAGCTTGAAGCCTCCGGGAACCTGGTACTGGAACACACTATCCGGATCATACTTCTTGCTCGCGGCCTGCAACGCAGCCACGTTGTCGGCACCGTAGCCGGCAATGGGGTCTTGCCATGGGGCGGCATAGTTGAGATATAGGTATGGGTTTGTCTTGCCGAGGGTGGTCGCAGAAGCTTGCGCCTGCGCAAACAAAGATTTCGCCTGTGTGTTCACGCGAGCGTCGTCTGCCGCATTGTCCCACGTAGCCGTGAGAAGGACGTTGAAGATATTACCGTCCGATGTGCTGAGGCCAAGCGAGTTGCCTCCGTTGGCTGCAGCTTTTGATGTGATGACCGTCGGCTCAGGCTGGAAAGAGATACTCCACTTAAGCCCGGCAATGTCATTGATGGGCTGAACGGTGGTGTTGGCGATGCGATAGATGGCTGCCATTTGCTGGGCAGAGGCACCATATGTTCCAGTAGCGAAGAGCTGACGGAAGCCAAGTGGATTGGAAGCTGCCAACTCCAGGGTGAAGTCCGTGAGGTTCGAGATACGCATGGTAGAGAAGGTTTGCGGAAGGGAGGTGAAGTTCTGGAAGAACGGCGGGTAGGCTTGAGGCTTGGTGTACTCGAAGTTGCTAGCGACGTACCAGTTCCGGCCAGTGACATTGTACACGACACTATAGATGAGCGCGGCATATGGGTCATATTGTGGCGATGAAAGCAAGTCTGTGAATGCTTGGAATTGTTGCTGGATTGTGTCGATAGTCAAGCCGATGAAGCCTCCCCAGAACTTGCCCTGCTCAAAAGTCCTCATGGTGAAAGTGGTCACAATACCGAAGTTGTTGGAGCCACCACGAAGAGCACGCCAGAGATCTGGATATGAAGTGGCATTGGCGTTGACTATCAGTCCTGAAGCCAAGATGACCTGGAAGTTGACCACATTGTCGCATACGAAGCCATAGCGAGGAGAGAAGAATGAGATCCCGCCTCCAGTTGTCAGACCACCGACACCTACGATGCCCACACGACCACCGGATGTGGCGAGCTGCTGGGCATCAAGAGAGGAGTAGACATCGGCCCATCTATTTCCAGTTCCAATCTGCACAGTTTGACGGTCGGCGGCCACAATAAGCTGCTTGAAGCTCTGAAGGTCAATGGTCACACCATTTTCAATGTTGGCAGCGCCGGAGAAGGGCGTGTGGCTACGATAGTTATTATCAATGGGTTGAGATAGATCACGAGATTACGGCTTACCCTCCAGACCTAACAGCAAATTCGCATTGACCTGGGAACAGCTTCCCGCCAATATGCAGAAGAAACACTGCCAACTGCACGTCGGTGGTAGTCGTCGGCTTGAAGACACAGTTCGGCTCCACTTGGGCCTCCTGCAAGCTCCAGTACGATGCCACCGAAGTATCATAGACCGTGCTGTTGGGATACGAGATCTTGTTGCCGAAAACGAAAGATAGTCCAGAGCACTGTATCTCGGACAATATCTAGTCAGCCCTTGTCATTTCCTTCGTGAAATCGGTTTCTGCCTTACGCATGACAGCTTCTGTTGCATCAATTGGCGTGCTTGGTCCGGAGAGTACTGAGCAGGTTGCCACGAGCTGGGAGGACTCGACGGTGCAGCTGCGGCTCGTTCGACCACCACAGGCGAGGCGATGGTGAAACCGATGGCTGATGCAGCCAGAACTAGTCGTGCGAACATGCTGCAGGTGAGGGAACAGGGAGGAGGAAGATTCCGTACGAGGAGGTAGCGTGGGGAGGAGGACACGGAAAACAACAGGTTTCTCCAAGAAGGAGGAAAGTCGTAGTATACATTACACGTTCTCTTTGATCGACCTGTAGGTGAGCATCTCGGATTGTCGCCGTGCCGTTCGTTCCTCGCGAATGCGCTGCATCGAAAATATAGATCGGCGTGCACGAGGCGTGGGATGTAGTGCCTGCGCCTTGATATGCCGGGCCTAGCTGCATATCGCTTGTATAGCGATATTGCGAAGGAAGCGAGGGGAGGCGAGGCGATCAGGCACGTTCAGATTCTCAGAGGTGGGATCTTGCAAGGGTGTCCGCAGAACCATGACCGGTACATTTCCGTCCGTTTTTAATTTGTCTTGCCACGGAGAACGTTCTCAATCAGTCGAAAAATATCTATTCAACAACTAGTTCAACGAGGATCAAAAGCAGGACAGGTACAACAATCGTCCCCGACACGTGGGTTGCAGATGATTTGGCCAGAAGGCTCATTGGAGTGCATCTGCCCATTGACCTCGGCGTTATGATGAACGACTGTGTTCCCGCGGTTTTGGTGTGGCTAAATCTGTAGTGCGTCCAGATACTCATTAACTACCATCTGAAGCTCATCGAGCAAGCGAGTTTTGACCTCCTCTTTTCCCCAACTCATATCAATGGCGTTGCGGGCCAGCGTCACCATATCTCTGTCATCAAACTCGCACATCTTCTTCACCAACAAGAGGTTATGCGCCACCCATACATCCTCCATATATGCAGGGTCGTCGCTGGCTACAGCGATCTTGATACCCGCGTCGTGGAGCGCTCGAATTCTTGGAATGACTTCGTCGACCGGTTGATGTCGGAGGTACGACCATGGACAAACTGTCATACCGATTCCTCTGTCCTGAATAAGCTCCATGAGTTCGGGCTTCTCTGTAGCGTTGAGACCATGATCGATCCTGTCTACACCGTTCCCACCGATATCCAAGACCACTTGGCGTATGTGCTCATGGGTGTTGTCTGTGGCAACGTCGCAGTGACAGGTCAGGAACAGACCATCTTGCCGAGCACGTTTGTACAAATCGGCGAACAACGCTGGAGGTCGAAGATGTTCGTCTGAGTCCAATCCAATACCGATGATAATATCGTGGTATGGCAGAGATGCCTCGTAATGCTCCATGGCCGACTCTGGGGATAGGTCTCGCATGAAACACATGATCCATTGGCAGTAAAGCTAAGTGTGTCAGTAGAATCTTCTCGCTGTAAAGGACGGCATGCTCACGTTGAGATCGCGCCCCGCTACCGCCTGAGCATCGCGTAGACCACCCATCATCGCATCCCAAGAAACACCTCTATTCGTATGACCTTGTGGGTCGAAGAAGACCTCACAGTAACGAACATTTATGGCAGCGACTCGATTGAAGTAGTTCATGGCCAGATCATAGAAGTCTTGCTTGGTCTTGAGTACTTCGAAACCACCATAATAAGCCTCAAAGAAAGTAAACTTCTCCTCTTCGTTGTCGAACTCGTGTCCCGGTCGTATCTGAGCACCCGCATATGAAGCCTTCAGCTGCTCCAGAGAAGTGTACGTCACTCCAGTTCTCTCCAGGCCAAGTGTCATACCATTCCTCTGGGCAAGCTTCCAACGGAGTTCGGGCGTCAAGGTACCTTCGAGATGAACATGTAGCTCAACCTTCGGCAAGGCACGCATGAAGGCATTTTCATCGGCGAACAGCTCTTGGCGGAGTGCTTCGCGGGTATCCCAGGGAAGAGCTCCTTTGACTGCTACGGACTGAATGCTACTGCCCATGGTCAAGCCGGTTCAAAGATAGAAAGTGGACATAGCATCACTTGTCCGAGCCGATGTGAAGTATTTATGCCTGGTTCGCGAGCCATTATCACGAGCTCTCCACTTTCGAAGACTCATCTTTGAGCTTGCGGCTGGACTTTGACCCCGAGGACGCAAACATCGACCAGTTCGGGCTCAAGCTGATGCTGCTGTGTGATGTGTGATGGCAAGAAGAAGTGGTCCTTAGGCTTTAAAAGGCTTAGCACTGCTTTCGACTGAGATAGCAGCCTATTTGGTGTTGGCCCAAAAGTCTATCAATGTGAATCCCTCCATCCCGTCTTTTATACCGACACCACCACAGGTCAGTCTGCAACATCCTCCCTCAACGGATATACAGGCAATTCAAGATGATCCATGTCTACTGGCGCAGTACATGGTACAGCTTGCCGCACGTGCAAGCGACGTGGACGCAAATGTGACAGACGTTTGCCTGCGTGCAAGGCATGCGAGCAACGGCATGTGCAATGCGAAGGCTATATTACGCGCTGGCTAGGCGTGGCTGCTCGGGGTAGACTCGCCGGGAAATCAATACCTGTTGCCAGCAAGACTTCTGTCGTCGTTGCAACTCCTGGCCAGGTCAAAGCATTGAAACCATCTAGCGTGCCTGGTGACGATGGTCTCCAAGACCTTCTGGACTACTGTGTGTAGCCCTGTACACCGCTTAGAGCCAGCATACTAAATGTGCACAGTCACGAGAGAGCAGACGACAATATTCTACTTAGGTGAAGATGCCCAGCGAAATCCTTACGTGCGATACGTCCTGCCGATGTTGACACATGTATTTCCGGTTCGGTATGCAGTAGCCTCGTCGGCAGCATACCATCTGGCAGTTCGACGAGGCGATCTGAATTTGAGACGACGAGGTCTTGCGCTTCGAGTCAAAGCCACAGAAGCTTTGCGGTACAGACTCCAACAGGATGAGCAGGCTACTGATTTCGGGAGCTTGATGGCGACACTCATGCTGGCTCAACTAGATGTATGGCCTCACAGACAGTCGATCATAACTTGTCAGCTAACGATCATAGATTTGTGTTGATGATCCTGGTGAATTCGAGATACACCTGAAGGCTGCACGGGACATCGTCAACATCAGGAGCTCAGACGGCACCGAGGACTCTTTCGTTGAGCAGAGATTGCTTTGGTATGCAATCTCGAAGTACTCCTTTTGGTGCGGGGCGTGCTAACACTATCCCAGGCTTGATGTAATGGGTTCAACGACATCCAGGCGCCCGCCAGCACTGTCCGCAAGATCCTTGAGGGCCACCATCGACCGCCTTGAATCCGCACAGCATGGACGGTCTTGGCGAGATGATTGCTTTCCATGCCCGCTCGAGCTTCTTCAAATGATCGTGGAAGGCACTCGACTGTACAAAGCTCGCCACGAATTGGAGAAAACGGACCTGGACATAATGGCACAGGCATCAAAGCTGGTGGATGATGCAAAGTCGTTGGTTTCATTGCTTGGGGAAGTTGTAGATCAACCATGATCACGCCTTGAGCTAGCTTACGGCTACGCCGTCGTTCTGTACATTTCCGCAGCATTTCGACTTGAGGGCTATTGTGGTTCAGAAACCAGAACGATGGCCCAGAAGATCGTACAGCACGGCAGAGCTATGCCACCCGCTACAGCTTGGAGCTACTCGATGTCGTGGCCGCTGTACCAGGCTGGTCTATATCTTGATCGGCAATGTCTTCCTGAAAGAGATTGGCTGGCGAAACACTTCAAGAGCACTTTATCCGAAAATGGCTGCTGTCAAGTCAGCAGAGCTCTGCAAATTTTGCAAGCGATTTGGCGGGATGAGCAGAACGGGTTCGTATGGGACTCTATAGAAGCGGGCTCGCGAAAGAACTATCTACTGCTCGTATAGGTCGTCGAGGTCAGATATGGCGGATGGGCAGTGAATCTCGGGCATCTCGTAATCATGAAAAGATTGTGTGAGTGTGAACACAGAGCCCGTCATTATGTTACGAAGATGCAAGATCGTGTATCGCTGTATGCAGCTTCGGTCTCGTAAAGCGGGGTCTATTTCGTCTATATCGACGAAATATCATTATGGAGATTAGTGTCTGCCTTACAATGGCGTGCTCGAACTCCACGCGAGCTCGGAAATTGAAGCTGCTCTCAATCATAATCGTGAACGATGGGCTGACAAGGGTGATATAGTCCCTGCTCACACACCGCCAACCGGAGTGGCTGGCAATATAAGCGTGCAATGTTGGGCATGGATCATGTCAACCCGGCACCTAGCTGCATGCAATCTGTCGAAAGCGTGCGTGAATCCCGTGCCTGATCGACATCGCTCCGGCAAGTGGACTGCGTGGGATTGACGCTTGACGGACCTGACAGCTCGGCAACACAAGATCGGACAAATGTCCGTGTCAGTGATGTGACATCCTTCGCGTACTGTATAGTGTAGAAATCCCTAGTTATGGATAATGTCGACGCCGTCGCTGTCTACTCCGCTCACCCGTTTGCTCGATCAACGCTTGGCGATCAAGAACGATGTCGTCGTTCGGCGGCTCACCAGAGGTCACGCAGCCCAAGACCAACAGAATCAGCTATACTGCTCTGCTTGTACGTTCAGAATCAATTCGTCCAAAGGTTGATACTCATGAATTCACCAGGGCGTTGTATGGGCACTTACGGGGCTGGCCACGTCGCTCGTGGCAGCAAGACTGGCCATTCACATCAAGTTTGGGCGACGACAACTGATCGATGACACTCTGCTGGTTCTCGCATTGTGCATGCTCATCAGCAATTCGATCGTGACGAGTCTTATGGCTGAGCCGATGTACGACCTTTTGAAATACTCCCACGGCCTGTTGATTCCCGGTCCGGAGTTCATGACACGATCGACCTTCTACCTCAAATGTCAATTTGCATCTACCGTGCTGTTTTGGAGTTGCCTGTGGACGGTCAAAGCCTGCTTCCTGGCTTTCTTCTACCAGCTGTCTAACCAGACATTGTGGCCTCGACGATTCTGGTGGGCCGTTGCGGTGATCACTGCGATCAGCTATGTCGGTTGCGTTATTACTTACCCGCTGTCGTGCACATCATTTGTGCTCGGTACGTATACTGGGAGATTCTGATGGCTAAGTAAGAGACTGATTCCCTACAGGCCAATGCGAGAAGCCGATCAACATATACCTCTCCGCTGTCAGTCTGCGGTTTAGCACAGCCGTAGACATGATAACAGATTTCCTGAGTATGGCCTCCCCTCAACGATATACCATACTTGCTGATTGTCATAAAGTCATCGTGATACCGCTATGGCTCACCATCGGCCTAAAGATGAGTCTTGCACAGAAGATGGGATTGCTTGGTGTGCTCTGTTTAGGTAGGTCTCTGCAGGTTGTGGACATATTAGTGTGATCGCCGGCTAACGACTGTACAGGTGTGATCACGATGATCTTCGCGGCCGTAAGAGTGGTGGTCACTAGCTCCGAGGGCGGTGTTCATCCAGAGATAACTTGGTTGGCTCTATGGTCTGGCATCGAAACTAGTGTAGCTGTGAGCGTAGCCTGTATGGTGAGTTGCGACGCTTGACTCATATTTGAGACTTGAGACGAGGCTGACTAACGAGTTGGCAGACGAGCTTCCGAGTATTGTTCACCCAGCTTCGTCACGGCTCATCCTATCGGAGCCGTAGTGGTCCCAGCAATGGTCACGGTATCGGAACACCTAATATTCGATCATCAAGTGGTCCAAAGAAGAGCTGGCGATCAGGCACAAAGGAGCTAGACTCTATGACAGATCCCAGTGTCGAGATGGAGAATTTTGCTCGGCAGAAGCACGCAAGGACAGTATGCGTTGGTGCGGAGGAGGTCGAAGGCGAGGGTGGTCTGGTAGAAAGAGATTGGCCGGAGACTGCGAGCGAGGAAAGAATACTACCACCAGAGAGCATCCGCGTCCAGAAGACATGGAAGGTCAGCAACGCGTGAGAAACAGGTCTAGCGACAGCACAATATCAAGAAATGCATGAGTCAACGATATGGCCTCACGATAGCTTTAGCCCTATTTCCATGAACCGTTCTTTGCTAAAGGCTGGTCTTAGACTGCTACGACTTCTTCTGTTGAGGTGCTCTGTTATAATTTGACGAACATCGGCCCACCATGGAGCCACTCGGGGCGAGGGCCGTTGCCGTGCCGTGGCCATATCGCCTCTGTACGATGGATATCATCTTCATCAACTTGCTCAGCAGCCAACGGAATCCAACGCTCCACCCATCGTTAGAGTACTCTGTCGAGCATCGGTACTTACAGTCGTCTGTTTGCTCCACTGCCGACAACAGCAGTCGCTCGACTCCGCCAACGGCAAGTATGAGTCAGTGTCAAGGGCATAAGGTTCTTGTCGTAAACTCTCCTCGCGAAATGGACTGGCATCTCGAATGGCCGTTACGAATCATAGTTTACTGCAGTATCTCAGCTTCCTATTCCGTGTGGGCGGCTTGGTATCTACAGTATTTGAGCGAAGGATCAGTTGCGGCACGGAGGGGTGCCAAGCTTGGTGTAGTGCTATCACTTCACCGAGCCTCTGCGGTGTTGCTGCGTGCGCTGAGGATCCTGCAGGACGAGACATCACTCCTACAGGATTTTGGGTGACTTGGTTGCTTGTAAACAGAGCGAAGGTCACTACACGTGGTTCGGAATCAGACGCACACTCGCTCAGGCCACCACTATCGCTACCTGTTCGACCAGACGACGCACAGCGCTGACGATTTGTTCCTACCGGGTTGGTGGGCGCCCCGCAGCTATGCCTACACGGCGAAGCAGTACACCCTTGACTCATGGGCACCAAGATCACTTCTCGTGTGCCCATACGACCGCGCAGTCTCTGGCCAGAATCGAGTTTGAGATTCAGTGATAACCCCGCCGCATCCACCACCACGTGCCTGATCAACCACATTCAGGTTCATGCGAAACCTTATACGGTAAGGAAGTATGCTTCAACTCCGGGGACGAGGACTCGAAGCTTGGTGCTGCTCCGGGCAAGGCGAGGCCACAAGCACATGGCCAATCTTGCAATCGCGCAAGGATGCCGACTCTTCACTGGTCATTAATGCTGCGAACCCTTCGTGAAGCGGCATTAGCGCTATGTAGGATCTGGATCATCGCGGCAGTGAGGCCCAAGGGTATTTGTAACCGTACGGCATGGGCGCACTGAGTATGTACAAAGCCAGCTCGAGCTCTGCTACCTTCTCCAAAGCTTGCCTCCATCTACTACAGCCCTCGTCTGTTCTTGTGAACCAGCCTTGTCCTAGCTCGCGACATGGCTCCTTACAAAGGCAAAGACACTCTCTTGGACAACTGCATCACAGTCATACAGCTAGGCAACAATGTGGCTGTGCACATCCTTGAATACATGAGCGATGTCGAGAAATCCCGGCATGGCTTCAAGGAGCTTTCCACTGACTTCGTGGAGTCAAGTCGATATCTGTTCTCAGCAAAGAATGGTCTCACCGAGGCCGTGCGCTCACACACACAATTCCCGCAACACACGGATCGAGAGCTGCGAGAGATCTTCCGCCAGTATCACACCATCATCCTTGCCCTCAAGCAAATGGTCAACAAGCTACTCGAAAATGAGAGGTCCTCGGGCTTTGGCAAGCTCGGAAAGGGCTTCAGGATGATGTTTGCCGACTCCGACATTGAGAAGATGAGATTAGCACTAGTTCAATGTCGAGAGGCTGCGAAACGGAACACCATGCTGTATACCTGGGGTCTATTAGATGATCCGAGTTCGACCTCGCCAGCAATTGGATTTACAGCACTTGCTGCTGTCCTGAACTGTCGCGACCCAACATGTCCAGTCATTCCAAGCTCAGTGCAAAAGCATGAGATGGTGCCAGACGCGACACCAGACAGAGGATTCTTACCCCCCGAGCCAACTTTGCGAACTGTAACACACAATCAGCCGACTACTTCACACTCTAACCTGCCATACCGCGATGCGTCTTTGCCTCATCATGGCGACCGGGATCGTAATGCCAGACCATCAGCGACCACTACATCCAGCAAGACTACAGTGTTGTCGTCCACGTTCAGTGCTCGCGGGGGAGCGAGATCGTCTGATACTAGTGGAGAAGCCACCACACCCTCTACAGAGCACTTTGAAGATAAACTGGCCTCTCTTGATCTCGATGACTTGCCCAGACAGGCAATTCGAGTGAAGGTAGATCCAACGACAGTCACCCGTTGGAGACCCAAGCACAGCAAAGGCAGCGTACCTGTCGGCTCGAAAACTGCCCTACTCGTAGCCATCCAGGACCAGAACGTGAAAATGGTGGAACATCTGCTCGATTCTGGCGTCCCGCCAGATCATGGTATCGATTGCAACTTGCTGCGACTTGCTGTCCTCAACCACGACATTGACTCGATACGGCTTCTGCTAGCTTTCGGAGCTGAATCGAATGCCAAGGACAAGGACAACTACACACCCCTCTACACCGCGACCGAAGCCTCAGCTTTCGATGCGGCTCAGCTCCTGCTCAAGTATGGCGCTGACCCCAACATCTCTGCTGGCATGGACGACCAGAGTCCATTTGCGCTGGCCATGATCGAGGACAAAGCACATTTTGCCCACCTCTACCTCAAGCATGGTGCGACTGCCGACTCGATTCTGGGGAATGGTAATACGCCCTTCATCCAGGCGATGAACAGCATCACACCAGTGCAGGTAGTTGGCCTTATGCTGTTATACGACACCGATCCAAATCACAAGAATGACCATGGAGAGACTGCACTATTCAAGGCGATATCAGCAGGACGACTGGACCTTGTCAGTATCTTGCTTGATCATGACGCCAATCCAAATCTCCCGGGACCAAAGCATATGCTTTGGCCTTCTGTGCACCACCCAGCCATTCTCGACCTCATTCTTAAACGGGGAGCAGATCTCAGACGAGCACCTGGTGTGCTTGAGCTGGCGACCTCTACCAACTCGCAGGAAGTTGTTGGTATCTTGCTTAAGCACGGCGCAGATCCCAATGCCAAGAAGGACGGCATATTCACGCCGCTGTGCACAGCCATCCGAGACAATCACGAAGCGCTAGTCGACACTCTGCTCAAAGCCGGTGCAGATCCAAATGAAATGGCCTCGGAGTATCCAGCGTTCAAGTGTGTCACGCACCACCGCGCGCATCTACTTGGCAAAGTCCTTGATGCTGGAGCCGATGCAAATAGTCCGAAGGGGATCGTCGAGATGGCAGTCGCACGGAAAAACACAGATGCACTTTTGATCCTGTTGGAAAGAGGTATCGACGCCAATGCACGCAATCCCGCAGGTCACACGGCGCTTACCACGGCGATCCGAGAATGCGATCTGCAAGCCATCGATATTCTGCTTTCATATGGTGCAGACCCAGGGATACGTGGCCAAGAATGGCCCGTTACACTTGCTGTGCACTACCCAGAAAGTCTGGAGAAGCTTCTTCCTCACATTGCGGTCAATAGGATACCGAAAGGAGCGCTCGAGATTGCCGTACAAGCTGATAAGCTGGAAAGTGTCAAGATGCTGTTAGCCAAGGGTGTGGATGTAGAGGAACGGAACGGAGGTGTGTTCAGCTCCCTCACAACCTCAATCCGAGAGGACCGGAAAGAAATCTTCCGCTTCCTGCTCGATGAAGCTGGCGCAGACCCAAACCTACCCGGTGAACACTTACCGCTCATCAAAGCCATCCGCCGACACCGCGAAAACGACTTGAGCTACGTCAAACATCTCATCGCCCGTGGCGCTGACATCAACCTTGTCTACCGAGGCTGGAACGCCGTGCTCCAAGCTCTCGATAAAGGCGACACGCAAGTTTTGGACGTGCTAGCAGAAATGGGCACACCGGACCTCAATGCCAGGGACGAGGATGGACATACAGTGCTGGAGATCCTGCAAGAGCGTGGCATGAAAGAGGAGGAGAAGATATTGACTGCCAAGGGTGCGGTTGGAAGTCCCACGCCGAAAATGAGGGAGGCCTTTGGACATTTGCGTGGGATTATTGAAAACTGAGATGGAACGATTTCTAAGTTGGATTGGGTTGATCGCGGTTCTTCTATTGAGTTTGGAGTTGAGAAATACCCCAGTCTGCGTCCGTAGGAGAGAATGGTATATGTGTTGCATGAGTCCAGGATGTCGATGCGCGTCAAGTCTGTCCCGTAGCTCGTCTTGTATGTCTAGCCACCGTATCTACCATTGTTCGCGGAGAAGTCTGAGAATATTGATCCAAGAAATTTGAACAAGGGGGCGATGGGGAGTCCTCGACGAGCATAACTTGCGAATGGAGAAAGTGGCAAGTCTGGCGTGATGTCCGCATGCGGAAGGTACAGCGGCGGCAATGCAGCGCGAATGAATGTCAAGTTCACGACATCGTGGCTTCATCCTCACCAAGCGTCTCACCAGCGTTCATCTACACGCTCCTACGCTCGTGCGGGCTAGATTTGGTATGGACCAAAGATGATTGCTGAGTCACTGACACTGACACTCGCCGCCGCTATCGCAAGGGCGGGTGGGAGTGCACCTTCTCCCAACACTCGCTATCGTTGCTTCATAACACACAGACTAGGTAGGAGTCACACTAACAAATCTCCCCTCCCGTACATCTTCGAACTCGTTTCTTTGTCCTCTTATTCATCCTGCTTATAACCGTGGCCCTGCCGAAACGATCTCATCTCCTATCCCTGCGCTACCTCTGGCACCGCCTTACACACTATCGCCGTGTCAAACGTGCTGCAAGCAAAGATCTTCTCACATCCCAGTCACCCACTAACACCATGGCACCAACGTTGCACCTCGTCCGCCATGCTCAGGGCTATCATAACCTCAGTGTTGCGAATCATGCCATCCACGACCCATCTTTGACACCTTTCGGCGAACAACAATGCCGAGATCTCGCTACCAAGTTCCCTTACCATGATGGTGTGGAGGCGGTCGTGGCGTCGCCGATAAGAAGGACGATATACACTGCTCTCCTTGGCTTTGGTGGGGATCTTGAGAAGAAGGGGCTGAAAGTCATTGGACTACCGGAGTTGCAGGAGACGTCTGATCTACCGTGTGATACTGGAAGTACACCTCAGGAGCTGGCGAAGGAGTTTGAGGGCAAGCCAATTGATCTGGGCCTTGTAAAGGAGGGCTGGACGAGCAAGAAGGGCAAGTGGGCTCCCACTGGCAAGGCTATCGAGGCTAGAGCCAAGGAGGCGAGGATCTGGTTGATGAGTCGCCCTGAAAAGGAGATTGTTGTTGTTACTCACGGTATGACCCGAACGTCCTCACATGTGCTGACATTGTCATGCTGATATTCGTGACCAGGCGGCTTCCTCCACTACTTCACCGAAGACTGGGCGGACTGCAATCGCTTTAACGGCACTGGGTGGGCGAATACGGAGTACCGCTCTTACAACTTCAGCTCGCATGAGCCGGCTGAAGCACATCTGGTCGAGATTGAAGAGTCGAAAAAGCGGAGATCGATGGGTGCAAAGCCGCTGGACCGAGAGGAGAAGGCTCAAGTCCAGCCTCAGGCTACTGTTCCTGTTGCTGAGAAGGCTACGCAGGAGCCTGCTGTTGATGTGAGGGCCAATATCTGATAGTGGGACTGGAAGCACTGGAGACCGGCTAGATCTCGATTGCCACGAAGGCGGCGACGAGATTGTGCGCAAGCCTTAGGCGTCTGCACACGTTACATCATTACAGAGACTGATAGATGATAGATCTGACCTAATACATCCTACATAGCGATCCTTAGCTTCCTACAGCTCAACAGCCCTCAGTCCCTCGACAGCAAGCCGTTGCGAGATCAGCATGATCTGGTCTACGATCTTACTCATATGCAAGAGCTAAAGTTGCTCATTTCAATGACCCCTGTCCATCCGACGATTCTTGTCAAAAGCCTTTCCCTGCTGCCATCTCGGCGTCTGGTTCAGAATTTGCGCAGCAATGAGTTTATCAATCGCAGCACAAACCTCATACGCCTTATTCTTGAATCCAGTATTTCCTCCAAATTGCTCAGGAGAAAATACCTTCTTCGCGGCTTTGAGATTCTTGGCACTAAGACCTGCGAGTCCCGCAGCCAGATTGTGCGGACAAGCTGTCAAAGCACGACTGGACGCGTTACGAGCACAGGAGGCGTTGCCGCAGGGTTCTGCTTCAGGCTCGGGAAACTCATCTAGGTTCTCCAGATCTTCGAACGCCGCTTCGGCGGTGGCGATATACTTTTCCGCCGCGGATTGGGGAAGCACTGGCGCATCTTCGGCCGGCAGCGCAGGCTCGAACACATCATGCTTGTTCACACGTCTGGACCTGGCAGCCAGAGCCTGGTTGAGAACTTGCTTGGCATCGCCTTCAGCATCTTGAGCTTTCACGAGCGCGGCTTCGTTCTCCTTGACAGAGTGCTGAGCGAATTTCATCTCGGCGCTGGCTTTGTCTGCCAGGAGTTGGGCGTTCTCGACTTCGTTCTTCAGGTCTGCGAGGGCGGCGCGGTAGGTGGATTGCGCTGCATAGAGGGTTGCGTTGGCGGAGGCGAGGCGGAAAGTGCAGGCTTTCATGGTCGTGTTGGCGCGAGTGTACGCGACACGAGCGGCGTCGATGTTGGTGGCCATGTTGACGGTGGTGGTGAGCGCGCTACTACTTTACGGAGCTGGACGGGGATGAACTGATGCACGTGCGAAGGAATAAGGAGGCCGGATGATGGAGATACGAATACTCGAACATCTCTTTCGCCGTGGCGGTAAATACATTCATTGTGCTGGCTTTGTCGATGTACGGATATCGTAATCGCTGCTGTCGAAGGGAATATGCAACAAAGCGGCCGGACTTGCTATCGACTTCGCAGGTTACGGCATCGTAGCCATTCCTTTGTCTCGCAGAGGGGTCGAGAAGGTTGAAACGAAGACGATGCTGTCCGTAAGTATAAGATGCAAGTCGTGCCATCCTCTTTGGGAAGGTATTGTGGTACCGGCTTTCAACCATTCATGACTGGGTGTCAAGCGTTGCGATATACATCTACACAAGATCCTCGCCTTGACTCTCTGCACGTAGCACGTACAGCCGATGTAGATTCAGAATCATGTTGTTCGTGGTGAAGTTGTGGACTGATCGATCAACACCGACTCGGCGAGCATGACGCCACCCACGTCATCTCTTCTTATCACAAACGTGATCATGAGCTGACCAGGGCAGTCATCATATTTCCTTGCAAGATGGAGACGAGAGTTCGTTCCCCGAAGAAGTATAGCATGCTGCAAACATCCATCGTCGACGACCAATGTCGCATGGTTGTATTCACGACATCCACACAAGCATAAAGCAGTTCGGCACGATGGGTATCCCATACTCTAAACAAATCAACGCAGCCTTTGATGAGGTCACGCCACTGGTAACAGCAGGCTTCGAGGTCCTGCAAACGCTGAAGAACATCGCCCTCACAGTCGCGGTCATCCAAGTTCTGACCGTGGTGATTTTGACCGCAGTTTTGATCGTTCTGGTGGCACTCCTGATCACTATCAATCCGGATCTAGCTACAGAGCGGAAGCTGGTTGTGACACCGGTGGTGAGATGGTTTGTCCATGTATGGCTGGAAATGCAGAGTCATTGGCGGACGGTCTTGATCGGAGGAATGATCATCTTGTTGGGAGTGGCGTTGGGTGCTGTGGGAGGAGTGCTTATGACTCAGAAGGATTTTCAGAAGTTGGCGGAAGAGGAGCAGCAGCCGTCGAAGGAGAAGTCTGCGGAAACCGTGGACGCTGATGAAGGATAAGACCGACACAATCCTTACTGTCTAGATCCACTCCCAAGGCAGACAATTCGACTATCAGATCCGACACCGCCTTCGCTTAGGTCGTACAGGAAGATCCCTAGAACAGCAGCCGTCGCTAATACGTTACTGGTGACTTATCAGGACTATCTGTGTGATCAAAGCTCCGGGAGCTTTAGCGGACAGGAGCATTTCAACGGGAACCCCTCTACGAGCTCTTTCGTGGGCACATCCTTCATCCTTGTGTCTAATTCTACGATACCCAACTACCTGCCCGGCCTAGTCGGGAGTATGGTGGATTGTATGGGCTTACATCCTGGTGAAAGCTTGTTCGTCAGATTCGTCCAAGTCCCCCCCCCAGCACTTTAAACACGTGAGACATCCGCGGGATGGCTGTAACTTTTATCTTCACACCCTTGCTGAGGGCTTCGAAGCATTACTAGCTATGGGAATGGGTAATGAGACTGGAAGCCGATTCTGACTTTGTCTGATTGCGATCGAAGTACGTTCAAAGCAATATATACAGCATGCATCTGATTGAAATAGAAAGCAAAGTTTCCCCAAAGCTCGCTCGTCGTTGATTCTCGTAGCTGGTCAATAAAGGACATCTCTTAGACGGTAGGATATGAGATCGAGCCAGATCTGATAGCATCCTTCGCAGCCTCCTTCGCAGCCTCAGCGACAAGCTCGTTGGTGCTGTCCGAAGTATCAAGAGGATCGACAATGGCGCTGGCGATTTTGCGCGCTGGGACTTTCTTAGCAGAAGAAGTATGAAGAGTTGTAGGCGAAGCAGATACCACAGAGGATCTGACCAGCGAAGCACATGCAGGCAATCTCGGTACGGCGGAGCTCGACGCCTCTGAAGCAGTCGATATATCGTGTGCCGATGGAACTGAAAGCGAGGGTCAGCACACTGTTCATGTTCCACTCAAGGACTCACTCTATTGCTCAACTTACAGTTGCTTTTCCAAATTATCGGTGTAGATGATCGTAGCCAAAGTGTTCTTAACATCAATGTTGATAGCCTTCTTCGATTTGAGACGGTTTAGGGAGGCCTCAGCTTCTTCCATGCGGCCAACGCGGACCAGATACCACGGCGACTCTGGAGAGAAACTGATGATTGGAATAAGAACCAGGGGCCAGAACCACTGCAGAGCAAACGGGATCTTGTAGCCCCAGGCATCAGTGCGAGTAGAGAGTCCTTTCAAAACACCAGCAGAGATTAATTGTCCGAGGATGAACGACATGTTGGTCTGCAATATTCTTAGCTGGCTGCGCATACAGCGATCTCAGAGGGAAGTAGCTTACGAAAGACGTCATGTAAGTACGGAGGCAAGTCGGTAACACTTCGGAGGCGTAGGCAGGAGCGGTGCTCGCAAGAACACCCCATGGTAAACCGCATAAGATCTCTCCTACGACCAGGACAGGCAGGCTCGGTGCGAAGAACACAACAAATATGGAAACCATGAGCCAGGTGAGCGCGCCGAGGACGACCTTCTTGGATCCATACCTCGACACAAGAAGACCGGCGATCAAACATCCAACGATCGAGCCAGTGCCACCACCTTGAGAGAGACCTGCCTGCCAGGCGGCTGTCATCTGGTAGCCTGTGGGAGTCTCTGGTGTCTTGCCAACCCAATGACCATAGCGGATCAGGAATGATGGGTAGGCGAAAAAGTTGGAGAGCAGATTGGTGTCGTAGCCTTCCATGATCACACAAAGCTGGTAGAACATGGCCCAGATGACAGCGGGTTTGTAGAGACGGATTGCTTCCCAGACACCGAGTTCGTGTTCCCCGGCGGTGACATCGGCGATGGTCTGCTGGAGCGCCTGCCCGCCTTTGACGGCACCGCTTGCTGTCGGAGAAAGGTAGTTGGTCTCGATGTGGTTGACTGAGAGGTCATGGTTCTTCTCGTCGATGATGAAAGTGGCCGTTGCTCAAGGAGCTTTCACAAACCAGAGTGGTGAATGTGAGGATTCGTCGTCGTCCTTGTGACTGTACGTGTGTTGTGATACTGAGTGAGTTGACTTGAAGGGATATCGAGAGATCTGTATATAGGCCTTTCGTCTTCTTAGCCCTCGATGCAGTCGTCCACTTACACCGCCGCCAGGGCACGTTCTCCGCATGGCATGCAGTCGTATTCAAGAGGTGTCACACGATCGTTCCCGTCGTTCGGCTAGCCTCGATGAGGTGTAACTTTTGTTTCCGCCCAAGGTCAAATGCGCCAAACGGTGATTAGCTCGAACAAGTACCTTGACGAACTCAGCAGGTTCTGGCTCCGAGGCGTTGTGATCAGCAAGGTTGCTCCCGACATACCGGTATCTGGGGTTGGCGCGATGCGGAATACACGTGCGAAAGTCGGTCCAGGTCTGCTCCACTTTCCGATCTTATCGATCCGTTGTCTCGTGCGGCGGAGGCGGTGGTATACATGTACATGTACATGTACAGGCCGTGGAGAACCTCTCAACATTGGCGGAGGTTTGGCCGACGAGGAGCCGTAGAACTAATGCTCGCCCACGCGGAGTCTAAGTTGAGGTGAGGACGGTATGATCCACCCCAATAGCAAGCCCCTAGACTACACGGCGGGATTGATATATGCTCACAGCTGTGAACTGATCTTTGGCGAAACAGCTTCCGCGAGCGCGACGGGTCATCGACCACAAGGTATGCGGGGGCCCTCGCAATACCCTCACCATGGTTCACTAAGTTGGCAGAGACGGCGAACCAAACCTGCCACTATCATACTCGGAAGTATCTTCAATATCATATGTTCCATTTGATGCGCAGAATGATTTGGCCATCATCCATGTACCGTAGACTGCAACGATCTACGAACTGAATCATGCTCGGAGTCGAATAAGCATCTTTGTACCTCCCTTTGGTGTAATGTCTATAGGTCATCTGCAGGATTCAGCTCCAGGCCCCAGGCATCGAGCGTGCTCGGCCCATCGACCGCAAAATGAGTTACGATCGGCCGTCTGTGTATCACATGAAGCGCAATACTGTCTCAAATCGTCTAGGCCCCCCAGTGAACGTACGTGGTGACTAGCATTGGTGAGCTTGTTTGCCCTGGATGACGATCAACTCATCACAAGACTCTGGGAACAAGATAGCATTGCATGCCAAAGAGAAGTCCCCAAATCTATGCCAACAACCTATAGTTCCAGCTTTTGCAAGCTCTTTCTAGCCTTACCTTGCTCAGTCATGCTGCGCAGCCTGAACACCTTTGCAGCATGTCTCTCTACGCGCATATTGATCCGTCCTCTAGCAGTGACTTTGCCAATCTCGACGCCGAAAACGCGCTCATCACCTGCTGCCAGGCCTTCGATATATGGTATTTCTGTCGGGTTGTACCAGTCCAGCTTCTTGAACACCTTGCGTCTACCCGCCTCCAAGCTCGCTTCAAGTATTGCATTCGCGTCTTTTCGGTTCATGCGACTGTGACCCTCCGCCCACAGGTCGTGAATGGCCCGTGTCTGTTGCGCCTGGGGTGCGCTTCCGTGGGGACCGTCCATGACGAAGACTTCGTCAAGAGTGGTCGACATATCGACGGCCGTATCGGCAGTGTTGAAGAAGATGACGACTTGGTCACCGTTCCCGAGTGGCCCGCTCCAGATTTGACATTCCCCAACGCCGAACTCGTCTTGAGGTACAGAAGTGTTGCGATGATGCGCATCACGGCTTTGCCTCTTGGATCTTGGCTGATTGCGATAATGACGGGATTGGTGATGATCGAGAGCGTCGCAGCATTCATCTCGCGGAGGTCGTTGCCGAGCAGAAGCGGCGATTTCAGTGCAGCCCACATGGAAAAGTGTGCTTTGTACTGTTTAAGCGTCAGTCAGCATAGCAAGATGTTGTTGCACTATCGAGAACTCACTTCTTCATCAGTCATGCCACCGAGACCAACCTCAAGCATATCTAGGTCACTCCAGCCTCCGGGCATGCTTCGATCTGTGTATGGCGCCACCTTATTGATGATGTTGAGCACCGAGCAGTGAGTACCAGGCGCTACATGGTGCGGATCTGTCGGCTCGTTGCATCCGCAGAGGTCGTCAGGCCGAGCAAAAGAGTCGTAAATATTACCTGATATGCGCCATGAGTTGGCTATGGATGGTCCCCACTGTAAGATGTCAGTAGACCTCTTGGAGGTCTCGCATGAGCTGCCACTTACAGTGTGTACATAATCTTCGCCCCAACTGCAGAGGCTGTAGAGGATTGATCGTCCAGTAGCTTTGAGAGCCTTCGCCATATCGTTGAAGCGATTGAAAGTCACCAAAGGAGTACCAAATCTACCCATGTGATAACAATTATCGTATTTGAGGTAATCTATGCTGAATTTGGCGAAGCTCTCGGCGTCTTGTGTCTCATAGTCAAGCGATCCAGCTATACATCGTCAATTAGAGCTACAACCACTCAGTAGACGCATTAGACTTACGATATCTGGCACAAGTCATCTCTCCAGCGCTGGAGTACATCCCGAACAACAAATTCTGGGCATGCAAGCTCTTCGATACATGCTCCATGCCTCTTGGGAATTTGATCTCGTCGACGACCTGATTGCCGTCGGCACCACGTCCAACGGACCAGCAATCATCGAGTACGACATAGGTGTAGCCAACGTCTCGTAGCCCGGAGTCGATCAAAATCTGCGAGGTCTCGAGGAGAAGACTTTCGGACACGTCGCAAGCAAACGTGTTCCAGTTGTTCTTCAGAAACATCAGTGACGGCCTTACATCATGGCTCAGAAGAAAGCCTCACACTTACCCATACCATCTGTGGCGTTCTCGCAAGGCCATTCTCGACCGCAACGGCTCCTACAGCGAACGCTGCGAGCAACGAAGGCTTTTGCCGCATCATGTATCCACGTCACCGTATATTCAGAGACTGCGAGGGAATCAAGCTGGACGACACTGTCGCGGGTTTTGTTTCTCGTCCAAGCCGATCGTCGGTCGCATATAGCTATCGTGCACGAGGCTGTTCTGTGGACGCAGAGGTGGAAAACTGCGGGAAACTGCGGAAAACCGCGGGAAATCATCATACTGCTGTTGGTGGGAAATTGGCGGTATTGAGCTGCCTCAGATATCATGCAGGTCGAGACAGTGGAATATGAGCAGGGTGAACAGCCAATCTGCGCAATACTGCTCGAAATCAGGGCATTCGCAATATGGTCCAGGCAAGCATAATCGATCATTCCTCTCCGCTCTTACTGCTGCAAGACTTATGGTCGCCGACGGTTGAAGCTGTCGTCCTCAATGACATCTCCTGTGTGCTCGCCCAGGCGTTCACAGTCTATAGCGACGGGGTATGACTGTCACTAACAATGTGGTCACTCACATCCTCAACTTCCCCAATCTGCTGCACAGAATTACAGTGCGGTCGATACACAACAGATTCTGCAATCCATGCTGTTCACTGCTCTCGTAGCCGGACCCAACTACATCTTCCAGGTGTACCTCGGGAAGAAGATCCCCACAAGAGTGCCTTATCAATCACACGACAACCCTCCGAAGGTCCGAGATAGTAGTAGTGAAGATGAGAGCCGCGGACGGCTAAGTATTCAGAATACGGTGGTGAAGTTCTTGCTTGACCAGAGCTTGGGTGCGACAACGAACACAATGCTTTTCATATGTTTGTTCGGCATGATCAAAGGTCACGACCTCGCATATATTCAGCAAGACCTCGCAAAGATGGGAGGACAATACCTCAAAATGGTGATCTTCGCTAACGAAATGTAGCATTTCTGGCCACTTCTGTCTGCGGGATACAGATTTTGGCCTTTAGTCTGCTTGTTGAATCCAGTCGTGATACCTATGGAGTACAGGGGTCTAGTCGGAAACGCTGCTGGGCTCGGCTGGGGCATATTTCTGAACTTCTGGTGTTGAAGATGAAGGATGGAGATGAGAACAAGACGAGAAGGGATTAGTCACCCTTGCTTGGCGAAACATCAGATAAGATGGTTCTATCGTGCATAGAGCCGTCCCAGAAGTGGATTGATCTTACCATCAACAAACAATGAGGCCATCTCCTAGCACAATGCGGTCTTCTACAAGACTTGCTGCTGATTTCGGCCGGCTGTACAGATGCAACAGTCATGTGCTTGACCGGACATTAGACGAGCTCTACGTGGTCACCCCTCACGCCGTCTCTCGGTCTGGCCGGCAATGGTTACGGAGAACTCGCCGTGTGGTAAACCCAAATTGCCAACAAATGTTTGTATGAAGTGTCTTCGCCGCGGCAAGTGGTCCACCATCGCCTACTCGTCCATAACGCCGGAGCTTGTATAGTTCTCCACCTGCCCTCTTATCATTGCGGAAAACTACTGCCAATTTCCCATTCTGCAATCAACAGCAAAGGTCCTCCGCTGGCAGACAGTTTGCCGCCAGTTTGGAGCGGGCGGACTTGATCACGGCAAGATGAGACCGCCAACAGCGTGTGACTTCTGTCGGTCGGTGGACCAGGGAGATCTGTGCAAATAGCGCAATATCATTGCTGACGAACTATGACAGGTCACGTCGACGTCGATGCCAACGTATCCCTCTGGACAGCGTAACCTGCACGTTATGTCTCAAGCACAATGTCTCTTGCGTTGCGTCGTCGACGCCGACTTCATCTTCGTCAAATGGCCATGTCCGTTCCAGGTCCAATGGCAAGAACGTTTCCGTGCGTCCTTCGTACTCAACACATCCCGCCGAGAACCTCAGTACATCGACTAGCTGGACCGGCATGTCGATCGACGGGCAACAGTCATCACAGCAGGGAAAGCTCCAGCGGCGGTTGACACACGACAGTCCTGCTTCACTGGACAATGGAGGAGGCATTGATTTACCACCAGTAGCTGTGTGCTCACATCTCGTGACCATATATTTCGATTATGTTCACGATCAATTGCACACGCTCTTCCAGAAGCCCGCCTTCATGGCCGATATGAGCATGAACCAAATATCACCTGCGATCATGTTCGGAGTAGTAGCACTATCTGCCAGGTAAGAACGGACAACTCGTTGGTAAACGAAACGATCTGACGTTCGACACTGCAGATTTTCCTCACACGAATACTTCACCGGCCAAAGTCCTCGCACAAGAGCCGTAGCCTACGCACGACAAGCTGCTGCGCTCTTCGACCCAAGTGTCGTGTCCCTGACGTCCATACAGACGGCAGTACTGCTGGGTGCGTGTCGAATCGTTGAAGGTGATGCTTACGGCGAGTCGATCTACTACGGAATAGGATGTCGTATGGCTCAGCTACTCGATCTGCCACATCGAAATTGTTCAACCCGTCTCGAGCGCGAGATCAATATCAGAGGTAAGATGGAAGACTCGAGCATTATTGCCCTTTGGCTAACGGGAGTCAGTATGGTATACTCTATGCATGATAGACGAGTGGTCATCCACCGGCGTCGGCGTACCAAAGCAGATAACTTCGCCTCCAACAGACGTTGCGCTGCCATGCGAAGAGATGGCTTTCCTACAATTGCGATCCCACGACTTCTCCGCCTCTGCAAGTCCTTGGGATGAAGGTATGTCGACAATATCGTCCACATCATCGCTCTCGTCATCGTCTTCGCTGTTGGCGCAGATGATCCTTCTCAACCACATCCTATCAGATGTTAACAAACTCAACAAGCGCTCAGTCGATGATCGCATGCTTTTCCCAGACGATAATGCCGTCCACGCTTTATCAGAACGACTCGATGCGTGGGAAGCCGAATTACCACCCTTCATGCGAGATGACAGGTCCAATCTAGCTCACTACGCCGGACAAGGACTTGGCAGGATCTTCGTCGCGGTCTATCTGGGCTACTATCACTTCGGCCAGCTGCTATTCTATCAGTACCTGCATGGCGCGAGCGATGAAATGGAGGGCTTTACAAGCGACTTTCCTCGCCGCTGCAAGTACCATGCTGCGAAGCTGTGTAACATGGTCTACGCAGCCCTTGATACGCCCGGCTGCGACGTTTTATACAACGTAAGCTTTACCTTCTATTTCGCATCAAAAGGAATGCAATCTCATCGAAGCTAACTTAAATAAGATGGTCGGCCACGTTCTAGTAGTAGCCTCCACCGTCCAAATCCACACCGTCCTCTTCAGCACCGACGACGATGAGATCGCAGCCGCCCGCCAGCGCCTTGAGCGAAATTACACCATCCTCCTTCGCCTTCGCGACCTTTGGCCTTCTCTGGACTTCTGCATGATGCGGCTACAAGCCTTTCACAAAGCCTGCCGGTCTTCGATGGACACATCTTTCCGCCTCGACAAGTGGATGCTGACCTTCTTGTCGGAGTTTGCGAAGCCGGTGGATGATAAGCCCACGGAGGCGGACTGGGCTATTGGCGATATTGCTATCACGCCCAGGTCAGACTTTGGCTTCAACCCGACGTATTTCGAAGAGCTTATGGGGCCTTGAATTGGTCTAGACCAGGCTCGTGCCAGCTTCATAATCAGCAATTGACGCAAAGTCAGACTCGTCACTGAGTTAATACCCTGGCGACGGTAAGAGGCCTACGATCAGTATCGTCGTAGAGTCAGATTTGATGCCTCAAAGACGTCGAGAAGGTCGCCCGAGACAGCTCGCCAGAAGCGTGGTGGGTGCCATAGTTGCAGGATCAGTATACTGACCTGGCCGGTCCACAAGCTCGAAGACTGGTAGTGCCCCCACCCTCCCCGTGGCCAGAGCAACTGAAATGCTTACAGAGGGCACCATACCAGCAGATCGCGGTAGATCTTATCAATGATAGGTGTGCCGAGCTGTAATGCTTGGCCAAGATCAAAGAAGAGAGATGAGATGTAGAGTCTTCGAAATACTAGAATTACTACAAAAGGGGTATCTAGGCGAGAAACAGACGCCATGCTATGCCATGCTATTCTATGCTCTCCAATCGTCGCTACCAAGGTCATCAGGTCTACTAAGGCGTCGAGCTGCAGAACATCGCAATCACATTTACTTGTCATAAGCCTCAGCCCTCGAATCAGCCGTGGCGGGACTGGCATCCATTACCTCACCTCCCTGCTTTCCAGCAAACACCTGCCTCCCCAACGGACTCCTAGCCTTCGACTCCGTCTGCGCACGAAGCAACGCCTGACGGCTCCTAGCCGCTGCGCCGCTCGTGCTGGGTGGAGTTTGTATAGCGCCAGAATGCGAACCGGGTTGCGTATGGGTACCAGCGTACTTGGCTTGGACGGCGTTACGGTGGCGCTCACTCGTCGCTGAACCTGGTGTCGAGGAGCGGGAGGGTGTTTGATGCAGGGTGAGTGGACGGGGTGATGGTGAGGAGGGTGTTGGGTCGCGGGAGTAGGGGTGGTGGTCGAGTGGGTAGGGCTGATGGATCTCCTCTTCGTACCCATACTGATCATCATAGGGGAACTGCTGCGGGAACGCCTCAGGATCGAATTCAGGTCGCGGCGAGGCTGCGCCACGAGCATGCTGGATATACTCCTCTCCTCTGCGCTTGATAGGCGACTCGTCATAAGGATCGAATCCCACTCGTCGCAGAGCATCATGGCGCACACGCTGACGACGATGCTTATCGAAGCCTGCGCCCGCCGTCGCACTGTCTTCGAGGAAGAAGTTGAGTATTTCGTCTTCGATTGCTAGGTGGGATTCCTGGCGGAATTGTTGGAGGGCAGTCAGCTTCATCAACATCTCTAGTAGGGACAAGCTGGTTCTAACAGCCGGGTACTGGCCATGGAAAGGCGAAGGCTGCAGCTCTGTGGACTGGGAGGGGACGAGTTGGCCGTTCGTGGTGCGGTTTCTGGAGGTCGAGGAGCGCAGGTTCATGTTCGAGAGGGCGTTGGTGAGATCTGGACCGAGAGATGATTGTCTGCTTGGGGTTGGTCGCCCGAGTGGATCGGACGCGCCGTCTTCTGTATCTGAGTCGTCATCCTCAGCATACACCTCTAGAGCAATCCACTCTGGATCCAAATCCGCGGGTATGCGCCATTCGGGCGAGGAGATGAATGAACCCTTCTCACGTTGAGGCGTGCCAGGTGCAGATTCCCGCCCGAATTGTGCATTGACCTCACACTGCACATCGTCTTCGCGCCCTCCACCATTGACAGATGGCGTGCCGAGGTAGTCGTAGCCCACTTGCGATCGATACAGCATCCTCCTAGGTGGCTCGGCATGCACGTCGCGCTTCAACAAGAGGACCGGGTTATGGACATCGCTATCACCTCCAATGTTAAGGATCTTGCCAGTGTCTGCGTAGAAGATCTTAGATACTTCATGCACAGGCACAACATCACGGATGCCGGCGTTAGACACATCATCGAAGGATCCGGGCTGCGGCTCGTTCTCCTCGAATGTGTGCACACGATCGTCATCCAGGTCCTCGACGATGACAAGCTGGTAGGCAAATTCTGCAGCCTTGGCATCACCCCGTAGCATGTCGCCCTGCAAATTTTTCGAAACTTCACCTAGTAGATCGTATAGCGAGTCAAGTGGCACGCGGACGAGCTTCACCCGAGCCTTGTGGATGACCTCCTTCCACGTCGTGTTACGCATGCCGTCCTCGTCGAGTGGTCGTAAGTGGCCTGCGAAGAGCATGTACATACTGCATGTGTAAACAGGCCCGACTTGCTGACGACTGCCAGGCTCCGTCGTGTACTGCGTATCGGCAGCAGTCAGAAACGTAGATGCTTGCAGGAGCCGACTTGGGCTGATGGTGCCGGACAGTTTGGTTGATAAGTTGACTCCAGATGTGGTGATTGCAAGGTTGATCAAAGGCACAGCATCCTCGATGCGTATCATGAGTGCCTTGATGGTGGAGATGATTGCCTTGAGTTCGTGTTCGGTCTCGAGGCGGGACTTGGCACGACTGCTCTTGCGACGCAGAAGCTCTTCATCATTTGCCGCATTGTTAAGTCGAGTGCCAAGACGTTGGATCTCGTATCGGATCTCTTTGGTCAGCGCCACGGCGGACTCGAGTGACGTGTTGCCACGAGCGGAGATCAGCTCAATCATATCTATAGCGGGCGATATGATGCGGATCTTGCTGTCCAGACGTTGCTGAAGTTGAAGCAGCTCATCTCGTTCTCTGCTTCGTGGTGCCTCTCTGAGCAATCTTCCACACTGCTTGATCGCGTATGTGGCTGTGATGGTGACACCTGACCGGATGGCATAGTTCATCGCTTGCTGAGTCACACGGCCGAGAAGGATGTCCATGGTGGGTGCTCTCTGTGTAATTCAAGATGTTGTGAGTCACCCAAAGGAGAGATGGTTTGGGAAGATGTCCGGTATGAGCATGTCGAGGAGAGGAGTCCAGGCCAGGTTATATGAGGTAGCGAGTGCTGCAGCCTGGTCAGATCAAATTCATGTCGCGTTGTGTGCTGCAGAATATATCAGAATTCACGACTGCTCGCAAACGCGAAACGGCAACGGTGTCACGTGCTTTCCCTGCGTCTCCAGAGTGCCCCACTTCGCTCATAGTGGGATTTTGACCGGCGAATCGTCAAAATGCAGCAGCCGAACAATCACAGACACAGCAACAAACCTGCATTCACTTCACCCACTTCACCCGAAGAAGGCAGTCACGATCAAACCAGTGGAGAAGCCTCGACGACCATCGACACCGGGTCTCATACCCAAATCTTGACCACCAATTGACTCAACATGGCGGACTCGTGGGAGCAAGAGGCAGATGACCTCGCCAAGCAGACCCAGCAGATGAACTTCCAGAACGGTGCTGGACGAGGCAACGCATTCACACCGGGTGCACAGAGCTTTCAACCAGGCGCCAACAACTTCCAGCCTGGCCAGCAATATCAGCAGTATGGCTATGGCCAACAGCAGTACGGTGGTGGTGGGTACCAGCAATATGGCGGACAGCAAGGATATGGGAACCAATACCAGCAGTACGGTTATGGTCAGCAAGGCGGCCAGTACCAGCAGTATGGGCAGCAGCAGCAGCAGCAGTACGGAGGACAGCAACAGGATTACTCGCAATACCAGCAGCAACAACCACAGCAACAAGCATATGTACCGCCTCAACAACGGCAGACGCCTATGATCGCCAAGCGAGGAGAGGCTCTCCCTTCTGCTGCATCTTCACAGTCAGCAGCCAAGCCAGCAGCACCCGCCAACGGCACAGGCGCGGCCGCTCCGGTCAAGACACTATCGCTCAGTGCATCTGACACTGGTGCAGCACAGCCAAAGGTGGAGAAGACAACAGGTGGTGGGAAAGTAATGTCACTCAACATCGCACCACCTGCTCCAGCGTCTGCCAAGGAGACTACCGACAAGGACGCCCCAGCTGCAGGCACGAAAGTATCTGCTGCCAAAGCACTAGAGAAGACGGGTGAGCCCAAGCCATCATCAAGTGGCAACACATCACCGACTACAGCCACACCGTCAGGACGATCCTCACCATCACGAGCTGAGCAAAAAGCCGAGGCACGGAAAGCCGACTTGGTAGCACAGGAGCAGGCGGCAGAAATTGACGATGAGGCCCTGGAGGAGATGTACGGCAAGGAGCATGTCAATGTCATCTTCTTGGGCCATGTTGATGCTGGTAAGTCAACATTAGGAGGTAGCATATTGTATGCCACTGGCATGGTGGACGAGCGGACGATGGAAAAGTACAAGAGAGATGCTAAGGAACTGGGACGAGAGTCGTGGTACTTATCATGGGCACTTGACCAGACGAAGGAGGAGCGAGCGAAGGGTAAGACGGTAGAAGTGGGCCGAGGTTTCTTCGAGACAGAGAGGCGACGATACTCCATTCTAGACGCGCCTGGCCACAAGACATTCGTTCCCAACATGGTCTCTGGAGCCTCGCAAGCCGACGTGGGTGTCCTGGTCATTTCTGCCCGTAAGGGTGAATACGAGACTGGCTTCGAGAAGGGCGGCCAAACCCGAGAGCATGCCGTGCTCGCCAAGACACAAGGTGTGAACAAACTCATCGTGGCGGTAAACAAAATGGACGACCCTACAGTCGAATGGTCCGAGGCACGATACAAAGAATGCCTGACTAAACTCACCACTTTCCTCAAAGGTCTCGGCTACAACCCAAAGACAGACTTGTACTTCATGCCCATAGCCGCCCAAGTGACGGCGGGGATCAAAACCCGCGTACCCAAGGAGCTCGCACCATGGAACGACTCGATGTCCCTCCTCGAATACCTAGACCAAATGCAGACCCTGGAACGCAAGATCAATGCTCCATTTATGATGCCCATAGCAGCCAAGTACCGCGACATGGGTACCATGATTGAAGGCAAGATCGAAGCGGGTGTCCTGAAGAAAGATCAGAAGTACCTCATGATGCCTTCTCGTGCGGAGATCCAGATATCAGCTTTGTATGGCGAGACGGAGGACGAGATCGACCGGGCGGTTTGTGGTGAGCAGGTGCGATTGCGGATTAAGGGTGCGGAAGAGGAGGATATCTATCCTGGATTCGTGCTTTGCTCGCCCAAGAGACCCGTTCACAATGTCTCCTCTTTCGAAGCCCAGATCCGACTTCTGGAACTCAAATCCATCCTCTCGGCGGGCTTCAATTGCGTCCTCCACGTCCACTCCGCTACAGAGGAAGTCACCTTTGCCGCCTTACTCCACAAACTCGAACCCAAGACCAACCGTAAATCTAAGAAGCCTCCTGGGTTCGCGAAGCAGGGTATGAATATCATCGCTCGCCTAGAAGTGCAAGGTGGAGCGGGGAGCGTGTGTGTGGAGAGGTTTGAGGATTATCCGCAGTTGGGACGATTTACCCTTAGGGATCAGGGTCAGACGATCGCGATTGGGAAGATTACGAAGTTGATTACTGATATGTCGAGTGTTGAGGGACAGAATGCTGCTGCTTAAGTGTGGCTGGGTGTTGGTGACGTGGTGTGGGTATGGGTGGGCGGGAGACGTGTGGGAGGCTGAGGTTGTGGGTAAAAACGTAGGTTCGCCCACGAGCAGAGTAGGATCCGCTTAAGGCTGGGAGAGTATGCGGTCTATGGTCCGCCGGGCCGAACGCTTGTAGTCGAGGACGAGTCAATTATCCTTGATTAGTACATCGGCAGATGCTATCACAATATTCGCGCCAGATTTTCAAAATTGCTGTGCTACGACTGTAGTGCTGGTGCCCATGTCTAGCCCTTGTTCAGTCGTAAGGAGACGTCGAGATCCTTCCTCTTCCAGCCTAGCGCCTCATTGGACAGGACATCTATGTTTTTCATGAAAGCATTCAATCCGAAGGCCTTACTCCCTTTTTCTGTCACTCTCCGCAACATATGTGAGGGTGCTATGATACTGGTATGCAGGGCTTGGACGACGAGGATGATCACGGCTCTCTTGTACGATGGCGATCGAAGGTGATGCTCTGGCAGAGACGACAGCCTGCATATACTGCAACGACCTCCAGCCAACTATTGATAGCTTCCCCGGCTGCGAAACTGATAATACAGGGCGTCGAGAGCCTGTTTCTATGCCGTACGAGCGTTGGAAACGGAAAACTGCCTCATCCTCTTGTCAATACTGTATCGTACTCATCAAAGCTCTGCACGAACTTGCACCGCAAGCATTGACGGAACCTAGCCATGCCTGCAAAGATTTGCGGCTTTCGATAAGTGATGAGGGTCGCATCAGTGTCGTTCTGCGTGAAGATGGATGGGGCCGACGAGAAGCTGATATTCGCCTTCTCAGAGGAATGCCACTGGTAGATGATACATGTCAGAGGGCCTCAGAAGGGACCCATCAGGACGGCTGGCCTTTTGGTCGAGGCGACGAGATACAGCCGTATGCGGGCACTGCGCAAACTTGGGTCACAGTCAATGGCTGGCTGGATGAGTGCCTGGCTGGGCATCAGAGGTGCGCGAGCAATTTGAGCTCTACCTGGTACCCTAAGCGCTTGCTTCACCTTTCTAATACAGATGCTGCGCAGTTGATATATACACATCAACATCGGCCAAGCTCCGCCTATGTTGCACTGAGTCACTGCTGGGGAGGCAAGATTGGACTGCTGAACCTTACGACTAGCGAGCCGGAGCTGCTCAAGGGTGTGCAATGGGCCCAGCTGCGCAATACCTTTCGAGATGCCATCACGGCTACTAGACAAATAGGTATGCAATACCTCTGGATTGACTCGCTATGTATCCAGCAAGACGATCGAGCGGACTGGGCGCAACACGCTGAATGTATGGATAAAGTCTTCCAGCATGCGCAGCTTACGATAGCAGCTACTTCCTCTCCTAACAGCTCGACCTGCTTCCTAGGACCAGACACCAAGCCTTCTAGGAAGGAATGGCATGCTGTGAAGATGAAAGCTAGAGTACCTGGATGGCCTGCTGAGATCAAAGCAAGTAGATACTCACCTTCATTGTCACCGAGCTGGCCAGCAGATGGCCCTCTGGAGTTACGAGCTTGGGCATGGCAGGAGAGATATCTCTCGAAGAGAATCATCAGCTTCGCAGATGATGAGATGAAATGGCATTGTAATTCGGGCGATGCCTGCGAGTGTAGCCCGGCCATCCATACGCCGAACGAAAACAATAGCTCTTGGACGATCATCCGAAAGGAGAGAACAGCTCTGCGGTGGCGTGAAGTGGTGAGCGACTACTCGCCTCGGCATCTAACGTTCCCTAGCGACAAGCTCCCTGCGATAGCTGGTGCGGCATCTCGCTTTGCAGAGACTCTGGGGTCAGAGTATTTAGCAGGGTTATGGAAGTCTGACTTCCCTCGTTGTCTGGCCTGGAGGGTTCGTGAGGGTAGCGATTGTCCCACAGAGCCACACGAGATGCGGTGTTCCATGCCGAATTACGCACCATCGTGGTCATGGGCCTCGATAGATGTCCAGATCGATTGGCACAATTCTTCCAAGTTTGATGCGAATGGTAAATTGATCACCGTTGACCCTGCAATACACGATTCTGCTCTATTTGTGGGACATGACTGTCAACCGTCCACAGCGAACAGGTTTGGAGACGTACGTCCTGGTAGCTGGCTAGAGCTTGAAGGTAAGATCATCGATGCGCAGCTCGAATATGATGTCCATGGTTGCGCTTGCGTTCGCCGATCGAACATGCCTCCGCAGCTCGTCATGATCGATTGTCGTCTTGTTGCTGCTGCATCCAGGGAAGAGGAGCAATCACCAGTCCCCACAACTCGGGATGCCGGGGACGAGACAATGCGTCGCTCGTCGACATGTAGATCTTCCGCTGCTTCGCTCAGACGAATACGGAGAGCTCTCTACCACGAATACGAACCATTGATCGATACTGCAAGACGATGTGCGCACGTCCTGTGCCTGTTGCTTTATACTGAGCTCTGGGACGGCAAGAAATATCCGTACATACTCGTACTGAGTGAGACGACCGGAGGCTGTCATCAACGGGTCGGCATTGGGATCGGACACGATGAGTCTGAGCAACAGAATACTGGATTCGATGGACGATTAGGCTCACTATATCGAGCTAGGAAGGATAAATTTGACAGATGGAGGGGCTGGGAGACGCTCTCCGAGTGGCATGATTGGGAGAAGTGGTTTGCTGTTGCTGAGACTAGGACGGTGCGTATTGTATAATCTAGGGATTTCGATTTCTTTGATGGCTTATCTACCGGCATATCGACGACCGGCCCGGCAGTAGCATGAAGCGAGGAAAGTTCAATGGAGATTGTGATTCGGGTCCTTGCGATGTGCAATAGCACGAAGTGATTAGCTATAGCACCACCAGCAGAATCTCACATGATGATGCACACGCTGAGCTATGTGCCATGGAGCCTGTTGATTGTTGTCACTTCGAATGGGACCGCTTTGACTATCACACCTGAGACTACTCCAGACCGCATCATCAACAAAAGGCAGCCCAAACCGAGGCAAACAGATGGCGTCTTTTCCGAGAATCGATTCTGTACTTGGCTTGATGGGTCATGCTTCGAACGACGAAGAACCGTCGTTCGCAGTCCTTGACATACTTAGCCACGAGATAAGCAAGGCAGTAAAGGCACATAAACGTGCTATAGTGGCAGGCGAGCTGCACACTAGGCATCTCAAAAGTATTGCAGATGCAGCGACGCAGCTAGCCAATACTACCAGAGATCCGGAAGAGCAGTGGAATGAGTATGCTGTTATGGTGAGCATCGCTACCTCAAGTCTGCTGGTTCTTACCATGTGAGGTACTGATATGATGGTACAGATGGCCCAAGTGGCAGCCCTTCGATGCTACATGGAATGGGGATTTTTCGACATGCTCCCCTCTCGTGGTAGTGTTCGCTACGAGCGCATTGCGAAGGATCTCGACGCCGATATGGCAGTCATATCCGCAGATGTCTTCACGCCTGGTCCGACGAGAAATGTGCGCAAATCCTGTGTCACCTTCGCAACGCTTTGCGTCCTGGCGGCCGGATCTTGATCTGCGAGCAGATCTTGACGAATTCGCCTTCGCAGCTGACTGCGTAGCTGGATCTGTGTATGATGAATCTTGGTGGCAAAGAGCGGACACCACAGCAGTTCCGTACATTCGCCGCCGTTGCAGATTTGTTTGTTATGGCCATACATCAGCCGAAGGGCTCGGATATCGGTGTGGTCGAGTGTGTCAAGCGTAGCGGGTATCGTTGACCGAGATCTGACAATCAGTCTCAAAGCCTATCCTTTTGCATGTAAATACTTCAGCTGTTAAGCTATTGTATGCAACACGATTTCATGGTTTTCTTCTTTCGACGACATGCTCTTGAGCACCAACGGAGCGAAAGCATGATCATGAGACTCCGTTTAGTCATCATGATGCATGCTTGTGAGCTGACAGGGCTTACTCTGGATTGGTAATCGTGCTGCAAGCTTGCGAGGTATTATATTGTTCTAGCGCTGAGGCTCAGGCGTGAAGAACGACCTACAGGGCCTGTCATTCATGAATTGCAGTTCATAGACACACGCACGGATCATCGTCTTTCAGAATGAGAGCTCACACTAGTATACGATTTACAATGTCACCGTGATTATTACCATGCGTGCAATGAAGCCCGCCACTACTTAGCATGGAAAAGGAAAGGACATCTTGACGCTGAATTGATAGCTCACTACTCGTCTGCGGGACCCCAGGAAGCGTACTGAGCATCTTCAGCCTCTTCTGTCTTGCTCCCCTAGTCTATCATCAGGCCTGGTGAGCAATATAAGATGGCAGGCACCCACCATATTGTACTTCTAGACAACTGGGTATCGCCACCGAATGTTGACTTCGATCATCGAGTCACGCAATACAAAAGTACATCGCCAGACCAATTACCAGAGAGAATTCGCGACGCAACCATTGTCGTATCATCGTACACTCAAGTCACGAGAGCAGGAATCGAGGCTACTAGACACTTACAACTAGTCGCATGCAACAGTACTGGGACAAATCAAGTCGACAAAGTGGCATTGAAGGAGAGGAACATCCCGCTTTGCCACGTACCAGCTCAGAACACCGACAGTGTTAGTGAGCATGCTTTTGCACTCTACTTCGCGCTGCGGAGGCAGATAATTCCTATGCATGAGCTCACCATGGCCGATCAAGCATGGTCAATGGGCCCAGCCTTTCAACGGTTCCCGAGAGCACCAAGAACGAACTCAGAGGAGACACTAGTTGTGATTGGGTATGGTGCCATAGGTGAGCTCGACCAAACTGTCTGTGAATACATTGATCTCTGAGGCTAAAGATGTATCAGGTAAGAAGATAGAAAGTATTGGCAAGGCTCTACAGATGCAAGTACTCATTGCCGAGAGGAAAGGCGCAGAAAGCATCCGAGATGGTCGCATGGAGTTCCACCAGGCTCTCACCAAGGGTACAATCTTCATGGTAGTTGCTCCTCTCGATGACGAGAGCAGGAATATGATCGCGGCTTCTGAGCTTGGGATAATCGACGACACAGCTCTAATCATCAACGTCGGCCGTGGAGGTACCGTGAGCGAGCATGATCTTGCCAACGCTTTAAAGGGCGGTAAGATTGGCGGTGCTGCATGCGACGCCTTCAGTGAGGAGCCGGCGACGAGAGTCAACTGTCCGCTGCTAGACCCTACGATACCGAACTTGATCCTATCACCACATGTGGCGTGGTACTCATCCAGAACGATAAAGGGGACCATCGAAGTACAGAAGGCCAACCTTGAGGCATTTGTTGCTGGCAAAGCCATTAACGTCGTGCTGTAACACAGTACACTATTTGACCGACCCCCGATGGATCTTGATGCATACATCAAAAGATACACGCTAGAATTACCACATTACATCGATACACGCCCTCCGTCAAAAGTACGGAGGTCCCAGAAACATTCCAAATCGTCTCACCTCATCAAGCCCGACGAGCATACGAATGACAGCACTAGTGCATAGCCTTGGAGACAGCATCGCATTGTTGTCCTCAGGTCGAGGTAGTGCCCGTCGAGGTGCTTACTTCCTCGGTCTTCGATCCACGACGAAGAATCTTGTCGATCACCGATGCTTTGCTCGAGCTCCCAGTCGACGTCAGCGACCAGACACTACTGCGACGTCTTTGTCCAGAACTGGCTGCTCCTGTGGCTTCAACCGGCATCGCCTCTGCTTTCTTGACGACGGATGGAAGGTCTATGTACAATGTTAGCCACTTGCTCGCTAGGATTATTGGGACGAATAGATACGCATGTTCCCTGCTCCACCGATGCCGTGAGATCTTCTGCGCTCTATAATATTCTCTTCTGGGGAGGCCATGATCATATGCTCGACCAAGGTGTCTTCACTTTCGCCCGTTCGGTAGCTAGTGAGGCTAGTGATGGTGTCTTCACTCTCACGTCGCTGAGGTGGACGGTCTTGCTGTGTAGACGGTACTGATGACCGTCTTTGCGCGGTATGTAAGCTTTGTACTTTGCTTTGTCGGTAAGGCTGTGCCATCATTCTCTTATCATATCTACTACTTCACATATGCAAGCAGCTCAAGACAGCTGCAGCGTCCAAGGCTTGGATAAGCAACTTATACATGCTTGGCATTATCTGTGCCCTACCAGACGCCTGTATTTCGCGCAAGGCTGCACCCGATCATCTCACAGGACTGCTTGGATCGAGGTCGTGCATGTGGAAGGCCACGCAAGTGGCGCTGTAGCTACAGGGCACTTGATAAGCCTCGGAGCGGACATTGGCCAAGCTTCGTGGAGACCCCGGACAGAAAGCTTGTATAACCTGCAGCTACCCCGATCGAGACTGAGTAAGGAAGCGCCATCTGAAGTGGCAACTGGGTCTCTTATAACGACCTGCTTTGTGCCAGACGGCTTCAAAGGTAAGATGAGTACTCTGTGGCGTCGGATCTTGATTGCGACGGCCTCCCGGGCGCCTGAAAGCTCGGAGATGACCCTTCGCAGCTTGCAATCGTGATGAACAGCCAATGCACCGCGGAATCATTCATCTAGAGCCTGCATACTGGTAGAACATCGATCTTGTTATGACTCAGGTGATCGGTCTCCGGATAAGCTTTCCCAGAACATCGATCCATTCTTTGTATCGCACTGGTTTCGTGAGCAGCAAATCTATACCACTTGCTTGGCATTCGCTCTGGGCAGCAAACTCGCCAAGTGCGCTGATCGCAATGATCGTTGCTGGTGGAGGGCTTGATGCCTTCTCGGACTGCCGAATGCTTTTTGCAACTTGAAAGCCATTCATGACCGGCATATTGAGATCGAGAAGCACGACTTCAATCCTGCTTCTCGGACATTCAAGAGTCTCGCTCGCGACGGAAGTTGAGTCGTCTGGAAATACTGGGGACGCACCAGATCTTTTGTAGATGTGCAAAGCTTCAAGGCCGTTCTCGGCAGTCTGGTACCAGTAGCCGGCCCTCTTCTGCGGATAGCTCGAGTATGCGGAGATTAACAGGCTCTTTTCCTTGTCAGATGAGTGTACTGATATGGTCATGGTCTTGCTTACGTTATCGTCGACGAGGAGAAGATTTGATTTCCTGGCGGCATGGGAATGCGGCACGGTCAAGGCACGACTCATGGACGGTCGTTTAAGATGCGCGGAAGCCGATACTCTATTATGAGTGTCGCTATCAGCCTCTTGGGGAGCCAGGATCTGTGCGATGCTCAGAGTCGCAGTCTGTGTTTCGTGTCGAGCTAGTTCAGGTCGTGTGAATCTGAAAAAGCTCCGATCGGTATTTCTCGCTCCCCGTGCCGTTCTCGAGCCCCCATACTGCTTCGAAGCATTGTCGCTAGGACTTCGTCCATTCATGCCGGCGCCTTTGTTCTTGAGTACCGCTACTAGACACTTGTAAGCTCAACATTGTAGAGCGAAACTCCGTAGAACCAGTGACTTACTACATGCCGAGATCGTTGACGCAAGCTTCACAGCTCCTATCGGCAACCACAGGAACTGAGCATCGCTCGGCACTGGTATGGTGCCCGGTCTTGCCTTGAACGTAAGTGCTGCAGCTCTCGTCTGGCAGACCACGATCAAGGCTGTGTCGTTTCGATACATCTCCTGCATCAGATGTGCTCGTGTTGGCATGACGTTTGTGGAGAAAGCCGTCTTCAAGTCGCGCTCGTGGACGATACAGACAACCATCTCTTCATCCCTCGAGTCGTTGGTTCCACGAACATGTAAGCCAAGAGACGTGCAGGTCTTCTGAAGACTACTCGTCTGCCGACTTTGAGCTTCTTGCTCTAGTGCTTTTGGGCATGCATTGTTGGTGGGATCTTCGGAGCTGAAAATTAGGACCTGGGGCGAAGGTTGGGAATCTACATCCGAATGGATCCTGTTATCGTGCATGTCGTCTCTCAAATTCGCGGCATGTGACTTGTGTTCGATGTCTCCATCCAACATCGTAGCACGAGCCGGCACCGGCGCGGAGACGGATGGCAAGATTACTTTCACGCATGTGCCAACACCTAGCTCGCTATGGATCTGGACGTTGCCTCCGTACGATCGGACGATTTGAGCGACAAGGTTGAGACCCTAGCAAATCGTCAGGGCTTGCTAGACAGTAGCACTTCCGTACGCCTTGCTAGCATGATAGTTGGTATCGAGGAGGCGCAGCATGGTCGGTGTCTTAATAGCAGAAGAAACACATGAGGCTGTACGTACCAGTCCGGTTCCGCTATTCATACAGTCCTCCTGCTTGAAGGGCCTGAAGAGATCGTCTGCCTGAAATTTCTCGGACATGCCAACTCCAGAATCCTCGACCTGTATATCGTAGTCAGCAACGTCGAACAAATGATAGTCGATTGAGGACATGCGAACCACGAGCTCGATTATTGCATGCCGCTCATCGCCATGATGGACATCCAACCATTTCTTGCGCAACGAAACACTGATGTAGCCTACAGGTGTATACTTGAGCGCATTTGTGACGAGATTCATGCATATACGCTTCCAAGACCCACCAGATATCCGGAACCGCCAGTCGTCGTCGCAAGCGTCCTCGATATCGAGTATAATTGTCGGCTCCGGCGTATGCTCACTACGATCGTGATCGCTCGTCTTACCTTGATATTCGTAGCCCAGGCATGGGCTTCCACGGCAGCTTCGGTCAATAGGCTGAGCATGGAAGCAGGCTCAGGTTTGAGCTTATCGGAGCCCTTGTTGCCGTTCATTTCCTCCGAGGACGGGCGCCTAGAACGCTGACCGTTTTCGAGATGACGGGTGTGATCGCGCTGGCCCTGCACTCCGAGCGAGAGCCGTGAGTATTCAAGTAGATCATTAAGCTGAATCTTGCTATTAGAGCTGTGTGTATTGGGAAGGAAAAATCACTCACGATATCAAGCAAAGTGATCCCACTAGACGTGATAGATCGAACAAGCTCTCGGCTCAGGACATCATGGCTTTCAGACTGAGCTTCCAGACATTTGGCGCTGCCCAAGATACCATGCAATGGCGATCTGGGCTCATGCGATATACTCGATATGAAGTCGTTCTTCGACTGATCAGCGACCTGAGCTTCCATGCGCGCAATCTCTGCTAGTAACACATCACAGAATGCTGCCAGATAGGCCAAGTCGCTTCTGGCAGAGAGACTCCGCATTGAAGGAAAGGTGACGGCGAACAACGCCCCAAACCATGACTCTTTGTACGAGTTCCACATGCCCAGGAAGATCATACTCCGGATACCCGGGAAGCATGACTGTAATAAGCGTCGATGCCTCGCTCGAGTTGGCAGCTTTGAGGGCCTCTCAGAGGCTGATGATGGTGATCGAGGCTCCAGAATCAGTATAGGGGTATCGCTGATAGACGTTCGACTTTTTGAAGCTGTAACGAGATCTTCGGGCGGCACGGCAATCTCGGCATCGACATCGAAGTGCCATATATGTCCCCTCGGGTAGCGTCGTAGTAATGATCGAAGTGTCCTCTGATCCAAGCGGAACGGAACGGTATTTGTTGGTGAACTCGTGGTACTTGTCCTCCTCGATGCCAACCCCAATACTTTACATGGTGGTGATGCATGATCCCGTGAATTAGCCGGCATGACCGGGACGTGACCCGCGGGGGATCGCGATAACGCCGAATATCCTCTAGCTTCAGTGCTAATCGCCGTCTCAGTATCGCTCTCACTATCGGACGATACTTCGTAACCGCTGTGATAAGTAGCATGCTTGCCCAGGCTTGCATCGAGAAGTACGACTTCATCCGCGCCAAGCGCTACCTGCAGAAGTTGAGCGGCGCGGTCCGTGCACCGGTGCACATGTGATGCGATGTTGGCCTCGTCGACGTTCTTGTCCGTGGAGTCTGACAGATCACGCTGTACCTTTCTGTCAGGCGACGGAGTGTAAGTCTTAGCGACTGGTGCGGCATACTGCTCGGACTCCGTTTCCACAGCAGAGTGAGGAGGCGTAGGTGGTGACTGCCTTCCTAGAGGCTTACTTGTAGCTGATGGGTCCATGAGGTCAGCAATCCCGGTGCTCCTCTGGTCGGGTAAACCTGATCCGATTATCGCACCATGCTGTTCTGTCGCACAACGAGCTTCAGACGGTGATAGGGCCCATACTTGACCAGGTTCCTGCAGATCTCCATTTTGTAACCACCACTGCTGCGAAGACGATTTACCTTCCACAAAGGCACTTAGAGCTGTGGTCATGGCGTGGCTGCGCAAATGATCGGTCTTCAGGCGGACCTATGCTCACATGTCAGCACAACCCAATTCAGACCAAGTGGTCGCATACCGTCTCAAAATGCTCCATGATCGTGCCCGAAAGTCCACGCAGGAACTCTATCTCAAGCAAAGTAAGCCCATCCCGCGGCTTATCGTCCAGTACGCAGAGTACACCAATGTTGAGATTGTTAGGTGTAGTGATCGGCACACCAGCATAGAATCGTGCATGTGGCCCGCCTGTCACATATGGCATGTCGCAGAACCGAGTGTCTTCAGCAAGGTCGTTGACGATATGCACGATAGCCTTGGTGACATCGTCGTGAGCGATCGAGCCCCCATTAGCCGGCAGGTCAGCAGTGACTTCACAGACGGAGAAGCCGCGAGGTATCTTGGTGAAGCCCAACCATAGAGAGTCGCTAATTTGGTGCTGTGAGCTGTCTTCGAGGGAGAGTGTCTGAGTCGATTCGGCGATCATATAAGCATGGTCGGAGTCGAAGAAGAATAGCATAGCTCGACGAGTCTGGATACGGATGGCAGCCAGTTGCAGGAAGGCGGTCAAAGCTTTGTCTGCAGAGGGCACTGCCTGGTGCGCAGCCGCCTTCGTAGGGTCGCGGAGGTCGAATAGCTTTGGCTTCGAGTTGACGTGTGAAAGGACGGATTCGTAGTAAGAGTAGAATTCGTGGCCTCTCCTGCTTTCAAATGGTCGGCGCTCATGAGAAGCGTACGGCCGTTGGCCGTTATTCTCTGCCATCTCGGCCATGGTGGGTAGTGGGCGGTCCGCTGTGAACAATGGTTGTTTGAACAGTCGGAGGAAACCGCCGAAGAGATGGAAAGGTAAGAGCAGGACGGCGGTGTTAGCATGCTGAAGAAGACTATGTTCTAGACCTTACCAGACAGCTTTTGAGAAGTGTGGCTGCACAAAGAGGAATAATATGAGGCTCTGATGAGTCAGTGGCGTATCTACATGAGCAAGCATACCCGATGAGCTAGCTTATGAGCATCGCGGTACTGATCACTCAGACTTCCTGTCTGGACACAAATCGCCGTGTCAGTGCTACCAGCGAGCTCGAACAAAGAGATCCGGCATGCTGAGTCGTACAGCCCATGCTTCATGATCTAGTCCGTCAATCTAGGCTTCGTGCCAAACCCTGATTGGAATTAGATCGGTAAGCTTGTCCTCTAGACTTGCTATACCAGTGTAGTGCCACCAGACCCGCGTGCGTAATGGAGATCCAGAGAGACGGCGGTCGGTCCAGTCGTCCGGGACTGGAAAGTACAGTGCCCTTCAGAATTTGGGCACGGTCATACGTAGCGTAGCGGGAAGAGGCCAAGTACAGCCCGCTCAAGTGTATGCTCGACTGTCCCACTTCGTTCCGTCGAGCGGAGCATGCCCGCATGAACATCGCCGCAAAGCTAAAGTGACTTTTGCAGACACTATGTCCAGAGCAGTTCAGACCAGGTGGTGGCGGATGCAAGTCAAATCTCGCTCTCTCCGCACGTTCAGACTCGCTCAGTCAGCACTCTTGGCTCAGTCAGCACTCTTGTCTCATGCCTGCCAGTCCAGTGGTCGATGACCATGAAGACAGCAGCATCGTAAGTCCCCTCTCTTGACACCAGGTAGAGAAGCTCAAGGTATCTTCAACCCCCCAATCCCACCCTCAAACCCACTCAAATCATACTCATCAGGATACCTCTCCACCAACCCCCTCAACCTCTCCATCTGCTCCCTCTGCTCCTCGGTGACCTCCTGATAAACATCCATCATCATCTCCCTGATCGGAGGATGCTTCTCCTTATCTGCCTTCCGATAAGCCTTCAAAATACTCTTCCTCGCCTCGCTCCTCAACTCCTTCTCCTTACCTTCGTCCCAGAGATCGTTGTTCTCCATGTACTTCCTCAACCGCGTGATGGGGTTATCCCGGCGTTTCCAGTCCTCGACTTCGACCTTGGCTCGGTAGGCGAAGGAGTCGTCTGAGGTGCTGTGGTGGGAGACGCGGTAGGACATTGCTTCTATCAGGATCGGACGACATTCGTCTTTCAAGGCTAGTTCGCGGGCTTGCCGTGTAACCTCCCTCACAGCAAGAACATCATTCCCATCAACACGAATGGTATCAATCCCGTACCCCACACCTCTACTAGCTATTCCATCTCCACGATATTGTTCTAGTGTGGGTGTACTGATGGCGTAGCCGTTGTTTCGGCAAATGAAGAGGACTGGGCAGGCACGTGTAGCTGCTATATTTAATGCGGCATGGAAGTCTCCCTCGCTGGCCGCGCCTTCGCCAAAGTAGCAGGCTACTACTCTTTGGTCGTCTGTTGGGTTTTGCATGTTCTGCATCTTGACCGCATATGCCGCTCCAGAGGCATGCGGGATCTGCGTTGCGAGAGTAGAGCCAATTGCGTGAATATTGTGTTTGCGGCTACCGTAGTGAACCGGCATACTGCGGCCCTTGATTGGATCGTCCTTGGTCGCAAAGAGCTGGGCCATGAAGTCGTCTGGAGTAAAACCTCGGTATTGGAAGATTCCAGTCTCTCTGTATTGGGCGAACATAGGATCACTAGGCAGGAGACTCGAGGCGGAACCGACGGCTATGCCTTCTTCGCCTGCGCTGACCATGTAGAAGCTGACTTTGCCCTGGCGCTGGGCATCGAACATGATTATGTCCATGATCGATACCGTGACCATGTCCTTGTACATTTTGAGCAAGAGTTCAGTACTGATGTCTGGTGGTGACTGGTCCTTGTCTACGATCTTTCCTTCTTGGTCTAGGATACGGTACGTGGGCATGGCATCGTCCTCGCTGGCTCGAGAGAAGCGGAGGGAGGTCGTGAATTTGGAGTTCACAGCTCCTGGAAAGAGGACTCTGGTGAAATGTCAGCCATAGTTCTGTCTCGCCTAGACTGCTGGCATTATATTCTTATACCGATCACTCCCGGGTCGCTGGCTGACGGTCGTGCTCCATCTTTGCTGTCTTGCAAGATAGCTACATTGCGGTAGTGGTGCACAGGGTTTTTGTGCTGCATGCCCGAACGCTCGTACGACACGTCGCGACGCCATTGTATCCCTCTGTAGGATGAACCGCTACATACCCAAGACGAGACGATGAACGACAAGTTCACCAAACCGAACTTAGGTGAAAGCCGAGGGGTTATGCCTAAAGCCGAGCGGCTTAGTCTCTACAGATCTGCGTCAGCGATAGAGTTGCGTTGCGGATGTGGCAGCGGACACTACAGTAGCACTCTAAAGCTTATACTTGATCGATTCATGCAGCTTTCGTTTCATCTGATCTTTTGAGCCTGATCAACCTCACAGACCACCATCGATCATGGCATCCATTATCCCGCGAGCATGGAAACGGCTGCGGCTGTCAAAGACGAGTGGTTGGGTATGCAATGACTGCAGGAGGACATTCGCCACGAGCAGAGTACAGCGACAGCAACAACCGCCTGCATCGGGTCAACATGAAAGTCAAGATCCCAAGAGCACCCACTTTGGCTTCCAGACTGTGACGGAGGAGCTCAAAGCAGGCAGAGGTACGACACAGCATGTCTTGGCATAATCGTCAACACAATACTTACCAATATGATGGCAATGCACAGTCGCCAACGTCTTCTCCTCCGTCGCCTCCTCCTACGACACGATGAACGACCTCATGTCCCTCGGCATCCACCGCCTGTGGAAAGATCACTTCGTCCGCTCCCTCAATCCCGGTAGTCGCAATAGCGTAGAAGGTCAAAAAATTTTGGACATTGCAGGAGGTACGGGTGATATCGCCTTCCGAATGCTCGACCACGCCTCAAATATCAACCACGACAATCAAACCAGCGTCCTGGTCTCCGATATAAACCCCGAGATGCTTGGGGAAGGCAGGAAGAGATTTGCCACCTCGCCGTATAAGGCAGCGGGACGTGTGGCATTCCTCGAGGCCAATGCGGAAGACTTATCTGCTATCAATGATAGTAGTATAGACCTCTACACAGTAGCCTTCGGCATCCGAAACTTCACATACAAGCAAAAGGCACTCGAAGAAGCGTATCGTGTGCTCAAACCGGGAGGCGTCTTCGCCTGTCTAGAGTTCACCCCTCAACTTCGCAACCCCGTCATGAACGCCATCTACAAACGCTGGAGTTTCGGCGCTATACCGTTGATTGGGCAGGTGGTGGCAGCGGATAGGGATAGTTATCAATATCTTGTTGAAAGTATTGAGCGCTTTCCCAGTCAAGAGGAGTTCGCGGGGATGATTCGGAAGGCTGGGTTTCTTTTGCCTGGGCACGGAGGTGAGGAGGAGGGTATGCAGGGCGCGTGGGAGGATTTGACTATGGGTATCGCGGCTATCCATAAGGGTGTCAAGCCGGCGTAGGGTTGTGTGTAAGGAAGTCTGGCTTTAGCAAGGCGTCTTTGGTGTACACATATTCACGTGAGTCGAGGGCATACGGGCACCATCTTCTCAAGCGACATCGCTCGCTTACCCATTTGGAACCTATCTGGCCACGTCCTCCGCGGCACGCTCGGCGATCAGCCGTCCATATGGCCACATAGCACACCGCATTAGCGTGCCCAACGAATTTCGCCACCTCACAGCGTTCCTCAACGCCGGGCGAGCATACCAATTCAAGCGAATGCCATTCGGGCTCAAGACCGCCCCATCCACCTTTCAGAGGTTCATGGATTGGGGGCTGAGCACCTTTCGTGAATGGGCAGAGTGGTACCAGGATGACATCCTAATCATGGCTGAGACGCTCCCAGAGCTTCGGAGGAGGACCCGAGCACTGAAGTCTCAGCTAGCACGAATGAAGTGCGAAGTGAACGAAGCCAAGAGCGAGTACGAAAAGCGATCGACATTGTACGCTGGGCTTATGCTCTACGGACACGGGGTGGGTCCCGACAGCAGCAAGCTTGCGGAGCTGCTGAACATCCCGTGCCCACGTACGAAGGCCGAGGCACAAAGCGCACTCGGACTCGTCTCGTACCTACGGGACTTCATCCCATTGGTCGGACACTTCACCGCCATGTTGTACCCAGACAAGGATGGACTGAGACTGATGGAGGGGGACTACGCTAACCATTGGTCCCGCCTTCTCAGACATCTTCGATCGGCGGCAACGACAACACGTCATTGGAAGGATGGATGTGACGCTGACCTGTATACGGACGCGAGCAATTTTGCAGTTGGAGTAATACTGCTGCAAGGAGGCCACGCCGTGGCCCTAGCTTCACGCAAATTGTCTCCCGCCGAGACACGATACAGCGCCACCGATCGGGAGCACCTGGGATTGGTGTTTGCCGCACGAAAGCTTAAGCTCTTCCTCCACCAATCCAACGCTACAACGAGAGTATGGAGCGACCACTCCGCGCTGGTGACGCGGAAACCTGACGATCTCACACCAAGACAGGCAAGGTGGCACATGCTCGTGCAAGCATGGATGCCCAATGTGACTCACGTTCGGGGGAAAGTCAACCCGGCTGACTTCGTCAGCCGCTGGAGGATAGAAGGTGTGGGGGCAAATTTCTGACATATAAGACGCCTCTCCTCCCGCAGTAGTTTCCATAGCATCTCAAAAACATTTCTGTACTTGAATCGGCCCCCACGTGACTTGTACACATAGTGGGCTTTTTTGAGATCAGTGTGCCCTCTGTCGACTAGAGAATCTACTCTCATTCACATCTGGTATCGGAATCACGGTCATGTGTGGCGAGTACGTGAGCGGGTGAGTGAGTGGTTGCATCAATCTCCCTTCCTTGGCAAGTCACATGCTCGCGCTTCACTAGTAAGAAGTCCAGCTATAAAAGCTTCCTGCGTTGCCAACTCTCACTGCTCATCGACATCTATCAAGGAGCAGAATTCTCGGCGCCCGCACAAGGCCACAATCGCAACATATTTCTCGCTATCGTATGAAGACGAACATCCCACAACTACACGACACATTGATCGCAAACATGTCCTCAACCTTCGACTCGACGAGGCGTCGCAACAAGACCCGCTCCTGGAAGGGCTTTACAGCGTCGCGGCGACCATCGTCGCTCATCTTTTCGTGTGCAGATCGGCCGAATTTCTTAGGCTCTTCGCTCCGGTAGTCATCCTCATCGCCGTCTTCGGTGTCCCGGCCTGCATCGTCCACCAACTTGTCTTGGAAATCCGCGAACTTATCTTCCCAGGCTCTGGCGCCGCCAGGACCATGGTGCTTCATTCGCAGACCAAAGTGCGACTTCCGGCCTATTTTGATTACCCTCATCGCCAGCGCATCTTCACTACGCTCTTCTTTACCATACATCTCATGATCATCAGTACCGCCTACCTCATCATGCGCATCGCCCGAACCAGTTTCGAACCTGGCTCAGGCAGCAGCGCTATGATGCAGACCGGCTACCTCCTCCTCGGCTTCTTCGCACTCCCGACTTCCATCCTCGTTGTCTTCGCCACTACCACACTCGACAGGTACCTCAAGCGCCGGATCCACTGTAACGCAGACGACGAGATCAGCGCCGCTGAGAACCGCCCGGGTAACTTCGGATTCGAGGTCTTCGTCGGCGTTGTCACGCTCGTCCAGGCCATGATATGCTCGTGTCTCATACTGTTCGATACTACTGGAAAGGATGTGCGGATGGCGCGTGTAAGGAGTGGATCGGCTATGAGTGTTATGGTTACTTGCTTCGTTATGTGGTTGGGTGCGCTGGCGGTGCGTAACAGGACCGAGGTTCGTATCATCGACGCGGCTATTCGGAGGTCGAAAGAGCGGGAACTCGAGGACCTGAGGAACGAGAAGGCGTTTGTGGAAGAGAAGCTTATGGTTTAAGTGAGTATACTTGCCACTGTAGGCTTGGCGTAGGGTTGCTATCCTTGCGAGGGTTCGGAGTGGAGACATATGTTACTGACGGAGCAACGGGATGAACGAGCTCGAAGGCGTACCGAGTTGGGCAGGCGTATTGAATAACATGACTGGTCTTTACAAGTCTAGCAACAACGACAGGATTGGGATACCATCTAAATGGTGTCAAGCATCCGTGTGTCAGACATACCCAAAAGTCTTGGCATATAGCCTTGACCTGAAGACTGAGCATCCTCGTCAAGCAATGAATGCCGTTTGTAGACAGTGCTTGATGTTCTGGCTGCCTGCGATTGTCCATTACATACAGCAGGCTATCATCATACAATTACGTGAAGAGCGCTCTATCATTCGCTCGTATTACTTCTTTGTCATACAGGCTGAAATTCGTAAACCGATCTCGTATACATCTGGCGACGATGGTCAGTGAAACTTCTGACCCAATGCTTATATACGTGACTTACACAACAAAGCCACCCAAGTACTATTGCAGTTTCCTATGTTCCAGCAAGTTCAAGTCAATGCCATTCTAAAGATCATCGGCAGCTGCTTGACCTGCCGCCGTCGCCGCTCAGCAGCAGACATGCTTGTCCTCCCGGAACTTGTGCTACTATTTGTGCTTTGAGCAGGCGCCACAACTCTCCTAGTCGTTGCAGGCCGGATGGGAATGACTATTGGTGTGGCCGGTGCCGCGGTGGGCAAGATGGTCGGAGTCAGTGTCGTGTACTTGTTTCGCACATAGTCTTTGCGGTCTTCAGGACACTGATTGATCATCGCTAGAGCCTCGGTTGGTCGTTTCTGTAGATGGGTGATACGAACGAGGAGTGAGACGGCATCGAAGTAATGGTCACTACCGTGTTCATCTTGGTCCCACAATCCGACAGCCGTGCAGCATTGCTCGAAAGCATCTTCCAGCTTGTTGAGCTTGACAAGCTTGACGGCGAGGAGGTGCCGTATGTGGGCTTCGCGAGCCTTCGTAGCGTGGTAGTGTATGCGCAAGAACTCGGACAGGATTCGTTCTCCTTCAGCATCTCTGGCCGATGAGCCGAGGCAGACGGCACGGTAGTATGCAAGCTCGGTCGTGTCAAAGGTCTGGCGTAGAGCGGACGGTAGACCGGCTAGCATCTGCTCCAGTCGGGCGAATGATGTGTCGGCAGCATTCAGGTGGCCCTGCTGGTACTGCTTGACTCCGTCCTCGTACAACCCATTGGCTCTGGTGTAGCGAGTGTGGTCTTCAGGAGTTGTGCTACAACTTGCATCAGAGATGCCCGAGATACCTGAGTCGCTGCTTAGTCGATTAGGTCGACCGGCTGAGCCCGGGCGAAAGGTGCTTCCTGAGCCTGTGGTCCCGGCAGTGGCGTGGGTCGACGATGGCCGTGTCTGCTGCGAATGCCTTCGAAGTTCTGCAATAACGACATCACGATCGTGGATAATGTCATTGGCTTGGTCAAGATCATGTTGTGTATTGGCTAGCTGGTTCCCCTGGGCTCGGATTTGCAGGCTTTGCTGCGCGTTCTCTTGTGTGAGTCGTTTGGCCGAGTCGTCTGCAGTCTGGTACCTTGCTTTGTAGTCGTCGCCTCGCTGCGTGTAATATCGCAGCTCCTCGTCGAACTCCGACAATGCTTTGCGAAGATCTTCGAGAGTTCCTGCCAGATCATCTCGGACCTCGTTGGTCTTGCTCATGCAGCGCCGGTAAGCATTGTAGTCCCCATCATGGACGTTGTCCAATCCTATGCGGATGGTTGATAAGGCTGGGCTGCAACCCTCTAGCTTTCTGATAGCAGCATTAAGCGTGCGAGTGGGATTTGCCATGCTGGTGTAGATGAATGTGAGTGGTAGGGGCCGAGTCAGTGTTGATGTGAAGAGGTTGAAGAGTGCAGGAGGGCAGAAGAGGAGGAGCACTTCCAAACCTATCAATACCAGGGCGTAGTATGAGGCAGCCCTTTGCTGTATGTCACACGCATATGTCATTTATCTGGTGTTCGCCACCAAGGGCGACCTCACGGTGGCTCAGAAAATGAGGCATGAGGGCGACGTGAGGCCGCACTTTGCAGCCTATGCCCGAATGCTTTGCGGCCATGCAGTCAGCATCCCATGGGTAACTTCACCAGAGTCAAAGCCAAATGATGTCCACAAGACCGCAACAATGGGTGGGTGTCCACGGCATAACTTACAAGCACGGGCACATGGATAGCTACATCAATTTGCACTGCCTTCTGGCCCCAGCCATTGTGCTTGAGGCCGCCATGCGAGCCCGCGGTTCGTGTGAGTCAAGCATTCGAGCCGCAAAATGCTGAGCCTCGTATTTTGTGGCATGGAGCGACATATCAGACGACAAGGTAAATCGTTGGGAGGTGGGAAGTCGAATACAAGGAGTTGGTGCGTGTTAGAAGAGTGGTGCATTGAAGCTTTCTTCACATTTTCGTGGTGACTTCGAGTATAAAGACAGCAGTAACAAGGGTTTTTTGGCTGCGCTAATAAGGGGGCGCGAAAGGTATACTGCAATATTCTCAGGTAATGCTCAAACGCACAGACGCGATCTCAGCCCCTCTCCTTCGCCGTTGTTTATCACATCACAGCTTCACCATCTCACTGCCTGGTGCTGAGACGTGATTAAGCCACTGAATGGTCACATTAGCTGTTTTGAGTCGAGCAATTGCGCAGAGTGCCACCAGATACTACGGTCACTGTTTCAGGCTCCTTCACCAGAGCTCGCGTCCTTACTCGTCCTTTAGGGCGAACGAATCTCGCACCGTCCGGATCCCCTGCCATAGCAATGGCAATATCGATCTGAAGTATGCTACCTGTGCTACCTAGGCTACAAGGTCATCTTCCCCAAGCATCGCACTAATTCGTACAGTATCTACGACCCTCCATCCACCAGTCAACGAGAGGATGTACTACCCCGTGTCTTGTTACACCTTCCGGCCGGACCTTTGCTGCGCCGCGAAGCGGTCGATGACAACACAGCCTTGTTACAGATAGCAGCCGAGCTCTCATGTCAGGTAGTCAAGATCAACTATCGGCTGAGCTCGGAGCACACGTATCCGGGTCCCATACATGATATTCTGGCGGCCTACGATTGGGTCGAGCAGAATCTCTTGGCAAAGCGCTCGATCTCACGCCTCGGTCGATCAGATGTTCTGGGACGCGTTGCTGTCCAAGGTGAGCTTATTGGAGGCGGGCTGGCTGCTATGCTAGCCATGACCGAATGCCAGAAAGGCCAGCCCGGGATCATTGCTGCAGTTCTACATAATCCAGTCGTGGACTGGGTTGACCTTGATAAAGACTTATCGCCTAGACGTGCTCGCAAGAAGGCCGACAGTAGTGGCACGAGGGGTGATCTCACTGCTGAGCTCATCTCCTTACGGAACCATGCCTTCCAGAAGCCTGAGCATTACTTCGATCCTTTCGCCTCACCCATGCTATTTCTGCGGTCTTCTGGTGTCGAAGTACCATCCCCTATCCACCAGGTAGCACCGCTCAGTGATATGGCTCAGTTGGCCATGCATACTCGTGAAGTGTCAGAAGACATCATCCTGGCTGTTACTGAGCAAGCATCACAGTCACCTGGAGAGGTATTGTTTGCAAAGCCTCACAGAAGAGCTGCCAAGCGCTATCCAGGTCCGGCTTTGGGACTGAAGTTGCCACCATTCTACATCACTGCAAAGTCAGGATCGCCTCTATATACTCAGATACAAGAGTTCGTTCAACGACTCAGACAAAGCCATGCACGCCAACTGCGAGGTGCAGACTTCGGACGCAAAGTCTTGACTGACGGCGAGGTCGACGGACTGAGTGAAGTTGACAGACAAGAGTATGAAGACATCGATGCTGAAGCTCGTGGTATGGTTGGATTCATGGCCACGCACAACGCCTTCCCAGCAAGGGCCACTGATCCGAGTGCACTTGCATGGCTCCGCAGCACCCTACAGTGACTGAACGCCCAGTCAAACGGCCGAATGCAAGCCTACACCCAATCAGAGCAACAAGATCTGAGAAATCTCCTGCTCAGCTTTCAGGATCGGGTCGGCAGAGGACATGATTCATAGTCCTCGGAAGCCAACATGATCCGAACGACAGGCAGCCGTGACGGGACGCTGTCAAATGTTTCGCAATCCTCATGAGCTCATAAGTAGGTAATCGGGCACGACTCGGACCGGGCATTCAAGCAGGAGAGTACAGACTACAGCAGTGGCACGATGTGTACCTTAACCTTGAGTTCATTGAGTCTCCGGATGGCTAAGCGAGATTGTCCGTATCTTGTCAAGGCTCCGTCGATAGTAACCTTCTTGAGCCCCTTCTGCACCCTTGACCTGCTTTTCGTCTGACTCTAGTCGTCTTCTCGTCGCACCTGTTCTTGACGTGTATGACTGGCTACATGCCCGCATAGGACTACTATTGACGCAACCATAAGTATAGGCTATCGCTATCCGCCTATCTGTCAGGCGTCTGAGTGCTTTTTCGGCAATTCTAGTGCTTTCGAGACGCTATTGATATTACTCCCAGCTGTCGATACGATCAATGGCTGTCGAGTCGTTGCGAGTGATCCATTACCACTTACAGCATCAACAGAGAAGCACTGGTGGTGTTCTGCTGCCTGTCGAACAATCTACAGTTATCGAAGTGATGCGTTATAGCAGCGCGCCTACCTCTAGACAGTCATTATGTTCGTGCCTTCGGACAGAGCGACTAGACCCAACCTTGTTGTCATGGCTTCTCCCGTCGACCGCTAGAACGAGGGTTTGAGGTGCAAGTTTAATGAGGTTTATTGCCATTTCTTGCATGATAATTTCGCGCTAGAAGATAGCGAACGTCTGATCCATGATCACAGTCGCCTCATTGAGAAATCTATTATCGATTGAGCCAGAGGTCGTCGGTCCGCATTGCCCTGATTGCCAAGTAAAGCTGCCAGAGAATTTCGCAATGCTACCGCCTACATGAGTAGCTTGTTCACCAGGAAAGATGCAACACGAGGGTAGCGGCCATCGTCGCAGAGCCTGGGACCCTGAACATCGGACCGGTACATACTGTACGTACGCTTTGAGGGCCACGGGTATGTTCGCATCAGGAATCTGATCAGCTCGGAGGCGATCCGCCAATCTGGTGGCTCAAGACAATACTGCCACCATAATGGACGACCGCACTGCAATCGAGGACCGACTAAAGGCACTGACACATCAACATGTGAAGACTGCAGGCATGTCGGTCATGGGCGCAGGTAGCCAAGGACCTGCATATCACTTTCATGCTGGATCAGCAGACATTCTGCACAGCCAGCGAATAGACGAAGCACATCTCTTCGGCATTGGGAGCATCACCAAGATATTTGTAGCCGTTGTCGTCCTGCAGTTGGTCGAAGGAGGCAAGCTCAAGCTCACAGATACTGTTGGGCTCCTTCTGTCGGCTGCCTTCTACCGCGACAGTGATGATGCTGAAAGTGCGGCCGTACAACAGCTACTGAGTCATACGGCTGGAATCGACAGTTGGGAGGACGATCCAGCATGGATAGTGGATGGACGGGGGTGAGATGATCAAGTTCGAACGTTGGTGGAGCAAAACTGATGCCATCGATTATCTTCGTCGCCGGAAGATCACCGCACCATCGCCTGGGAAATGGTATTACTCGAACACGAACTATACCCTCCTAGATTTGATCATCGAAGAGGTCACCAAAAGTACTGCCGAAGCAGAAGTTCGACGAAGGATACTCCAACCACTAGCAATGAGACGGGGCATTTTTCGAAGGCTTCGAGGAGTTTAGTCAAGAGCATGTAGCTCATCGCTACCACTACGCTACGACATCTTTTCGAGAGACCGCTGGGCTCAGTCCAGCTTTTGCTTTTGTCGAGAAAGATATCATAGATGTGACTGGAACCAATCTCTCCGTGTCGTGGATGGCAGGAGGTATGATATCGCATCCTGCAGATCTAGTTAGCTTTGCAAGTGCGTTGAGAGACGGCAAGCTACTCGCACCATCGTCGACAGCTCTAATGCAAAGCTGGATACCGACGACGTTAGCACATCATCAGATGGGTCTTGGCCTGTTCCGCCAAAGTCCTCTTGGACAAGGCGCATGGCTTGGGCACTCTGGTGGTGTCCTAGGGTCTTCAGCTCAATGGTGGTGGCGCGAAGATGATGATTGCGTGGTATGTATACTACAAAACGTGGGCACCGTGAATTCTGGCATAGTGCCGTACGGCAGCAAGGGCCTGATACAGGAGTCGGAGTTCCTGAACCTCGCCCGACAGCTAGTGAGCCACAGCTAGTGACTCTGTCGTACCCGTTGCGGACTGGTGTTATCCACCAAGGCGTGGTCAACGAAGCTAAGCATCGTAGATCTAAGGGGTCAGTAGGTATACGAGGGATCGTGTTCCCATCTTGAAAGGTTGGGGTACCTTGTCGAACCATATCATCTCATCGAGATCTTCCTCTATTTTCAGTCCCAACTTCACCACCTTCGCACCCTCGAACACGAACTCCGCTGCCATCTGGGTATCGCCTCCTTCAACAAAATCGCTCAGGTGGACGACATACTTCGTCTGATCGCAGATATGCTCAAAGGTCAAGAAGAAGCCCATTGACCGATCACTGGCATCGATGTAGAGCTGGTTCCCCGTGATCTCGACCTTCATGGCTTTATATCCTTCGTTCCAGTAACGGCCAGTATAAGTTGATAGTGACCTCTTCTGCTCCAGCTCGCCGTTTCCGCCTGAGCGCAATTCTTCCTTGAGATCTTCCACCCTCTTCTTTTCCTCCTCGATATCACGCTCGACATCATCGTGAAATTGCTGGTTCCAATCTGGACGTTCGTCTTGTGACACTTTCAGGACCTGGTCTATGAATTCCCTGGAGACAATCGCTGCAATGTCATTGGCGTCGCTGGAATTACCAACGATCACACCACCGAAGTGAAGTCGTGGCATGAAGAAGTGCGTCAGACCTGTTCAGGTCAGCGATGCTGTGTTGATACGAATGGAATAGCAACAATCCTACCATATCCGTAGTTTAGACCGTCATGTGAAACGATCTTGTGACCACGGTAGCTATAGTCAATGGTCAGCATCTTTGGGTTCATATGAGCTGTCAGATCAGAGAGTATAAGCGTGCAGCGTCACGACCATAGGACGTAAGAAAGCAACATCGCGACTTACCATGCCCAGTCAATAGAGCTTTCCAACTGCCTCCCCAAGATTAGGGATCACTCACCTATTTAACATCCCACCCAGCAGCATAAGCAGTCCAAGAAGTCATCGGAGACCTCTTATCATCCTCAACCTCGTCATCTTCAAAAGTCCTCGGCTTCGTCAATCCTTTCACGATGTCCTCAGTAAATGTATCCTCCCTCTTCATGATCGCTTTGATATACTTAGCATAGTCATTAGCAGAGGTATATATCGAGCCAGCTCCTTGCGCCTCGGGAGATTCCAGCCATGGTATCGGCTTGTACATGTCGTTGTCATCGTCGTATTTGTACGGAATCGCCATGCGATCTTCAAGGCCAGCATCGATGGCTGCCTGTGGTTGAAGATACGAGGCTGTCATACCCAGGGGCTTGGAGAACCATCCTAGTAGGATCTCCGCGAAGGACTTGGTGGTGAGTGTCTCGACCAGATGGGTAGCAACAGTGAACATGAGGTTGCAGTACTGCATCTTCGTTCATACCGGTTGGCTGATAGCAAGACTCCGAAGATTTCTGGTGATTGTCTTCGCTGAATCAACCTCTCCTGTCTTGACATTCAGATTGGCGAAGTCGCTTTCCGGGCTACTCAGAGGTGTTGCGCCAAAGTACGAGAAGTCATGCCTTGTCATCTCATCAGTAAAACGTAACCATCAACCCAATGAAGAATGATACTCACGCAGCAAGACCAGTCCGATGACTCAAAACATCCTCAACAGTGACTTCTCTCGTATAACTCTCCTCACTCATGACAAAGTCCTCCGGCAGAAGATCACACATCTTACTATCCCACTTGACCAGAGGGAATTTCTCATCATCCGCCACCACTAGAGCCACAGAAGCAGCTGTGAGGGACTTGCTGCAAGAAGCAAAGTCGTATATCGTGTCGCCTGTGCATGATTTCTTCTGTTCGAGGGAAGCATAACCGTAGCCTCTTGAGATGATCTCGTCATCTTGGACGAGGGCGATGGAGAGGCCGGGGACGTGCCATTCTTTCAGTAGGTCGTTGATGTGCCGAGTGTGTTCGTCCGAGTCGAAGAGACCCATGATGTCGAGATGTTTTCGTTGAGACCGAGTCCACGAGAATGTGATGACACTTTATACAGGCTAGGGAGCAAACATACCTACCCATATCAGTATCTCAGTGTCATGTCGTGCAAACACAAAGTGCGCTCTTGACGAACAAGGTTTCGACTCATAACGTGTCATTGCGGCTGACGAGCACGCAACCCAATACGCAGGACTGATGAGAACTCGCTGACGGTCGACCAGCCAAGGACACCGCCTGCGCGAAAAGAACGCAATGTTCTGACAATCCTCTGAATACAATCTACAACACAATCTCCGTCCTGCTATACTACACTAAACTACACCCGCTCAATCGCATCGATCAACCAAAAACGCCCTCGCTAGAGACTTTTATTGACCTCCTTACGAAGCATTCGCGAGCACTTCCAAAATCGCCTGCCTAGCAGCCTCCACCCCCTCCTTATCCCCCATAATCTGAATCGCCTCCCCCTGCGTCTGATCCTTGGGAACCTGAATATTAGCCCCACTCTGCTTCCGGATCCGATTAATCACGCTCCCGCCTTGTCCAATAATATGGCGGTGGGCGCGCGGGTCGGGCAGGATGAGAAAGCCCATTGTATCCTGCTTTTGGGCGTCGGCGAGCGCTTTCTCTAGCTTTGTACGGGCGGCTGTGAGGGCTTCGGGGGAGGGGCCGCTGAGGACCCAGGGGATTTCGCCGTCTTCGTTTGAGCCGTGCAGGTCGTGTGTTTCCCAGTGGTGGTTGTCTGCGTTCTCGCTCGGGTCGTCGGTGATTAGTGGTGCGGCGCCACCAGCTGCACGGTTCGGGGTAGGCGCTGCTGGCTTGGGTGGTGGTCGTTGACCGGCATGGTCGACCGTGACTTGATGGTTGTTCCTCAAGTTGCGGAAGAATTGTCCATTATTCGCGATACTGTGATGGCAGCCTCGTGGTATTTGCACAGTCTCGCCTTCCTGATCTTTTGTGATCTCGAGGATATGTGCCTTTGCTTGCTCGACATCCTCAGGCTGTCCAGCGATGCGGACAGGACCTGACTCGCCTTGCCGTGGTATGTTGATCTGAACCTTGAACTTCTGCTCGAGCTGTCGTCGAGCCTCACCACCCTTGCCTATCAAAACTCGATGCTTGTCAGTTGGCACATCGAGTGTGTCGTTCTTCTGCGACTCTTGCTGCTTGACCAGCGCCTCGATAGCGGAGCAGATCTGCTCGACGATGGCGCGCTGACCTTCGACGCGAATGTTGTTGCCTTCTGCTTCGGTCTTGGGGAAGCGGATCATGCGGTTGTATTGGCGAGGCTCTTCTGGCCCACCTGCTTGTGTCACGATTTGACGGAGCGTGGCACCTGTGAGAAGTTAGCAGGTGCCTGAGCCATGACACAATGTTAGTAGACATACCTTCACGACCAATAATGATGCGGTGATGCCGCCTCTCAATGTCAAGATTACGTGTGATGGAGTCATCAAACTCTTTAGACCTAGCCAAAATAATCTTCTTCGCATCCTCGACAGCCTTCTTCGAGCCCTTGAGCTTGATTTCAACGCGGCCATTCGGCCCAGCAGCATCTCGGGAGTTTGGCACATCGATCGATGCACCAGTCTCGAGGCGCAGACTCTCCATCTCTTTGCCACCAGAGCCAATGAGGGACGGTAGTTGACCTTGAGCGACGGACACCGTGTCGTTATGCGAGTTGGCACGCAGATACTCAAGCAAGCTGAGTAGCTCGTCGCGGCATTGATCTGCCCCTCTGCTTGGGCCCTTGACAACGACCACGTTCGGCTGCTGCTGGCTACGCTTATCGGCCACCTCGGATGCATCGTCGTCATTCTTGTTCGTTCGTGGGAAGTCGATGCGCACGCCGTATCGCTCTTGTAGACGGCGAATCTGTGCACCACCAGCACCGATGAGCTCTCGGTGGTACTGTTGAGGAATGTTGAGTTGATGATTCGCCTCATCCTCAAGCTTCTTCACCCATTCCAGGATGTGCTTCTTGCAAGCATTGGCTTTGGCCTCTGGGCCCTTGAGCGTGCACTTGCCGTCGTCAAGCTGGATATCGACGTCGAACTCCTCGCGCAGACGGTTGATGTTGGAGCCGCGTTGGCCGATGAGGTGGTTGGCATGCTTTTGTGGGAAGTCGAAGCTCAACGTGAAGCCGCGCTCAAGCTCGTCCTGGTGCTCTTGTTGGATGAATGCAAGCAAGCTGTCATTCAAGGCGTCCACAAAATCCTGGGGACCACGTAAATTCACGTTTGGCGCTTGTGCTGAGCGCTGCTGGCCTGGCTGTCTCTGTCCACCATAGTTGACCTGGACTGGAATTTGCCCATCTGGCAAGCCTTGGTGGTGCTTGTCAACATGTCGCCTAATCTTGTCGTGAAACTTAATTGGCGCTTCGACATCCTTGTCTACAATCTCCGAATGGCCGTTCATGAGGTTGAGTATGTATTGCTGAGCCTCCTGCAACGCCTGCTGGAAGGCCTGAACTTCCTGCGAGGTGGGCTGTTTTCGAGGCAGTTGATATTCTGGCTGAGGCTCGCGGCCCTCGAAGACTAGCAGTACGGGCTCGCCATGCTCGTCCGGTACAACGAGGCGTACACCATGGGTCTCGCGGATGTGACTCGCTGCCTGCTCGCGCAAGTGGCTGTGGTAGAACGGGTCGACATCGACTGGCTGGAAGCGAGTAGGAGGATGGCCGCTGACAAGGTTCATCACATCGGTGCGTGCCTTCATGGCAGTCTTCTGATCAGGAGCATAGATCTGCCAGTTGCCGGTGCTGTCTGGCACGATGCGTGCATTGTGTGTGCGCTCGAGCTCGGCCAGAGCCTGGCGCTGATGCAAGTAGCGGGTCATGTCGCGCACATGCGCTTGTGCGCCACGCGGAGCGCTTGCGAATTGTTTCGCAATATCTGCATTTGCGCTCTGCATCTGCGAGGCCAGGTCGTAGATCTTGTCGGTGGCCTCTTGAATTCTGTCGGCAGGGCCAACAATGGTGATCATCTCAGAATCGTCATGGTCAGGAGGTAGGATGACGGAGCAGCCAGTCTCGGCCATGAAGTCTTGAAGGGACGAACCCATATCACCGACGATGAATTGATGCCTGTTGCGCTCCATTGCCATCTGCTCAAGTGTGAGCTGACGCTGCAGCTCCTGAATCTGGCGATCGATCTCAGCACGAGCCTGAGCGACAGCCTCACGATCACCAGAGACGTGGATAGGCAGATCCGCTTGTGGCGCGAAGGAGATTGGCTGGCGGTTGGCAGGTGCCTCTGGAGGAGCTTGGCGGCTCCAGGTGTGGTATTGTGGGATCTGCATCTTGAGGTTCTGGCCATGCTGTTGGCGCAGAGCGGACATGCGAGCATTCTGTTGTGCTGCCAGAAATGGGTAGTACTCGGCTGGAACGTGCTTGAGCTTAGAGTTGACGGTGGATGTATGCTCTGCGACGATGCGTTCAATGTCCTGCTTTGCCATTTGCACCGCGAAAGGATCACCCTCGATCTGCACGTCGATTGTAGAGTCCTCGTCTTCCTCAAGTATAGCTGCCGCCTCTTGCTTGGAGATGTTGATCTTGGCACCGGTACGCTTGGAGATGGCTTGAATGGTTGCGCCCTGCTTGCCTACAATCCTGCCGCGGATGGAAGATGGGATGGGCACTCTAATCTTCTGGTCCTGGCACAATTGATTTGCAGCCTCCTTGAGAGCGACACGGACGGCATCGGTAGGACCAGTGCCTTCGAGGATCAAACCAGAAGTGCCTTCGCGGTGGGTGATGGTGGCCTTGGAGCGCTTGCTGATGTCGCGGAGAATCTCGGCGATGGGCTTCTTCAACTGGTTGGCAGGTGTCATCATCTGGCGAGGCAGAGTCACAGCCTCCTTGTGACGACCAGGGAGCTGCATGCTGCCGCCAGAAGCAGGAGCGGGAGTGCTGGACATCATCATGCCAGACTGAGCAGTGCCGGTGCGGGAAGACTTGTTGGAGGGAGCTTGGTTGTTGGCGAGTCCGTTGGCACCGTTCGCAGCTTTGCCGACGGCAGCGGGCTTCTTGGACCAGGGAGTCGGGGCGGAAGCGGCAGCCTGCGTCTTGGGCCCACCAAGAGCCGGGAAGGCTTCCTCGGAAGCGGTATCCAAGCGGGACTTGGGCGCGCCCGCCGTGCTTTGCTCTTCGCGCATCGGCTGCTTGCCCGCGGCTTTGGCAGACATGGAGGCGGGATCGGGGGAGGGAGCCGTGGTGACAGGCAGGGACGGAGCGGCGGTCGGGTTGACGCCGGCTGCATCGACGTCCGGAACTTCTTCGACGTAGGCATGATGGTCCTCGGCGTGCATCTTCATGAGCTTCTCGGCGGGAGTCAAGCCGTTGTCGGTGGTGGCAGTGTTGCCATTCGCAACAGGTTCAGAAGCCATTTCGAGAAAGTGGCTTTTACAGGTGGCCAGGGAGCTATAACCGGGGTGTGGGTGTGGCAGAGCGTATGATGGTGGTGAGAGCTTTAAAGGCTGCAGTCCATTCCACAAGAACAAAGATGAGGGGAGGGAAGTGTGCACGGAAAGATGCTTTGGTGTGGGAGAAAGCAATAAGATTGTGGATGAAGGATGATTTATTACTTACTAGTACTGCACATGCGAAAGTGCACAGCTGGAAGCTCGCGTGGAGAAGCCGAAAGCTAATTCGCGGATAGTTCCGCTTCTACACCTCCACCTCCCCTTCCACCTTCCCCTCCACCTCCACCTCCCCCTCCACCTTCACCCTTTCTTCATATCCGCCCGTTGGAAGTCATTATTATTGGCATCTGCTCATAGTCGACGTGAATGGTGAGATGGACGACCTCGCGCTCTAGTCCTCATACCAGGTACTCGAAAGCGCCTTGAGCTGACTCACTGCCGCCCAAGTGAGCATGCTGAATTCCAAGACACCATCCTCATCTTGCCACCCTTCGCTCCCCATCGCCATAATGTCTTCGCAAGCTGGTGTACCTTTGCGAGTCATGAGCGCGAGCGCGTGCGCGTTTGATCAGACCCTGGTTCTACCAAGGCAGGTACGACCGACCACAGCCATTCGACCGAAGTGAAGCCACTTTAGCAGCAACGCCTCCCAATATGCCGATGAGAACTCGTGTTTCAGCTTCACTCAATAGGTCAATCACCTCACTTGAGCTATTCAGGCAGCTGCAATCTCGTGGACTCGCCATGGTGCTCCTTGATCGGTACATATATGAGCGTGCTCGTCCTCCTCGAGCTCGGCCATCCTCCTCTCATACACACCCCACCCCCAGACATCCTTGACACACCTCTTACAATACTACTTCCCTTGAGACTTCATACCATCTGACAATCGTTCCCCAACATGCCTCCAACCTCTGGACGTCGCAAGACTCAAGCCGTCCGGCCCAACAATGATGAGGAAGACACCGCCTCCATTTCCGTGGCTCCAACTGGCCCAAGCATGCTCCAGGGAACCATGTCCATGCAGACACTGACACCACAGCAGGTCGAGGTCGTCATGGACATGCTCGACCAGCTGCGAGAAGGTGGCGTGGAGAAAGATGTCGCTCTGCCAGGCTTCGTGGCAGCGGGTGACACCAGCGCTGGAAAGAGCGCCACTCTGGAGCGTCTCGTGGGCATTCCTTTCCCGGGCGGTACCGGTGTTGTAACTACTTTCGCGACGACTGTTACTATGCGCCCAGCCAAGGAAGAGCGTGTCCATGTCACCATCGTCCCAGGGGACAAGCGTACGGAGGCCGCTGCGGCAGAGTTGCGCAAATTTCATCGCGAGATCAGATCTCCCGCCGAGTACGGTAAGGTCTACAACGAGGCTACTCAGGCCATGAGCAAGCACCAAAAGTCCACTACTCTCCACGACGACCGACTTCATGTGGATGTCCGTGGTCCCGGCCGCTCACCTCTCTCCGTCATCGACTTGCCAGGCCTGATCCATGCTCCGTTTGGCAACGTCACGGGTCTTGATCAGAAGCTCAGCCACGAGATAGTCAAGAAGTATATTTCTGGTCCTCGCACCATCGTCTTGGCCATCATTTCTGCTGCGAACGATGTTGCCAACCAGGCTATTACCAGCTACACGCGCGAGGTCGACCCAGAAGGCAAGCGTACGATGGGCATCATCACCAAGCCCGACTCTGTCAAGAAACATTCTGAAAATGAGAGCTCCTGGATCCAGCTCGCGCAGAACGATCTCATCCCATTGGACCTGGGCTGGCATGTTCTAGTCAACAAGATCGACAAGAACACGACTGCTACTCCAGCCGAAGTCGATGGGAATGAGTCAAAGTACTTCAGCCACGATCGCTTCGAAGGCATCTCAGAGCAGCAACTTGGCCTCGCAAGCCTGCGCCCGCGTCTCGAGGAGATAGCATCAGAACAACTCATCGCCGTCCTGCCAGAAGTCGAGCGTGAGATAGACATGAAGCTCGCCAAAACCGAGGCCAAGGAGGCGGAGCTTGGATTCTGCCGCACCAACAAGCGTGAGAGACGTGCTTTCATCGCCGAACTCAGCAACAGCTTCCGCCAAAAGGCTCTGGCCGCGGTAGAAGGCTCTTACGCCGATCGAGTTCAGCGCTTGACAGGCCAGAACGACGAGAAATTGCTGTCCAAGGTACGTATTGCCAACGACGGTTTCGCCGCCAATATGCGTCTTTACGGCGCTACGCTACGCATCGAGGGCGCTCTCAACGTCGAGGATGCCAAGTCTTCACCTCAGAGCAGCGCCGCATCCGAGTACGATACCTTTCGTAGCGAGGGCAAGGCTTCTACCCGCAAAGATGCTCTTGTGTGGGTCAAAGGCAAAGTGAATGAATGTCGCGGTTCCGAACTCCCTGGTGCGACCAACTCAGGCGTCGCCAAAGAACTGTTCTGGCAGCTTGCTTCAAAGTGGGAGAACTTCGCCACCACGCACGTTGAGAAGGTCTTCCAGCTCTGCAAAAAGTTCGCAGATACCCTGCTTACCACCGTCCTCGGCAAAGGGGCCGCGGATCCCAAGGGTAGGATCAAGACGACGTATATCGATCGCAAGCTCCAAGCTGCCAAGCAAGAGGCTCTCAAGCGTGTCGAGAGGTTCGTCGAAGCGCAGAACACGGCTCTCTATACGTACGATTACGCCAGCAACCAGCGCGCACGCAACAGTTTCTACCTCGACGCTATCCGTGGCAATAACGGCAACACACCTCCGTACACCGCCCACGAACAGCAAGCAGTCGAGGCACTCGACCAGGCCATGGCCATCTATTACGTCCGCCTCAACTACTTCGTCGAAGCCGTGAACCTCGAGGCCGTCGAGCAGGAAATGGTCTTCATCATCCCGAACTTGCTGGCGGATATTACACGCCAGACTGATGAGGAGCTCGAGGGTTTGGCGGCGGAGTCGCCTAAGAATCAGCGGAAGCGCTTGGAGATTGAGGCTTCGAGGAAGCGGTTGATGGATGCGAAGGGGAAGTTTCAGGAGTGTCTTGGTGGGCTTTATTGAGGTGCAAGTACGTATGAGGGCGGGCTTGGGGGATTGAGGCAAGAGTATTGCAGATTAGAGAGGTGCGTTCCAAGAGCAAAGGAGAGGCGAGCGTTGGGCGGAGGGTGCATGCTCTGCTCTGCTCTGCTCTGCTCTGCTCTCCGAGAGCACACTTATGACTTACGACTTATGATAACGAGATTGTCTCTGCGATCGCGTACCAACAGCAATGACTGATGCATACTACCGTATACCATAAGAATATGTATTTCGCTCAAACAAACCAGTTGTGTAATTGAAGGCACGTGACCATGACTGTCTGTCTTGACTCGTGTCCTTTTCCCAGCCGTAGCGCCCGCAAATCCCATCCGTCCAATCACTTCCCACCCCTACCAGTTCATCACTCTTTCATAAGCGCTCGTTCTTTGCCAAGCCAGAGAATACTGCACCTCTCGTTGCGAAAGCGCTGTGATGTTATCTGCCATTATTTTTGGCGCTGGGTATGAACCAAAGACTGAGGGTGTCGATGGCGTGTCACGTCTGATCACCGCGAGCACCAAGCGCTTCGAGTAGGTATGGTCAATGGTAAGGGTGATCCTATCACGATTTTCTTCTCCTTGCTGTATATTCGCTTTTCCATACCGTCTCGTCGCTGTAATCTACCATATCTCCCTTTGAGCGCTGTGCGCAAAAGTCGTTGATTACACCACAATGCGCACCATCCCCTTCTTCATCCTGGTGGCAGGCAGAGCCATAGCCATAGCCCAAAATATCGCCACCGTCACCGAAGTTGTCACAGTCCCGGACTCGACATCCTTACAATCGACATCCTTACACCAAGTCAAGCAGCTCCAATCCACCACTTCGACCGGAAGTGATGCAATGACGACTGTACCAACCACTTTCGCCACAAGCATAAGTTCCACAGCTACGGATATGAGCTCTACAGCAAGTCCCACAAACACTGCAAGCTATGGCTCCTCCGAACCAGGCGCTTCCATGAGCGGTGTAGACACGGAAGCTGGCGCCTCGGGTTCAGGTTCATCTTTCAGTATCAGTACTGGCGGCCTGGTAGCCATCATCGTGATAGTAGCGCTCGTCGCTCTCTTCGCTAGTACGTCCCCAAGCCACACCTCCGAATCAAATCAATCAAATCAATCAATGAATCAATTGATGCTAACAAAGTTCACAAAAGTCGCCTCCCTCACCCTCTGGCTCATCGCCAAACGCCGCCAAGAAACTATGCGGTCTTCTCTCGCCCGTATCTCCCGCCGCATCACCGCACCACTGACACCTCGCGGTCCTCATCGTGGTGGTGGTGGGGGGAGCTCGAATCGAAGGACGACGGTGAATAGAGGTGCTTTTGCTGAGGCCGGTGGGAGGGGAATGACGAGGGGGCATAAGAGGGGGGTGAGGATTGGGGAGATGGAGATGGAGATGGAGAAGGGTGGTGGTGGAGGTGTGAGGGAGGTAAGGGGGACGGGGAAGAAGGCGGGGTGGGGGCAGAGGCTTTGGGGGAATGATTGGAGGTGATGGGGTCTTTTTCATGGTGATGGTGGGTCAAGGCGGAAGGTTGAATCTGGGATGTATATAATGCTTAGATGTACGACTTGATATGCTGCGGCTGAGTTGCGAAGCGAGAGGTGCAGACGTTGGTCGCATAGACATAGCATTGAATCGTGAAAAGCCGGCATTCAGTAAGGCAGCGGATCATCATCATCTTCTTCTTCTTCTTCTTCTTCTTCCTCCTCAACCAGCTCAATCGGCGCCGTACTCCTCGGTGCACCACTACCACTCGCCACCACCCCACCCGGCCTCGCACTCCCCCTCGGCTCAGCCTTCATCTGCGTCTGCCGCTGTAACAACGCATCCACATCCGCTCCATTCGCATCTTCATCATCATCATCGTCATCAATCAGCGTAGCATCATGCTGTGTCCCACCCAACCCCCCACCACCACCTTGCGCCTCTTCCGCTTCTAGCTCTCTGGCTCGCTGGATCCGTTTGATCTTTCGTAGAACGATGGGATCGCGGTGCAGATCGTCTTTCGTTAGAGTCTCCTTGCAGCCGCCGCATGGACATTGCACGGCTGGTTTGCCGTTGATGCGGTTTGCGGCGCCTTGGAGGAGGGACATGAAGGCTTCTGCTTCGAAGTTGTGGTTGCATTTTTTCGAGCTGAGGGGGTCGCGGAATTCTTGTAGGGTCAACGGACATCTTGTGCTGATTGTTGTTCGGGCAATGGCGATGTCGTCGTCGCTGTCGTCGTCGTCGGCGGAAGCTCCAGCACGGGTATTGACACCAGGTGCAGGCGCACCACTTTCTTGTGGGAACCATGTCCGGGGATGTGGTAGGTCCGGCTCGTCTGGGTCTTCGGCTGTTCGTGCATCGTGTACCAGACCTTTGAACTTGACGTAGTCGTCGTCCTCGGCATATCGTACTGCCAGACTGTGAGATTGATAGCGCACCTTGGCATCGTCCAGCTTCGTCCTAAAGACTTCCACGGGTGCGGACTGTGGTTGGGTGGCAGCCGTTGGGTCCGTCGGCTCAAAGTCCTCTACGTCTCCATCTTCGTCATCGTCATTGCTCGCGCGAATGCGTCTCTGCGTCGTCGGCATCTGGGTGCTTGCTTGGGTACTCGCATTCACTCTCGCCTCGTCGGCGGCTGCCAAGACACTCTCCTTGATTTGCTGAGTGCCGCGCTTGCCGTCGATCATCTTCCGCATCGTCTCCTCCATCCGTTGGGTCATGCGGTCGACCTTGTCCTGGAGATCGTCGAGATCCTTGGCAATGTCGTCCACTCCATCTTCATCTCCGTCACCATCGTCGTTGTTCGCATCACTCCGCCTGCGCCGCTTTCTGCTGCCGGCATATTCTTTCCTCTTGCTGACTACGCGATCGTTGATCGCAGCAGCATTCTCCATCACACCCGCTACAGCCTCGTCAAGGTGAAAGTCCAGACTCTTGAAGTTATTCTTGTGGCGTAGCAGGTCTGCCAATGCCCGTTGTGCAGCAGGGTTGAGGGGGAAGGTCGGTGCTTCATAGTCGGGTAGATTGTTGCTGGTGGATTGTCCCACTGCGGACGATGGCGGTGGTGCTGGTGATGGTCGACGCCCGCTTGGGGTGTCGGGTGCAATCGAGCGGCGTGAGATACGCATACTAGGCGTCGGTCGCAAACTTGACCTGGCCATCTTACTAAAAGAATGGGAGAAGAGACGAGAAGTGATAATCGCACGTATCGCACGTATTCAGAGTGACGCAAAGTAAACACTGTGCTGACTGAACTGCTTTGAGCTAAATGCAGCTTTCCAACTCCGAACTCCTTCCTTTCTTGCCTCCCTTCACTTGATTTATTCACAAACATGCCTGCTATCCGCAAATCATCATCCATTTCATCTTCCTATCCTTGACCATACTCTGCCTCTTACTTCGTGATGAAGTTGAGGTAGTCGGCCACCATAAGCGTGACCATACTAAGACGGGAATCAGCATTCATACCAAAACCCCTCAATCACGAAAATACTCACGCGTGAGGCGCAATGCGCACATAATATGTCGCAAACCCTCGATAGAACCTCAAGGGCCCCTCTTCTCGGATCACCTTCTGGAAACAGTCAAACATGCCCTTGTACGGCATCGTACCATCCGGTCCCCTCGTCTGCTTCTGCAACCTCGTCTTCATGAAATCGAATGGCAGGGAGAAGAACGATGCGAAGAAGCCAGCAATGGCCGAAGCCGTCAGAGTTTGCGCCCGCGGACCCATCGAGCTACCTTTCAATTGTGCTTTGGCTTCGGAGAAGAACGCGAGCTGGCCGAAGTTCAAGGCCATGGCTCGCACGATCGTGGGGTATGCTCCTGCCCAGAGTCTAGCCACTCCTTCGTTACGTGCAATACGCATCAGAGCATCGCCTACGCCCTTGTAGTTTGCTCGCTCAGCTGCTGGCTTCAGACCATCTGACTGCATCCTGATCAAGGCCAGATCTGCGGGGTTGCCAACCATAGCTGCCAGACCACCCGCAGTCAAACCCGCCGTCGCTCGCTCTCCAAACCCGATCTTATTCCCTTTCGCCTCAGCTCTTACGGTCAAGGACTTCATCAGGGTGTCGAAGATGCCTAGTCTCGCCGTGGTGTAGACCGCTTGTCTGAGCAGACCTGCGGAAAGACCAGTATACAAGTCCATGACCTTCCCAGCCGCGATGATGTCTCTGGTTATAGTGATGGGTGTGGGTTTCGGACCAACCTTGGCTCCCTCGCCCGCAAGCTGCAACCGTACTTTGATCATGTCCACAGGCTGAATGACCGTCGTGGCCACCATACCTGCTGCACCACCATTGACGAATGGTAATGCGGCTCGTATGAATGGTGTGTGGAGGAAGCTTTGCGTAGCTGCTTTCGGATCCTCTCGCACCTTTTGTATGGCTGCCGGAGCATCTGCAGCCATGTCTTTGGCAGTTGTCAGAGCAGCATCGCTCTTTCGCTTCGCGGCTTCCACAGCCGAGCTCATCGTAGGGTCAGGGAGGGGAGTGAAATCGGCGTAAAGGACGTAGAGGTCGATCAATAATGTGGTCGTTCGAGAGGTAGTGCCAAGATGTTCCTGCTCGCTGCCTGACGAACAATCGACTGCCTAGTCTCCCAGCTACAGTGCAGTGTCAGCTGGTGATATGTCTGATTTGACACGAATCTGAACTAAGCAAGCAAGCAAGCAAGCAAGCAGATCAGAAGCAGCGCGACCAGCAGTAAACACCGCCAATGCCCACGTTCCTCCGTCGTCGGGCTCATAGTGCAGCAATTCCAAACGCTACTATCCAATATACCAGCAACCCGACTGCTCCCGCGCTCTCTCTCTCTCTCTACTCACCTGTTAATGCCTTGTCGCGAAGCCGGTCGCTTCGCGTGGTATCGGCTCGTGCCCCGCAGTAGTAGTGTAGGACTGCTCTCAGCTCTCTCACATGAGGATTCGAGCGTTCTAGACGGCGAGCGAGGATATGCTTTCTTATGACAGACGATTGGTGGGATACAGGTAGGTATACAAGACAACAAACAAACAACGTGAGAGACGAGGTACGGTGAGATCGAGTACCTCTGCTTTGCCCGAGCTGAGCTGCTCGCATTGCCTTCTATCTGCTTGAGCGAGCGTGCTACGGTTAGGTTTCGAGAGCTCCCTCCTCCCTCCTCCTCCCGTCCTGGAGAGGTACCAGTGTCACGATTGCGGGGAAGATGGGCTGGTTGGGAGGTACGGTGGAACGGGAATTTGTGCTTGCTGCTGGGGTTCTGAAGATTCCTGAGTAGGAGTTTGGAGGTTGCTATGCCGTGATCTTCGAAGATGATATGGTGTCTTGCGTGGGCGAAATTGTGTCCCGGTATTGTGAGTGCCGTCTCCTGGAGGTATGCACCGGATGTGTGCTGTACCGTCTCGCCGCCCATGCTTCCGGCCGAGCCCGCAGCATTCACGGGATATGGTGACCTCGGCCTTCATCTTCCGATGCTTCCATTTGCATCCCTCGCTGCCAAAAATCCCACTTGAGTACCTCAAAGTGATCGATCGCAACGTGATGCTCGCGACATGTTCATGGTGACTAGACCAGAAGGAAGCCGGAAGACGTGGAGGGCGAAGATTCCGCATTAAGATCCGGAAGATCTTGGTCGGATGAAATCGGAAGCAGAGGACGAGACGACTTCACTACCTTCTACCACCACTTTGGATGAGATATTCTGCTGGCTGAACGGTACAGCTCATAGAACAGCTCGAATAATGGCTTCAAGATCAAGTTTCTCAGATGCTGGTCGCGCGCCCGTGTTCGGGATGTCAGAGCTGGCAACACTTTCGATATCTTCGCGGCCACCCTGTCTCTCACAAGTGTAATACAACACGACGCATGTCAAGACAACTAGTTGAAGACACGTCGGCATGATGTGCATGCCCCAGCTGCGCCTCTGCAGCGATACGGGTGGTGGAAGGTGAATGATCCCAACTCTTTGTGAATGGGGATGTTCGCGAAGATTCTGCTGTGCCTCCCACTCCACGATACCATGTGAAAGAAAGACCGCCTCAGGCTTGAAACACTTTTGCGGAACTAGATACATAAAAGCCTTGCCAGCCAGCAGCACGACTGATCATATAGACTCTACCACCGTCGCAGTTGACTTCATAGTCGAGAGCAACCATTATCAAGAAGCGCGAACAAAGACACAAACTATACAACCACACACTTCATCTCTGGTCATCATGGGCTATTGGAATCGTAAGCTCGAGCTAACGGCGGCTGCTAAACGCCCTGCGGAACTCGACCTAGACCATGACTCCAATACAACCAAGAAGCTCAAGGTCGACGATACCCCTCTGGATCCCGCCATAATAGGCTTACCACCGCTCAAGGCCATCGGTATCTCTCTGACGGCAGCTAACAAAGGATCATCCATCCTCACAGTCTCCTCTGAGCTGCGCAAGTTGTTGATAACCGGCAAGATCGGCTTCCCAGACCCCATCATCATTACCGCCGACGGTCCACCCGAGGAACTCGAGCCGAATGCGCTCGCCATCTCGACGGAAAAGCTCTACCAAGAAGGCATTCCCTACTTCTACTGCGACAACTCCTTCAGCCTCCAAGTCCAAGACTACAACATCCGTGCTTTCCTCCCCTGGCTCGACCGCGCAAAGCAGTATCGCGATCACGCCGTGTGCAATGGAACGGTCACTATTGCTCTTCATGGGGATCCGCACTGGGAGAATCTAGTGGATTGGCTCGAGCTGGCACATAGTGGCAAGTATCTCGCCCTCGAAGACAATTGTGAGAATCATGGTTCTGCTGTTGAAGCCGTGAAGGGTGCTTTCGCCCAGATCGTGGACTATGCTGCGAAGGGATATAACTGGAAGAACGAGGCGGAGGTCGGCTTGCGTGGGATGCGTAGGATGCTGGCTGCGCTCGACCAGCGCTGGGATGACGATCATACGGGTATGATTGAAAAAGGTAGGTTAGGTTTGATCAGGCCCGCGATATTAGCGGACACTAAACCAAGCACTGACGATGACACAGCAGAGCCAGGCAATGATGGGCAAGAAGTCTTGCAGACCTTCAAAGACACGGCCTCCGAACGCAGCTCCACTTGTGGCATCGGGGTGGCCAAAACCGATCACGAAGACCAGGAGCAGGATGGCGATGTGTTTGATCAGTCTTCGACACCACGCGGTGGTAGATCGCCCTCTCCCGAGCTCTGCAGCACTTTCGCCACCACTCAAAACACATACGAGACCGCGTTGGAGCAGCAGTTCGTGGAGGAGAGCCAAGAGTATGATTTCCCCTGTTGACCACGCCAATGGTATGTACTAAATAGCTGATCCAGCAAAGGCAGTCAGGGTGAAAGCCCGGAGCTCCAACGCATCCACGTAGTCAAGGATGAAGCGCAGATGCTCACGCCAGCATCGACGCCCGCACCGACAACACCCATATCGGCACGCTCGACGGTGTCCTTCTCTGCTTGTATCATCGAGACAACCCTCCCGCTCACAACATCCTATCCAAGCCCGACTGCAGGGCACATACAGCACCGATCTGCCAGAGAATGTCATCAATGAGATCAGGGCTCTACCGAAACGGAAGCTGAAGGGCATGAAAAGGCATTGATTTTCTTTCTTTCTTTCTATCGTATTGTACTGTACTGGGTTATCTGTCTCGCTCGAACGCTGCATACATGTAGTCATGAGGACATGACGTCGTAATGGAGCTGCTTGGTGGCGGCAAGATGGCCGTCATAGATCGCATAGTCTTGCAGTCATATATTGAAGCTCAAGCATGAGTCTTGAACAGCATCCTCAATCCAGAAGGCTCCTTCTTCTTCTTCGCCTTCTCGCCCGTCTTGCTTTTGCTCTTGCCGCTTTTACTGCTGCCGGAGACTTCGCTCTTCGACTTCTTCCGCCGCTTCTTCCCATCTTTGCTGGTCGTGGATTTGAGATCGGCTTCCGTCAGTCGGCCTTCCTCGATCAATGTTCTTGTGGCAACAGGTGTGATGAACTCTCCTTCTACACTCGTGCCCATACTGCCTTCATCGGCATCCGAGATACCACGACGCCATCTCTCAATGGAGGAAATCTCGCGAAGTTCTTCCATCTCATTGGGTGGTGTCGACGGCTCCTCCGCTAGTGCGCGATACGCTTGTGGTCCTTCGGCGAGCAGGCGAGCCTCCTCCTTGTTCGCCTTGATCTTCTTGATGATCTTGTAGCCGCCGAATGCAATGATTGTGACACCAACACCTACCCCCACGGCTATGGCGAACTGTGGGCTGGCGAGTAGAGCCAAGATGGCAGGAAATGAACCCTTCATTGACATCAGTGCGCCTGGTGCGAGCTTTGTGGCGAGGTTGCTGATTTCGCCAAGTGTAAGAGCGACCGCGGCTAGAGCTTCTGGATTCTTTTGTAGATTGTCGATGATGGCTGTTACGGAATGCTGCATGCAGTTTGCTTCGTCCAGCATACGCTGCAGGCCGCTCATCTTGGAGCGAAGTGCGACCTCGTCGTCATACTTGCGCTCCGGTAGCGGTGGAGGCAGCTCGCCGTATGCCAAGTCCATATCTATATCATCCAAGCTGGCGCTCCGTGTGGGCGTGGAAGGTCGATGGCGATGCATGCGCTCGAGGTCGGTAGTATGTCGGCGCGTGAGCTCGCCGATTCGTGGTCCTGGCTCACGCCATGATTCTGACGAGCCTTGCCGTAAAGGGGACGGTCGTGAACGAGTGGCCACGATGTCATTCGTGTAGAACGTATCTGTATAGCCTCGCTCCAACGCTGGCCTCTCACTCTGCCCGGGAGGAGATCGTCGACCACCCTGCCGATCTCTCGAGCCACGTCGTGAGCTTGTCCTCGACACCTCGTCATCCTCAAGTGTAAGCGCGTCTAGCCTCTTCGTTGCCTTCCGCTCTTGCTCTTTACTGTTCAAATCATCCCTTCGTAGCGCCTTGATCTCGGCCTTCTTCTCGTTGTACGCAGCTTTCGCCTCGTTAAACAGACTGCCAAGGGTCTTGGTTGTCTTTACAATCTTCCCAGATGAGTTGATGATCGTTATCGCCTGGACAGCCACCATGTCTGCGGTCTAATGCTACTCTGGCGGTAGTAATGTTCGGTATCGTAGGCTTGGCCGGCAAGCTTCAATGATCCGGGTGGGTGTCCCGGTCGAACTGTATGTACAATCGACAATGGCGCAAATGCTCGTCCGGGTAGCCTTTGTTCACAGGTAGACAAAGACCGCTATATACGTCTTAGACTCGCGCTCCGTCGTCCACGTGACAGAGCAGCCCCAGCCAGCACTTTCGCCTGGTCGATCAGTCCAGAGATGATATAATGATGGATTGTCGTCCACTTCGGCGCAGAGCCAATTGGTCGCTGCGTTCAGGCCAACATTGTGAGGCGTCGTATCGGGAGGTGTACCAACAGTACAGCTGTCTGCGCTCTGTCACAAGTCCTTCTCAACTGTCTCGCTTCACTCTCAGGCAGCTATCCTTGGCAGCTTCTGATTCGTAGGTCGTCAATCGGGCGGCAAGCTGCTGTTATGCCGTTGGCGGGTAGTTAATGACTTGGTGGTCTGTGGATACTGTCAATTCGAGGAAGAACGAGCCACCGTCAAGGCAGCGCGATGAGCTTATATGGCGACAGGATACGCAACGTCCATATCGCCACGGCTTGCATGAAACATTGTGCTGAACATGCGGTCTGGACTGTTGGCCGTTATTGAAAGTGGCTGTGCGAGTGGCTGTGCGTTTACCGCGCGTCACCATGCATACAGAAGTCTAGCTACAAGCGACCATCATATGCGATCAACCCTTTCCCCTTCTCAACATGTTCACATCCACCATCATGCCGACCTTCAACACCGTCCGATCTAATCGCGCTAGTGAGATGGCGATATCAGCAAGTCCTCATCGCCAGCCACGCTTGCATCACTGCCTTGACTCTCCTCCTCCACAGGATCCCCATCCGTCACACATTCACCACAGTAATAGCATACAGCATCGTCCCCGTCCTGCTCACGACCTGCGAAGACGTGACTGTTGATGCATCTAAACCAGTGGCTGCTAGATGCAATGTCGGGTAAGCCCACGTGCGTGATCATGGGCACATCCATGTGGCAAGGCTGCCCCACCTTTTTTAATGCCACTCGAGCCTGGTCCAGATCGATGCCATCATCTCGCTTCTCTGCAGGGAAGTTGAAACCACTGACAAGCTCTTCGGCGTCAGCAATGCGGATGGCGGCTTCGGCGTCGAGATACTGATTGCTCAAGGACTCCTCTGATGCACCCACCCGGCTCTCGAGTAGTGCGTACTGCGCCCACATTGCCATGCCTTGCACCTGCGGAACCGCCATGCTGGCCTCTCTTGCTTGTCGAATCAACTGCTCACACTTGGCTCGATTGGTCTTGAAATCTACGCGAAGACCTTGCGAGTCCTGGCCTTTCTTCTTTTCGGCTCGTGCAATCACGTCTGTGATGATCGCCAAGTCACAAAGCTCGACCAACGCGGCAGGCAACATTAGTAGTCCAGCAATATGGGGGAGGTGTCGGATTGTGTTTACACTGAGCGGACCGTCCTGAGCCTTCGCCTTCATTCGCTCTCGTACTACACCAAACGGTTTCGTCATATTCTGCACTATACCACCCCAACGATAGATCTCCTTGCGGACATGATCGACAGCCTCGTACCTCATAGTGTTCATGCTCTTGTCCAGCTTGAAGACTTCGGCGAGCTGCTGCTCACGCTCTCCGCACAATGCGATGGCTTGCTGAGGGACGGCGGCAGTCGCCACTGTGGCCTTCAACGAGTCTATGGCGGCGAGTGCGCGCTCGCGCATCAGCTTATGTGTCTTCTCGATAGACTCAACAATCTTCTTGGCACTCGCATCCAAGCGCCTGCCCTTCACGCAGCGGCTGTAGCGACTGATGTTGTCGACTGCGTGACCACACGTTGGACAACCCAGTATGGAGGTCGCTAGCTCAACATCGTTCAAGAGCTTGGTCTGTGACAGACGGCTGGCATGGTCGAGGTCATAGTAGTCATCCATCTTCATGTGCTTGTCCATGATGCTTGCTGGGAAGAAATGACGGCATGATAGAAAGACATATGGATCCTTGTTCAGCGCAGCCTCGGTCATGCTCTCGTCGCGCTCGTCGGTGGAGACAAGCAAAGCAAAAGGGAACCAGTTCTGTCCCACAAACCGCTGGTGTCTGGTGGCCACACATGAGCTTCATGTCCGAACGTCTCGAGCAGGGTACGTGACCGCAAGGTACAGCACAAGTCAGATGGCAGCCTGGCGCTTCTTTAGTAGCGTGAGGGCAGTGGGTCTTGTCGGTGCAATCTTCCAGACAAGGTTCACAGGCCATTTCGTGGGTGCGACCGCATCGCTTGTGCAAACAAGCAACTTCGCAGGGTGATGTGCAAGGCGGACATTCCGACCCGGTATGACACTTTTCCTTGTGCGTGCAGCCACACTCGATGTGCTGGCGGCCACACACGACCGTACAGCTACCGTGATCGATCTCGAGAGCTGCATCAGCTTTCTGCTTGCGGCAGGCGAAGCAGGGCTTGCGACAGTCGTGGCCACAACGCAACGATCCACTGCAAGCAGCAGGGCACTGGAATTGGTTCGAGCTCACATCGACAGAGCAGTTCACGGTGACTTCGTGCTCGCGACCCGGTACCACCCTTTTGATAGATGCATCACAGCGTACCAATTCTGGCTGCTGTTGCTGCCAGCATGGTAGGCTAGTCTTCCCATGACCACAGGGCAACTGAACGTGAATCCCAGAGATAAGCTTGGTACATTTGGTCGGAAGCTTCTCAGAGCAGACCGTGCCTGCTTTGTGCCCACAGGAGAAGACGTGACTGCTCGGCTCGGTGCACAATGTTACTCTGTGCAAATTGTGCGAGTGGCACTTCTTCGGACACTGATGACCGCACATCATAGGCAGGCAGCACGGCTTAGAGCAGCCAGCCTCTGGTGCAGCGCTTGCAAAATCGTCTGGCTCACTGACGCTAATCATCATGTCTGGGTGGCGAGGACAATCCAAGTCCAGCGAGCTGCCTATCGCTCCAATCTCTTGAAATCTATCGGTGACTTTCTGCCACATGGGAGATGAGCTCCGCTGGGTCTCCTTGTTCCCTAAGATGTACATTCCGTACTGCGCTCGAGATAGCAAGACATTGATACGATTCGGCGTCTTCAGGAAACCTGCGTTTCGCTCCTCGTTGCTGCGAACCAACGATACAATGACCACTTTTGCCTCCTCGCCCTGAAAGTTGTCGACTGTGGCCAGTCTGATCTTCTCGGTAAGAGGCGCCATTTTCGTTACAACAGAAGCGACGTCGTCATTATCATCAAGGAGGTCGCCCTTTTGGTCTTGGTCGAGCTCGTCCTGATCGCGAGCATCAATTTCGATGGCAAACGAGGTGCGCAATCGAGCACGTAGCGCTCTCATTTGTCCCAGTTATGGCGTAAGCACTGCAATATCTGCCGGACGATAGACACCTTGGCGTACAAGATGACTGATCAGACCCGCGCAGAATTCGACTTCGAAGGTGTTGGTGAAAGAGGTCGAGAACGCATCTCTGGGATCCTCCCGATGATTGTGGTCTAGCCACCAGAGACGATGTCGGATGCCCATCACCTGCGGATACTCCAACACCCTCTCATGATCTTGCAGGTTCGGATAAAGCGATCCGATCAGGGTAGAGATTGATGGATGCATGCGGCGCTGGATGTTGAGTGTGGTATATGGTAGAGGGTGGTCGTTTTTGGCGGGATGTATGAGTCTCTCGAACAGTGAGATGTCCATCGCGTAGTGAGGCTTCGGATTGTCAACACTGAGCTCGTAATTGGCGACACGAGGACGTAGCTGGAGATGATCGCCAATCTGAATGCAATGCTCAAGAGACGGTAACATGGCGGAGAGAGTGTGACTCTCAAGGATTTCCGCAGCTTCTTCCATAAGTAGAACACGAGATCCAAGCTTGCGGAACAGATTCAGATTGCGTGCCAGCCCAGCAGTGGTCACACCAACGACGTCCGCTTGCGACAGCACACGAAGATCTTTGTCATTAGAGATCTTCGTCAGCTCCTGCTTTAATTCGCCGTAGGCTTGCAGTGCGATCCGGAGTTGACCGTGCAGTCGGCCACTGCAGTCCTGCATCCAGTATTCCCACAGCCTACGGCGCTCGCACGGCGATGTTTCGTGTATGTTGATCGCGAAAAGCTCCTCGAGAGATCTGTTTGATAAGTCCGCTACGGTGACACTTGCCGAAAGCCAAGCGTGGAAGCTATAGCCTGGGCCGTAATTGACGGTCTCGAAACCTTCATCGTCGATACCACCAAACAATTGGGCGCAATGCTCCGGGAAGTTGTTCTCCAAGTACTTCTCAAGGCCAGCCGCGGAGCCGATCTGACTGATGCTATGAAGAAGCTCGTTGATCGCTCGAGCCTCAGCTTCTGTCGCACTTCGTGTCTTGCCCCAGGCGGACTTCTCGGCTCTAGTCTGAGTAACCTGTTCTGCGACACAGCGGAGATTGAGGTTCCTCAGCCGATCTGATTTGCTGAATTGGCCCATACGAATGATCTGTGTGACGCCTGCATCAAGCAGCGACTCGAGCAGCTGATCGAGAGCATGGTTCGTTTGGGCAACAGTGATGATAGGTCCAAGAGAGGCGCTCTTTTTGTTCGCGAGCAGCGCACGCATCAAAGCAACCCCAGTATAACTCTTTCCAGTACCCGGCGGACCCTGGATCAACGCGAAGCTTTGTGTGAGGGCTGAAACGAAAGCACTCGCTTGCATATCATCCAGCGACGTCCGAGTCCGTACTTCTGCAACCATCGCATCGAAGTCTTGTGCAACGTTGAGGATGAGCTTGGTGCCCTTGTTTGCGAGGCAGCTGATGTCATAACCGAACCCTTTCTCGGTGGCATATCCAGGCGGTGGTACATCTGCTGTATTGCTCCCAGGAGCGAGAAGCTCGGTGAATGGCAGGTCTTCCGTTCTGGTCATTTCTTGCAAAGCAACGAGCGTGGCCTGGAAAGCTGGTAGCAAGATACCAGGGAATTCGACAAGACTCTTCGGCGCGCCTTTGAGCGACCTACTAATGTAGGCCATCAAGTGCGAGATGCCTTCATCGTTGACATCGACCAGTTTGGCAGTGACGTATGCATAATTAGGATCTGAGTGTAAGTTCCTAGATGCTTGAAGTGGCTGTGACGAGTAGTCATGTGAAGCTGCCGTGGGAGTAATCTTGTTGATCTTCTGATCAACAACCACGCAGAAGAGGACGGAACGTGGAGCAACCAGACAGATCAGGGCATCCTTCTGCATACGTTTGGAGTGTTCCTACCACTCACCACGCTGCTTCGAAGTCTTGTACCTCAGATCATACGGCTGGTCAACGCACAAGGCGACCGTGAGACCACGATGCGCATCAAAATCGAAACCGACAAATTCGAGGTTACGATAGTTGAAAGTGCGGGCACCGTGTTGCTGTCGGCAGTCCATCTGTTCGTGACCGAGTGGATCTTCGATCTTGTCAAGCGCCACTTTTGCGGCGTCCCTGAGCTGGCCAATTGTATCTTCTCGAAGAAGCCTGAATTGACGATCAAGCATGCCGGCGACGCCGCTTATGTGCCACGTTTCTGCAGCTGGGGGTGGAAGATACTCGCTCCTCGTCGCCACGACTTCTGCCACAGTAGGCATGAGAGCGATACTTGTAATGTCCTTGAAGTCATTGTCGTGGCGAGGACCATCAGCGGATAAATCTCCAGGTAGTTCCTTCTGCATCACAAAGGTCGGAGCATCCGCTCGATCCTTGTCTGTCTTCTTCGCCGAGAATGCTGGGCGCGTCATACCGTGCTTTGCGCGGGACAAACGACGGAGAGCAAGTCGTGATAGCGATGTTGCTGCGCTGCCTGCAGCATCAGTGAGTCGAGCCAGCACTTGCTGCATGCTGTCGGACATCGCGGCCTGGCCTTGACTAATGACGATAGCAGCGAATACCGTAGTGCAAGCCTCCCAGGCGCCATGATAATGTGCGAGGTCGCCTTCTTGGATATCGGTTGAAGCTTCCTTGGTAAGGCGAAGTACTTCGAGATAGCGGACGGAGTCCGAGAATAATACCACAGCTCTCGCGCCCAAATTACCAAAGAGGTGAGCGTGAATAACAGCCAGCCGACTTTCCAGCATCGTGGAAGCCAAGACGCGACTATGAGAAATCGCACGAAGAAGCGGCAGAATCTCATTCTGGAAGCTCGTTTGAAATCTGGCGTCAGGCAGTCTGTGTAGCTCGCGCTCACTGACTAGTTCCGAGATACGCTTCAGGCCGCCTTCCGTCGCAAGAAGACTGATCGTCTCCTGCATGACACCGATCTCACTCTGCACCAGTGTGAACAATTGTTGGGCAAAACGAGGCTTGGCGAATGCTAGCGGTCGATTGTCCTTCGGGTTGGGTGAAAAACGCCACTGACGAAACAACATGTCTGGCGGGGAATTGGTCTGACTGCTGCCGCGGTTTGCAGGTTCGGTGACTCTACGCTCGCGCGAAACATCGAGGTTGCGTGCAGGCAGGTCGAAGTTCCGCCCAGTGATTGAATTTGCGTCCGAAGACTGCTTCGCAACCTCATTCCAGCCTTTGGTACGCTCACTGGAGTTACGCCCATTAGGTCGATCAACGATAGCCGGCCCATGCTGATATTGGGAGTCGGTCTTTCTGCAAAGACCATGCGGGCAGAATGGACAAGGCGGTCTGGGAGGGTCAGTTTTGCTCTATCCATATTCTTGGGGATGGCACGTACTTGTCCTCCGCCATGGCGGCGGATTGGTAGTGCCGAGAACAACCACTTGCGACGTCAATTGGTGAGCGAAGGATGAAGTGAAGGTGGCATGTGAGATGTCGAGCGTTTGTATTGAGCGAGCCAAAGTGTGATGATCGAAGGCTGCAGCCTTGACACTGAAATCGCAGCGCACAAGCTTTGGTTTCACGCTAGTCCCAACCTTCTCAAGATGGAAGGCGCGATCCTCAGTACCCATGCGCCCGATATCTGATTGCCTCTCCTTGAGATGTGGTATACTGGCGTCAACGGTCGCTCGAGGAGATAGCCATCAGGTTTCAAGATCAGCAGCAAGGTCATAAGCCGTCCTACTTTTACAGGCAATGGGCTTCCAAGAGGCGGATCGGCAGCACGCCCTTGGACGACAAGTGATCAATGTTCCGTATGACAGCCACATGCATCCGCTCATGGGAGCTCTACTCCAGACAGGATTGCCCATGCTGCCCTCTGAGCTGTCTTCTTCCCATCACCTAATTGATCTGATTTTCGCTCTAATTCACCAATCCCCTCCATCTGAGTATCCTTTGGTGTCTCACCTGTAGCTGACATACCACCACCCACTAGATCAGTCATTTTGGCCTTCACCTCACTAATCGCCTTGGTCTCGCTTTTCATCCTGTCCAGTCTCTCCTCCATCATCATGATCAGCGTCTCCCTTGCCTGGTGTGGTCGATACTGATTGATCAGATCAAGCATGTTGAATGTTAAGATCTCCAGATCCTTCGTAGGCGACTCCCATCCTGCTGTAGCGTCTTGACTGAGATTACCAATCAGGTTCAGGAATGTGGTGAGCTGGCTTCGAGCCAAGGAGATCAGATGCGCCTGAGGATTTAGTCGTACCGCAGGATGATCTGGGTAGAGCTGCTCGATGCTGACGTCTTGCAATGACGGTGGAGGTGCATGTAGCGATCTATCGAAGCCGAATGCACTGTACTTGCCGTCTACTGGCGGAGGCGGTGGGAGAAGATACCGAAGCTCGGTTGGCAGTGCTAAAATGTCTACGTCTTGCGAGCCTGTGGCTCCATCTCCAGTACTAGTCGCAACACTGCTCTCTGAGAATCCAGCATTTTGCCGTAGGTCACGCAGTTTTGAGAGGTTCGAGGTGGTGAAGTACTTGTAGAAAGGTGGTGGTCCTGGGAAGGGCGCTTTCATTCGCTCTTGCTGTGGTGCTTGGGCTTGTTGTTCGGCCATGACGAGGGATATGAGAGAAAGATGCTCGCCTTCCACACTCACGACCAGATCCAGCAGCAGTAGTAGTGCACCGTCAGCTGAGGACGAGTATGGCGGCAATGTTAATCGTTGCCAATGATGTAGTGCAATGGCAGCGATCACATGCCAGCCAACGCAAGCGGAGGACCTCCGAAAGCATCTCCAGCGCATTCACCTCAAGGCACGCGACATCCTACATCAATCTCGACAGCATTATCCGCTTGCGTAGACAATGGCAGGCAAAGCAAGCAAAGATAGCCCTGGACTGCTGGAATCGGCAAGGAGATTTTGGCAAAAGAGCTATGCTGGCGACTACCTAGGCCTGACACTGCTTCTAACAGCATACATCTTGATCAAGTTCTTTGGCGAGCCCTTCCATCGCATGTTCCGTCTCGATGATCTTCGCATTGGCTTCCCTCATGCTGAGATAGAAAGAGTGAGCGTCTGTACGTATTGTGATGCCACTAATGTGTAGCCTCCAGGCTGCTTGCACGGGTGCTAATGGTGTGTTATCCTTCCAGTCTGGCTATTCATCTACACTGGCGTTGTGCCACTCGCCCTCCTTGTTCTCTGGGCTGGGTTAATTCGCCCGAGCGTACACAAGATCCACGTCACGATTCTGGGCCTCTTGGTCTCCATCATCCTCACATGCTTCATTACGGACGTGATAAAGGATGCCGTGGGCCGACCACGACCCGATCTAATTGCTCGCTGCAAACCCGAAGCCGACACACCTCAGCACGAATTGCTCACTATTGCAGTCTGTACAGAGACTTCACACCATGTCCTTCATGATGGATGGAGAAGCTTCCCGAGCGGGCACTCCAGTTTCGCATTTGCTGGCTTAGGATATCTGGCATTGTTCTTCGCCAGTCAGGCGCATGCGCTACGGGCACGTGCTAGTTTGGCGACTTTTATAATCTGCCTCTCGCCTCTGTTAGGTGCAGCCTTGATCGCGATCAGCAGGCTTGAAGACTACAGACATGATTTTGCGGACGTGATTTGTGGAAGCCTGATGGGTATTTTGATCACCTACTTCAACTGGAGAAGATACTACCCAAGTCTGTTCAGTCGCGACTGCGATGAGCCTCATGCGCAGCGAGGGAGCAGATCCGGTAGCCCAGCGGGCAGGAAAGCGAATGGTTTCGAGCGTGTACGGGACGAAGAGGAAGTGCTTGCCACTGGCGATCGAAGATTCAGCATTGGTGATGATGAAGAGAGTCATGAGAGAAGTAGGCCGAGGTAGACTGCCACATGTGGGCTCTTCAGAGAGAGATGGCATTTCGCCAGCCGTGCTTATTCCCAAGCCTTTCCATGACCGCTTCACCTCTACACCCCGGAATAGACTGTTGCCTCTGGTACACGTCAAGTGACAAAGGCGAGCGCTGGATAGTCATGCCGTGGCAAGTATTGACGCGCTGTAATGACGAATTCTGTGGCTACTTCAACAGCCATTATACACTTACCATTTTGCAGGTCGTGTTGCATCTCCTCACTGGCATCGGCCTAAGCACCGCTTGAGGAAATCATGCCCCGTCAGGCTACCTTCACACACAATACTTACTTATGTAAGCTTCAGCATTGACCTGTATGAGTAGCTTATGCACTGGTGGTAGAGGGGTGGGGTGTCAAAACGATGTAACATTGTATTTGGATCGATCCAGCTATCTTTCATGCCATCTAGACAGAATCGATTGAGAGCGTTCTGATGCCCTTCTTAACCTCTAAGTGCGCTGGAGTGTTGGATCCAACGGCGAATGGTAAGAGGCTAGAACATGGCCATATATATTCATGCGCGACCCACACTACGAAAGGCAATCTGCACCCCATGCAGCTGTTAAGCGAGGATCATGATCGACAGTGCTTCCAGCCATTTTTTGCCGCAACCACCGCGTCTACTCCTCCTTCACCGACACCGTGCAACCACCTCCTCACTCGCCAGTGGTTCTCCTATTGTTCCCCACTCCGCAGACATCGAGTCTTCATGTTCACGGCTCTCATGCTTTATTAGCCTTTCCGTATACAGCGGCTCTACCCGTTCGGCATAAAGTTTACTTCGTCATTGGCCATCCAACCACACGCTTTTTCTACAATCCCACTGCTGGTAGCAACAGGACGGACGATCACTCATTTCCACCACATCAGCTACTGTTCACTCACTTCAGGCAGCAGTCGAAGGCTAGAAGTAGCAGCGCTCGTATGTCGTCGAGGAGGGGGAATACAGCGGGAGTCCGGCGTTCAAATGCCGCAGCCATTGGAGGACGAGATGATCACAGCGATCGGGGTCGAGCTCAGTATGGCTATGGGCATGGTATTGGGGCGATGAGATCTGCGGTACTGGGCCTGGCAAAGCTCCTTGTTCTACCCGCCGTCTCGGCAGCGCCACTAGGACTATTCCGCCGCAGTGTAAACATACTAGAGGAGGAATCCAAACCAGCCGGCGACCCACAACTGTGGCTCTACTTTGGCGTTGCTCTAGCCCTTGTGCTAGGCGGAGGAATCTTTGCTGGCTTGACGATAGCACTCATGGGTCAAGATGAGACGTACTTGCAGGTGTTGGCGACTTCTGGTGAAGGCTCTGAGCGGAAACATGCGGCGACAGTGCTGAGACTGTTGAAGAGAGGCAAGCATTGGGTGCTTGTGACGTTGTTGCTCAGTAACGTCATCACCAACGAGACCCTGCCCATCGTGTTGGACAGGAGCTTAGGGGGTGGATGGCCAGCTGTTCTTGGGAGTACCGTTCTCATCGGTAAGGAGAGCGCAGCGAGAAATAATCTTGAGCACTACTGATCTCCATTGCAGTGATCTTCGGTGAAGTTGCACCTCAATCAATTTGTGTACGCTACGGACTCTCAATTGGTGCATACATGGCTCCCGTCGTGTTGGTCTTCATGTACCTGCTCTCCCCTGTAGCATGGCCTACCGCGAAACTACTGGACTATCTTCTCGGCGACGAACACGGAACCACGTACAAAAAGGCTGGGCTGAAGACGCTTGTGCAGCTACATAAGACTCTTGGAACTGTGCCCGGGGAGCGCCTGATGGAGGACGAAGTCAACATCATCAGCAGCGTCCTTGATCTCAAAGACAAGCGTATCGATACCGTCATGACACCAATGCAGGATGTATTCACCATGAGTGTGGACACGGTACTGGACGAGCGAATGATGGAGACGATTCTATCCCAGGGTTACTCGAGGATACCTATCTATGCGCCAGACAATCAACGAAACTTCATCGGCATGCTGCTCGTCAAGATCTTGATCACCTATGACCCGGAGGACGCTCTAAGAGTACGCGACTTTGCTTTGGCTACCCTACCCGAGACACATCCATACACATCTTGCTTAGACATCATAAACTTCTTCCAGGAAGGCAAGAGCCATATGGTGCTTGTCTCTGACGAACCAGGGACCGACCACGGCGCACTTGGCGTTGTGACACTGGAAGATGTTATCGAGGAGCTGATTGGCGAGGAGATCGTTGACGAGTCTGATGTCTTCATTGATGTACATAAGGCCATTCGTCGCTTGACACCAGCAGAGTCCAAACGCTACCGAATGAGCAAGGCCAACAAGCTCGTGGAGGTCGAGGATGGAGGTATGATCAGCGAATCGGAATACGACAAAGCCGATGGCGAACACGCACCACTACTGAAGGTCAGCGGTCCGAAGAACAGCCAAGTGAATGGCCAGATGCAGCAGGTACCAGGAGCCACGGCTTTTATGATACGTAAGAACAGCAATGCTTCCGACATGTCACACGATAATTCTAGGCCTGCGCCTATGCGTAGCAACACCACTGATCTCAGGCAACATCTCAAACATCTTGGACCTAGCAACCTGGCTACAAGACCGCGTGCGACAAAGTATCAGAGTGTCAAGATAAAGCCCGGTGTAGGCACGATCCCGGAAGGGCAAGCAACGGCGACGGGTACAGACGCTGCGCGAAGTCGTTCTCTGTCCGTTGACAAGACAAACGGAGAGACTTCACCACTGCTGGAGGCGGGCAGGAATGCATCCGACGGCGTTGCCGCGGTACAGTCTGGCTACGGTACGAACTCCGGAAGCATAGCAGGTCGACTACGCGGAATGTCTGAAAGCGATAAGATGCCTCCGCAGGAAGCCACCAAGGTTGCCGAAGAAAACACGACTTCGCCACCGGCCGCAGAACCCTCGAAAGAGCGCGAGGAGAAGCGCCCTGATACACTTCAAGTTCCACCAAAGCTGGTCGTACCCAGCGACGGCTACGATGGTGATACAGTAGGTGAAATGGAGGGTCCAAGCCGGGAGCGATCGAAGTCAAGAAGAGCGGCACGATCGGGCAGTATTACCGAGACGACGGTGGATGTCAACGGGTTGAAGAAGGTGGTTCTGGACGCTCACTCTTCGTCTAACAGTGATGTGGAGGACTCTCCGGCTACCTCCGCCTCGGGTAGGCAGAGTAAGGAGGGCGGGTTGGATGGTGGCGCGGATGCAGATAATGAGGATGGAGGATCTGGTGCTGGGTCCAGGGGTGCGGATGGGAAGAAGAAGAAGAACAAGAAGAAGAAGAAGAAAGGTGGCGTGGGATGGTAGGTGAATGGGTGACTTGGGGTGGAAGTGAAGGGTGGTTGATTGGCCTTCTCTGTATGCTTATGGGCTTGAAGGGCGAGGTCTGTGATTGATATGGTATGTTCACATGGGTGGGATGCCCCTTATAACATGTACTGTACAGTATTGTATTTGCACACGTAGCGTCGTAGCGCAAGAAAAGAACAGTTGTACTTCAGACCTCGTCCTTAGGTCGCGGCTTCTGCATTTGGTGAGGATATCGGGCTACTGCCGGCGGTCTTGCTCTCAACGTCACTCCTTCGGGCTTACTGATTTGGCCAGCCGCCGCCCTCCCTCGTTCCATTCCATCAAGCTCCCTGACGCACGCATGTGTAGCCGTCATCAGATCAGACACCATGGAAGGCTCAGCACATTGGCGAGATGTCCTCGACCACACAGACGCTGCGACAGCAGAGCTGATCATCCACCTTCAGTTTGAGGACCTCAACAACCTGGGTCGTGATAGCGACAATGACCTCAACCTCGGTGCAGCGCTTGCGGCATTCGAAGAGGAGCTTCGTCATTCCCATGCCGTCCGACAGTGCATTGGTGGCGATGCTATTACGCCGTTGCTGCCCACCAGTCTGCAAGCAAAGAAACGTGCGCGCAGCAACAGCGATCCATCTCAAGCTGATGAAGGAACTGGACCGGGAGCCAAGCGAGTCAAGGTAGAACAGCCTGCCGATGTCGAGCGTGGAGTATGCAGCGCTTGCAGCGATGACTTGACCCTCAACCAACTCTGGACCAGTGCATGCGATCACGCTTACTGTGCAGACTGTCTGGAGCAGCTGTACAGACTGGCCATGACGGACGAGAGTGTTTACCCACCAAGCTGCTGTCAGCGATCGTTCGTGTATCAAACGGTCCGCCCACGACTACCAGCAGAGTTGGTGGAAGAATTCGAAGCTAAGCGCGAGGAGCTTGAGATCAAAGATCGAATCTACTGCGCAGATCCACATTGCTCGGCTTACATCAGTATCGCTGAACGTAGAGATGGCGGCGCTTCTTGCGCAAAGTGCTCGCGCGTCACGTGCGTTCAGTGTAAAGGTCTAGTACATGATGGCGAATGCCCACCCAACGAGGCTCTGACAGCAGTCCTCGCCTTGGCGGGCAGGGAGGAATGGCAGAGGTGTCCGACCTGTTGTAGCATGATCGAACTCAATCATGGCTGCAACCACATAACGTACGTCTAGACTTGAGAATGTATCCAGATCGAAGATCCGTACTGACAAAATTGCAGCTGCAAATGCCGCTCAGAATTCTGCTATGTCTGCGCTGCCAAGTGGAGGAGTTGCGACTGTGCGCACTGGGACGAGCAGCGTCTCCTTGCCCGTGCCGAACGTATCGTGAATCGCAACCAGACCATCAGAACGACGGGACAACGCCAAGCTGCTGTGGCAGCGAGGACTGCCCGGCTCCGCAATCAAGATGATTGTCATCATAACTGGGATTATATTCCAGGACAGGATAGCTGCGAAGATTGCAATGACGAAATGTGGATTTACCTGTTCGAGTGTTCTGCGTGTCGTCTAAGAGTCTGCAGACGCTGTTCGGAGTGGATGAACGCGGGTTTACGTGCAGGCCGAACAGATTAGAGCGGCAGAGAAGGGTAGGAGGGAGCCCAGGCTTGAGACATGTTCAGACCACTAAGATCAACAACACTCATAGCACTTGACGCACTACTCGGAGCATAATGGGTAAAAAGGGGGCTGAGGTGATAGCATGAACAGGCTCACGGCTTTGTATAGCTCATCGTCTAAACATCATCAAAGCCTCCTCAGCATCTACCTCTCCATTGTCATCGGCGCCCATATCAGCATCATCCTCGACCACATCCTCACTCAACTCCATCCTCCTCCCAAACAAACTCCCAAACAGCTCATCCGCCTGCCTATCTCCCCACCCACGTCGATCCTCCGGCGCCATAAAGTTCTGCAACTTCTCATGTACAGTAAACCTCAACTTCCTCCCTTTACTAGCTTTCGTATCAACATTCTTCTTCGTCTTCGCCTCCCGCCGCATCTGGAAGGAGAAGTCGATATTTGATGTCGCTGTTGCAGAATCCGCTGATTTCTGCTCTAGCAGTTCCTTCAACAGTAAGCCGTAGAAATCTGCGTCGTCGTAGATGTTCTTGTCGATACTGGTTGTTTTAGAGGCGGCTTGGATGGGCGCACAAGAGCGTGGCGTTTGGGCTCGAGCAACTAAGCGTGGCATATCGGCTGTATGTTGCTGGATTACATCCAGGACTGTGGTTTGAGGAGCGGAGGCGGTGAGTTTGCTAGTCGAGCTCGCCTGGCCTTCGGATGTTTTCGTTGACCATTTCTGGAGGGTGGCGTTGCGGCGTTCGAGCTCGGAAGATTCTTGGTCTTGTTGGTGGGACCAGAGTCTCGCTGTCGAGCTCTTGACTGAGTAAAAGGCTTTTCGCTTGTCGCCCGTGCGAGCAGATCGCATATCTTCCCGGAAGTTGGTAAGGGTGGACCAGAGATTGAAAGCGGCGACTTCTGCTGCTTCAATGGCGCTTGCTGCGTCTTCCCGTTCGCTTGCCAAGTCTCCGCCTGGTATAGCGACGACCGTGTTGGCCCCGACCAACGCCTTCTGCAGCTTCATCCTCGTGCTTAGCAGCGAGTCGAAGGTCTTACGTTGGCGCTTCACTGAGTTCCCTTTCTGTACATCCGCTTCGTTGCCTTTTGCCAGTGAAGCTCCAACGACCGGCAAGTCTCGTAGTGTCGTACGTGACTGCGGCTGGGAGACAATACCTGGACGGGCTACTTCATCGTCATCGTCACTGACATCGCTGTCGGGGGTGACATCGTCATCACCCTCGTCCTCGTGGGATCTCGCAGCTGAATCAACGCCCATAGGCTCCTCATCACTTCCCTCATCCTCAAAGCCTCTTCCGAAAGGCTCGTCGTCGTCGTCGTCGCTCAGCTTGTCTCTGCCCACACGTGATCCACGGTATTGGGCGCCAAGTAGTGATTCTTTCGGCTTCCGTAGTTTGCTCTTGCCTACGTCGATGTAATGCTCTCGAGCAGCCTCTTCTGGATCGCTCTCCGTCTCCGAGCCATTGCTTTCACTGGCCTCGCCCGAAATACCTTCTGCTTCGGGGTCGACCTCCGAGTCCCGTGCAGTCACGCCATGGTCATACAGCTTTTTCAGCTCTTTCGCACGGTTCTGCCCTCCATATGGCGCCATACTGCGATGATATGGTGATAGTGTAGGCATTCGAACTTTTCACATGTCAACTTCTGGAAAAGCCAAGATGCGCATGCGGCTCAGCGGGCGCAACGTTTATGCAGCGGGCCGAGGCGGTCACTCCCCAGCAACGCCGTGTGACGCGGCATCCAAACAGTCGGGATCGTCATTTTGTCTGGAATGAGACGAGACATTGGGATTGTCGTGTTACGCAATAAGTGAGAGATGCCGACCGCATCGAAATCACCTCGAGACTCTTCCGCCAGAAGACAAAGGAAGCGACGGACACATCAGAGAGTTGATTCGAACGGCGATTTTGCTCCAAGGTCGCGGGATGAGCGACGATATGAGAGGGAGGAGGGATCATCCAGCCCGACGAAGAGTCAGCCGAGGAGAACAGATGATGATAGGCCAAGAAGTTCGTCGCGACAGCCACCGTCAGATCATAGCAGAAGTACAGGAACAGGCACAGGCACACTCTCGGCCGGCCAGCTAGCACAACTGGACAAGCTTAACCAGAAGCTGGGATGGGATGAACCAAACGAAGTAACCCCGCCGAGACGCCCGGAACCGCCACGCATTCGACGGCGTGATGACGAAGCCGATCGAGAGCTGGAAGACCGAGAACGAAGACGGCAGGAGCATAAAGAGCGCAAGCGGCGGCGAAGAGGAGAAGAGGAGGAACGAGCTACGGCGGCTGATGCTGGGGTCGACGAGACGGAAAGCTTGGTGTACGATCGGAGGAAGGTGCGAAGGGAAGAGAAGGGGAGGATCGTCAGTGGACAGAGACTTGAGCGGGGTTCGCAAGCATACTATGATGAGAAGGAGGGTGTGAGGGATGGCGTACGGCTAAGGGGTGGTGCTGGCAGTAGTAGCGATTATGAATACGAAGAAGCACAGAGGAAAAAGAAGCGGCGAAAGCGGATCATCATTGCTGTGGCGGTTGTAGTACTGATACTGGCTATCGCCATTCCGGTCGGTGTGGTGGTGTCGCAGAACAAGGGTCCGGGAAGCAGTAGTAGCGGCAGCAACAGCACGACATCTTCACAACCAGCGAACAGCAACCTCAAGGGTATGTCCGAGAACGACATTCCCAAACAATACCAAGGCACCTATCTCGACCCCTTCACGTGGTACGACACGTCCGACTTCAATGTGACCTTCACGGACGTCATGGTCGGTGGACTGAGTGTGATGGGACTGAACGATACCTGGGACGACAGCAAGAAAGCTAATCCGAGTGTACCGGCGCTCAACGAAAAATGGACGTACGGCACTCAGCAAGTCCATGGCGTGAATGTGGGCGGTTGGCTGAGCATCGAGCCCTACATGACCCCTTCGCTGTTCTCGGGCTACAATAGCAAAGCCAATGTAATCGATGAGTACACCCTTACCCAAACTCTTGGAGCGAGCAAGGCGAAAAGTATACTTGAGCAGCACTACGCCACTTTCATCACGGAACAGGACTTTGCTGCCATCCAAGCCGCGGGATTCGATCACGTCCGCATCCCTTTCTCCTACTGGGCCGTTACCACATACGATGGCGATCCCTACGTCGCGAATGTGTCATGGAGATATCTCCTCCGCGGTATCGAATGGGCGAGAAAGTACGGACTACGCATTAATCTCGACCTCCACGGTGCTCCAGGTAGCCAAAACGGATGGAATCACTCTGGTCGTCAGGGCGCCATCGGGTGGTTGAATGGCACAGATGGTACGACCAACGGCGACCGCACGATCGCGATCCATGATCAACTCTCGCAATTCTTCACCCAGCCGCGCTACAAGAATATCATTGCCATGTATGGCCTTGTCAACGAGCCTCGCATGGTGGAGCTGGATACCTCGACAGTGCTGACATGGACGACTAATGCTGTCAACACGATCCGCAAGAACAAGTACAACGGCACCATCGTCTTCGGCGACGGCTTTATGGGATTGGATAATTGGCAAGGGAAGCTTCAAGACCTCCCTAATCTGCTGCTCGACGTCCATCAGTATGTCATCTTCAACGTCCAGCAAATCACCCTCAATCACCACGATAAGATCCAGTTCGCTTGTGATGGCTGGACTCAACAAGCTCTTCGCTCCATGAACACGGCCACAGGCTTCGGCCCTACATTGTGCGGCGAATGGAGTCAAGCTGATACCGACTGCGCCCAATACCTCAACAACGTCGGTGTCGGTTCACGGTGGGAGGGTACCTTGAACATGATCGACACACCCGGCGGTGGGCAGAACGGCTCCGTGCTTTCGCCCACCTGTCCCACTCACAACAATCCGCAGTGTAGCTGTCAAGATGCCAACGCCGCCCCGTCGTCTTACTCAGCGGAGTATAAGACTTGGTTATTGATGTTCGCGGAGGCGCAGATGCATTCTTTTGAACAAGGATGGGGCTGGTTCTATTGGACTTGGAAGACGGAGGCGGCGACACAGTGGAGTTATAGTAACGGGATCAAGGCTGGGATCGTGCCGGGGAATGTGAGGAATAGGACGTTCGATTGTAGTCAGAGCATACCGGATTTTGGCGGGTTGGGGTTGCCGGAGTTTTATTGAGGGGGTTACGTAGACGGGTGGCGAAATGGGAGAAGTAATAGATGATGTTGGGGTGTGTTGCTCTCCCTGGTGATATATCTAGAAACGGGTACGGGAGGCCGTCTCAAGGTGGCATGAAGAAATCCATGTCGAATGTAGATTGTGTACCTCGCGGTTCACATGACTTAGTTACCTACAAGTCAGGGTTGAATAACGTAGCTCGAGCATGGAAGAGGTAGGACCTTCGAGATGCCCACCCCGCTTACAATTGTGAAGGTGACATGCTGCTCCCGGATGTGGCTTCGCACCTCCACCAATCCGTGTCCGAAACGCTCTCCGTCGAACGAAGATTGTATGAGAGCGTTTCCTGTCATCACTTGAACACAGATTTACATGCGATGTCGTCTGCTACATCATCCCCATATTCGTCACTTCTCCCAGCAGCTCCGCGGGCAGTGCATCGCTGCTGGCGTTGTTCACGGCAGAGACCATATTTGCCAAGAAGGTCAGGTCTTTGGTCTGCGGTGCGACGTAGCCTTCGAGATAGGGAATGCGGTCTTCCTCTGGATATCATTGTCAATCCCGCAAGCTAGAAAGATGGAAGGCGGTGCCTTGTGATGCTTGGTTGGGAGCGTTGCACTTACCGAAGAATGTCTTGACCCATGCCTTTGGGGCGCCCGAAGCCGAGAAGTCCCAAAGAGTGGCGAGGTAGAGCGCTGTAGTTCCTATGGAGCCTAATTCAGGTCCCGGCCCAGTACTGTATGTCGGATTCACGCTCTTAGCCAGAGCTTGTCGGGCTGCGCGAGCTTTCGCTGCGATTGGAACTGTGACATATGCATTCGGCGGGCTGGAGTCGTGTAGGCCCAGACTGGCTGCTACACCAGCAAATACTGTGGCATCGTAGTGTAGATCGTCGCCAAAGTAAATGTCGTTGCGCGACTGGGAGCCGTCTTGTTCGATGGTGGCGTGGCGAGCTAAGTCACGAAGGTTTATGGTCAGGGAGCTCCCTGTGGTGGACAGGTTGAAGGTCTGGTTCGCGGCGAGGAAAGCTCCAAGGTAGGTCTCTGGAGCGAAGTTGTATACATTTTTGGCGGCATAATCAATCTCGGGGAAGCTTATGTTTAGGCCACTGCGACGGAGCCAGCCGTGATTTGCTAGGGCATTGAGGCCCGGGCAAGGCGAACGACCTGGAAAAATGTTGTCAGTAGTGACTCAGACACAGATGAGCTTGCGGACTCGCTGTCAAAGGGTCCGGCAGAGACAAATTCGTGGCCTGCAGGCTCGGAGCCCTGGTGCTGTCCTGGCCATTGAGGTGGACCGGGTGGCGGACCATGTCCTGGTGGTGGGAATGCAGCTACGAATGAGATATAGCACAATATTGCTGAAGCTCGGAGAATTTGCGACATGATGAAGTGATCGTTCGAGTTCAAGCAATCCGGTAGGTGATGGTCAAGGTGGCAGTCGGTGATGGGAGAAGGGCGGTCTCCTCGATGCCCTGGTCAGCCTTCTTGTACACACAGCGGCTGGGTGGAGCCATCTCGTATAGCTGTCAGGCTGCACCGCTCGCGGATGTGTCATGAATCTAATGCTTGTTCGGCACTAGATTTATCAAGCCAATCTCCAGAACGTACTTGCTTGCTCCAGACGGAGTGATAGGCAAATGACTTCTTTGGCTCCGCAGTTAGTCGGCCTCCGAATATATTATCGATACCGAGAGTCCTGGGCACATCGAATATCGTTCTCGTTCTCGTTTACTGCCCACGCTCGCTCATGGTACAGTACCGTGGGTGCACAGCGCCACACGTGAGAAGGAAAGAGATGCTCCTGCCGACGGGATCCGGGAGCCCAATATCCTCGTCGTCATGCTCAGAAACAGGTCCATTACAATCCGAGTTACCCCCAGATCAGACCGCTTCTTACAACGTTCGTCCTTCTCTGGTAAAGACCACAGCGCAGACAGATGAAATTTTCTCTCTACAATGGTTTTGTAATGTTCATTTGAGCAGAAGCCGGGCACTGCACTGCTCCTGGAACGAGTCGTACTACGGGGACGCGACCTTTCGGGTCCATAGAGAGCGGACAGTATGTGTGCATCTCCGAAAGGTTCGAAAGCCACTACTCAGATGACATAACGCCAAAAGTGGGATTCTCGTTAGCAAGCCTCCAGCAGGATGTGTTTCGTGTTGTGCAAGAGCGAATGCGAATGCTGAACGTGAACGAGTACTGTAGCAAGTCAGCATTCGACACAGACCAATCGCGGCGGCCAGGACCGGTTCAGCTTTTTGCCTGCCTATTCGAGTTAGTATCTACCATTAGTCGGTTCAGTTCTCGCAGCGAGCGTGCGTTGTTGCTTTTTGCTTCGACTAACTGACGTTCTGGACGAGAACTACCGAGTCTTCAAGGAGAGATACTTGAGTCTTCCAATAGTCTCGAGAGCAGGCCGAATGGCTGTGCTGCACTTCCGCTCCGTGGGCCAAGGCACACCTATTCTAGTCATACACGGATGGACCATCGACTCTACCGCGGAATTGAGCGATCTTGAACCCATCTTCGTCCAAAGGCCTGGCTATCGACGACTTTACGTTGACTTGCCCGGGCATGGCTCGACACCGATCGATGGTGTAAAGAACCTCGATGAGATGCTCGACCGCGTCACTCGTTTCATCGAGCACGAGATCCTGCCAAAGAAGTTTCTGGTCGCTGGATCATCCTGCGGCGCTTATTTCGCCAGGGCTGTTGTATACCGCTTCCAAGAAGATGTCGTAGGCTTAATGCTTCGGGTACCTCATGTGGGACTGAAGGATTCGGAGAGAGACATCGATCCCGTCCAACTTGTCGTGGTCAACTCAGCTGCGCTTGACCAGGTCTACATCCCTCTGGCTTCCGGGGAAGATCTAAAAAGTACCTCAGTGCAGACAACCGACTATCTGACTGCTACCCTGGGCAGATACCAAAACCTCATCGCCCCTGCTATTGCAGCTGCGGACACCAAACCCTTGGCCAAGATACGAGACGATGCCACAAGCTATGTACTTACTTGCCCATTTCACACTCCACAGGTCCCGTTTGTGAAGCCTTCACTCATTGTCGCTGGAAGACAGGATGACGTGGTAGGTTATAGAGATGGTTGGAGTCTGCTACCTTCATACCCACGAGCGACACACATCGTGATGGATCGTGCTGGTCATGGTCTTCCTGTCGACGAGATTGAGGCGAGGCTGTTTCGGACACTGGTAGAAGATTGGCTGGATCGTGTCAAGGAGACGGATATGCATCATTGACCCTGACTGAATACTTGAGCCATTGAACAGGCCAATGCATGGCCGAACAAATACCGCAGTCTCGGTTCCGCTCAAACTAAATCTACTTCAGCACAAAGGGCTCACGTCGTGAAACAGAGAATTGAGGTGCAAGCAGTCTGAGCTTGTTGTGCTACCTCCTTGTTGGCCCTCCCTGAATGTCCATGGCCATAATCGTGGCTGGTCCTTGAGGCCATGATACTGTCCTTAGATGTTAGCTCGCCTACCAGTCCTCACACTACCGACCTCAATCATGCCGACGTAAATTGCCAGTAGTCGAAGTTATAGCCACTGCCGCTAAACACGAAGTACAGGTCTTGTGTGCCCTTAGCATTCGTGATCGAGCATGTCACATCCTTCCAAGTCTGCGATCCGCCGCTCGAGCTGACGCTGCAAGTCCCGGCCAATGTACCGCCCGTACTCCCCAGATGGATGGCAATAGATCCACTGCCTGTGCCTGCCACACGCACAGAAAGCGATTTGGCACCTGTAGTGCCGAATGCTACGCCCCTGACTTTGATATAGCTGCCCGACTGGATGCTGGTGACGTCCATGCCGCCCTCCCTACAGGTCTCAGTCCTAACGCTTTGAGACCATGCAGCAGTCTCGGCTTCCTGTCGAACATACGGGTTCAGCGTGCCTATCTGATTGACCCCTGCCGTGGTCATCTGTATGGTCGGGATCGTGCCATCGCTGTTGTACTTGAATTCCTCCACGCACGCCGAGCGTTGGTAGCCACTGCCACCCGGCAAGGCGCCGTTGTGGTAGAAGAAATAGGAATGCCCATTGAAGTCGATTATGGCTTCGTGGTTGGTGAAGCTTTTACCTTGAGTTGGCATGATCACCCCTTTGTATGTGAACGGGCCAGTGGGACTTTTGCCGGTCATGTAGCGAATGTTCTCGGAGCAGCAAGTTCCGGCGTAGGCGACGTAGTAGGTGCCGTTGCGCTTGTATACCCACGGTGCTTCTTGGAAGCCCGCACCACTTGGTAGAGATATCTTTGTGGGACCTTGACTGTAGGAGATCATATCTGTGTTGAGCTTGACATAGTAGAGATCTGGATTGCCGTAGTAGAGATATGCTTGGCCGTCGTCGTCGATGAAGACCGTGGGGTCGATCTCGGAATTGGAGACGAGTGGTTTGCCGAGAGCATCTTTGTATGGTCCAGTGATGCTGCTGCTGACGGCAACACCAATGGCATCCGCTCCGGAGCTGGCAGTGACTGGTACGTAAAAGTAGAATTTGCCGTTCCTCGGGATGATCTGTGGCGCCCAGGCATTGGCTTTAGCCCAAGAGAAGTCTTTAAGACTCAGGATCGTCCCATGATCTTGCCAGTTGGCCATGTCAGCAGTGGAGAAGAGATGCCAGTCGGTCATGTCGTAGTACGTGGCTCCATTGTTGTCGTGGTCTAGGAAGGCATAGACACGCCCATTGTAGACGACTGGAGCTGGGTCAGCAGTGAAGATGGTCTGTACGAAGGGATTATCTGCAAGTGCCAGCACACCAAACGTGGCGGCGATGGTGAGTAGTGACGACAACATTGCGAGACGGTGGAGGTTGGTCTGAGGAGATGGTGAGTATGTGGGAGCGATACATCATGATATACCGTACCGCCGCATCGCAGTGCCACATTCTTGTTCTACCGTATCGTAGACTCGAAAGTACTCTGAAAGCGATGTGTTGGCCTGAAACACACGCATGTTTTGCCACCAATCCTTTGGCGTTTCTGTGACAGGCACTATACTAAACTACATACCGGCCGGTGTAGCTCATCGCGTGGAAGGTGTGGTTTCTCACTTGGGAATGGCTTGACGGCTATCCATCGTGACAGTGGTCATGCGATGACAATAATCGGAACCACTTCCTACAACGAACAGTACTCGGCCATGTGTCGCGAAGCGGAGGATGTCAACTTTTAGCCGAAGGGTTTTGTTAGCCTGTTGACATGGGCTTGCTCCCCACTGGAGCACAAAGTCGATCTGGAGATGTCTCATGCACGTGTATTGCACCAATCTAATGTAGATCCATTGATTCGTGCAGCCACGGGATAGCAAGACCTCCAGGGAATCGGAGGTGAGCGAAGCACTAGACATTGCAAAGCTGCTTTTGGCGACGTTTTGGCGTTGCATGATTCACATCGGGATGCCAGAAACGTCGATTTCGTCAGGGAAGTATGCAAAGTGGCAAATAGCTTGAGCAGCTAGGAGGACACAAGCGTCTTGAGTACGTATGGCTACAAATGAGATCGAATCAAAGGTCATGCGCCAGGATCGGCGTCAACACTTTTTGAGTAGCCCGCAGATATGGTACAGCAGGCGTGGGCGGACACGCAGAACACGTTGCAAGGTCGTCGCCTAAAGTACTTCGATGGGGTCCCATGAGGTAATCCAGCGGCGTGGACAAGCTTTGGCGAAGCTGCTGGGCTTATGACTGGGACCGCTCCCTAACAGCTCGCTATCCTAGGCAACACCACGTTAAATCACAGAGGTGTATGCACTGGCGGGCGCGGGCGGTGTCAAAGGAGGACGAGGGCAAATCAGCAACGCAAGAGCCGGACTTCATGACCATAGGGTACTCTACGGATCGGCATCGGCCGGAGTATCGAAGGGCCTGTCCTTACGTGTAGTGCAGAACGACTGAGTTTCACTTCAAAGCATGACACTACCATCGCCCTTACTGATTGCGCACATCAGAAGGACAAATGTTGTCAAGAAGCGGGCACACCACCTTCAGCCGAATAGATGCATTGTTGGACATACAGATTGATATGTATAGATCCATCCACAAGCTTACCTCAGACGGAAAGCTACATTAGCCCTGCTGCTTCAATAATTTGCAGGATCGACCACTCCATCGCATCCTACTACTCCATCGCGTCCTGCTACTCCATCGCTTCCTGCTACTCCATCACGTCCTTTTACTCAATCGCAATCCTACCACTCGATCGCACACAGGAGGAGTCTAGGACGGTGGACTACCAGAAGGCATACTGCCACTAGTCGTTCCGTTGGCAGATGGACCTCCGCCGTCACCACCTGAGCCGCCATTCATACTGGAATCCGTATTCGCTACTTCGCCATCCGCATAGATTGTTGCAGCAGATGTGACCTCATCATCCGTGGTTGGATCGATACCAATACTGATCCAGGCCATGATACCATCAGAAGGGCTGTCACCAAGCCAGACGTACTCCACGAAAGGGTCCATATTTGCAGCCTCGGAACTCAGGATAGAGTCATCTGCGTTCGTGGTCAGGTCTTGAGTGTTGGTGTTGTATGGTGCCGTTGCTTTGACTTGGGAGATGAGATCCTGATCGAAGAATATCTGGCCTACATGCGAGGCGGAGGTGGTAGAGTTGCTGCCAAGCAATGTACCGTTCGTGCGAATGATTGTGCTGTTGGTGTTGTGACTCAAGACGTGAATGTGGGGCGCGCGGCCCGTGTAATGGCCCGGGAAGATGGTCTCGAATTGGGCCACGCCATTGATGTCGGTCTGTTGGTTTCCGCGAAGGAAGGTGGCGGAGATGTTCGAGGTGTCGTTGCTGTTGCCGTTGCTGCTTGCGGATACGCCGCTGTAGACGCCTGTTGCGTTGCCTGGCAAAGTGGTCAGTATTGAGATATTTCATGACATGCTCTGGCCGACGTACAATGCCAGAAGTCCATGAACACTGCCGGTACGGGCTCGCAGGTTGCAGTGTCCACCAGCTGGATGTCAAGGTAGAGCGGGACACCATCTTCATCTTCTGTCAGATCGCTACGAATCAACTCGCCATCAACGTAGTACGGTCCTTGGGTCACCTCTGGCTGCAGAACGCAAGAAGAATTGTCGCTGAACAGAGCTGTCTCGTCGCTTTCGAGTGTGACGTCCGAGCCAGACTGATGCGTGAAGTTGTATGCTGCAAAACCGCGGCGAAACAAAGCGTTACTGTCGAGGTTGCGCTTGGTGCGAGCATGACGAGCTAGCTGCAGGCGCCGAGTGAGTGCATCGGTGAGATGACCGCGACGCTTGAGCTGGGGAGCGCAGGAGCGGACACTGTTCGGCTCTCTCTTCATAGATTCACGGTGCTCCAGAGCTTCCTCGGCGACGTTGTGGCCTGGATGGGCGAGGACGCTAGAGAGCAAGAAGGCGGAGCTCAAAAGGGTGGAGAGGATGGCATGTTCGTGGTGAATGCTGGAAGTACTGTTTTGAGTGTGCTTGTGGTTTACAAGTGTGCAAGTTTGGTGATAATGACAGCTAGGGGCGTATCGAGCAGGTCATATGTACTTTGCCCTTCACCGCCGTGGGTGGCAGCGTCCCTATATTGCCGACAGGGGGACCGACTGCCCTTGCGGAGGCGGAAAGACGCACGAGAGGCGTCCGTCTCAACATCACTGGACGCGTACGCAATTGGACAACTGCGGTGTATGATCGCGCATGACTCGAGAGCTGAGACTGCTGTGCGTGCTTCAACGCGTGGGTATAAGCGATGCGAAGCCATGTTGCCAAGGTAGGCCTGCACCGTTGACGACGCAATGCCAAGTATGCGATACAGGCTTGATTAATCGTGACACAGCGCCAAGTTGAAGACATCCGGCGGAGGGTGCCAGTGGTGTACGTGTATACCAGGCTTACGAGCGTGTTATCGCGTACACAGCGGCCTCTGTTCGGCGATTTTACGACGCAATGGATTGTGTCCAGATTGCTGACGACGACGTTTCCACTCCGCCTCAAAATATCCGGTGGGCACTACTATCAGGCTCAAGAGTGCGTGCGTTGATCCTGCCAAAGCCACGACGTCGATATAGTGCCCCTTGGAATCGCATCTCGCTTGAGTGAGTACCGGTATAAGGCTGCTAGGCATAAGCTGCGGCCCATGTACAACGTTTCAAAAGCCAAAGATCAAGGTAGGAAGTAACCAAGGACATCTCTCTGTTGTGATAGATCCACTGCCAGACTGATTACGTCGGCCGATGTACATTAGCGTCTCCGTCTGTCCTGGGAGCATTCCACAACTCCGTTCGTAGCGATTCCTTGCCCGGGTGTGCTTTCCTGGCGATCCTGACCACGTAAAGAAATGGTTTCGGAATTGCTGTCGGTGCCGACGTTGGTGCTGCACGGGACGGGAAGATCTCTATTTGGCGTAGTTCTCCGCTAGAAACTAGCTGAGCAGAAAGCATAAAAACAGATGGCCGTGAAGTGCGATTTATCTCAGTCTTATTCTTGGGACTATGGTACCCTCACGGACCGGGAAAAAGATTCAACAATCTCACCACTCTCCTTGTACAGCCTGAGGTTAGATGGTCGCTGTGTGTGGCCTAGCCGATGTTGCGCACTTGTGCCCGACGTAGACATGATCGTCCACTTTACCTCACCAAGTTCCAAACCTACGAGGCAGGAGACTGGACAAACTAGCGCCGCGATGAGTGGTCATCAGTCAATTCAGACTGGCCGAGGTTCAGTCCATGTGAGATGCATTACACGCATCATCTTGAGAGCAGCTTACAAAGGCAAATTGTAGAATCCTTACAAAGAGCACCCTTCATTATCCTTGCCCAAACCGCCTAATCAACCGCCGAAGACTGGGGCACGATGTTATATCCATTGACTGGTATAATCTCAGCCCTCCTGCTAACCCCAAGTCATGTTGTCGCGCATCCAGCAGCCGAGGAGGGCCAAGCCAATAGCTTCACCTTCTACAACATGCCTACCACAGCCGCTGGACCATGCGACCTGGTTGAAGGTCCAGACGGTGCGCTCTGGGGCGAGGATATCCTCGTCAATATCATTTTCCGCATCGATCCGAAGACCGGCGTAGTCCAGGAATATCCCATCCCGTTCACTACACCTGTGAGTAATGTCACGATCCCAGGAGTCTCGCAATCCATCCAAGATCGCACCGCATTCTCCTGCGCCATCCGTACTGGCAATGATGGCAAGTTGTACGCTAGTAATGGTCTTCGGAATCAGCTTGTCCAGATCAACCCGAGTACCAAGAAGATCAAGATTCTTCAGCCGCCAGTCAACCCCGCCGGCGACCTACAACCGTTCAACGACATCACACCTGCTAAGGATGGAATGTACTTCACGCAGACGACTGGCAACGTGTTCACGTTCTATGACTTTGCAACCGGAGGCTTCACGAACTACAAGATTCCGACACCGCTTGCGCTTCCGCTCGGGTTGAAAGTGGCGTCTAACGGCAACTTGTACATTGCTCTCCTCCTCGCGAACAAGATTCTGGAGTTCAACCCTAATACTAAAGCCATTGTTGAGTATGACCTTCCTCTACCTGGTCAATTACCAACTGTTGTCCGTGCGGAGAAAAACGGGTTCATCTACTTCGCCATGTTCACTGGCGACGGCATTGGTCGCATCAATCTCATCACGAAGAAGATCGAGCTCTTCACCAGCAGTCAACTTGGAGGCCTCGGTGCGGAGAATACGATCGACAGCAGAGGAGGCGTATGGCTTAGCTACTTCACCGTAGATGTGCTGGCGCGGCTCGATACCTCGACTCTAAAGTACACATACGTACCTTACACACCCGCAGCAGCGCTTTTGAACGGTGTGCTGGGCGATATTCCACCTTTTGTCGATGTTGCTGTCAATTATGGGCCTGGGGATGCAATTTGGTTCACTAGCATCGGGTATGTGACGCAATACTCGTGCCCTCTGATTCAAGTCGCTTACACTTTGTAGGACAAATCAAGTCGGACGATACAAACTATCCTAAACCAAGGAGACGTAGTGCTTGCGCAAGGTAGTCGCCACGGTTCCGGACAGCTAGCCATTGTAGCTTTGTGTATCAATAATGTCGTATTGATTCCTTATTTGTTACAGTACAGTACATACAAGCAGGATATGGTTGCAAAAATGCTTGCGTACCTGAACGCTGTCTACATTGTTATAAAAATGCTATGATCGTGTTTGTTATCCAAAACAGCCGAGATCGCCTTGGCCGCAGGAAGCTGGGAACGAGAGTAGAGCGTGGATCTTTGGGTCCGGGATTGTAAGTAAGTAGTAAACGATAGCTAAGCACGAGGAGCTGGTGCGAACGTTCAGCCACCACTGATCCAGTCGTCGCAGTAGGGCGAACCAGTACGAAAGCAGTAGCAACGCCTTTGCATCGTGCCTCCGAAGAAGTGGGGCGAGCAGGCTGAAGTTTCGACCGCCGAAAGCAATGAGCTTAGTGAAATGCTCGACACCTGGCTCCAGGCGTAGCAAAGGAGCTAGTGATCGGACTACGCTGTGGTAATCGTTGTTCGCCGACGTGGACTGCTCTGTTAGTTCGCAGAGGTCTACTAGTGCTGGTGGCAGTCCCTCAATGCCAGATGCCTGATCGGTATAGGATTGGGAGCGATCGTTGCCCTTTCGAAGCACTGGCATCCATGCCACAGACTGATCGACTCGAAATGTTTGGCCCAAGGCAGCTACTCCTGAACCAGCAGCTAGTGGGCTTAAGGCGTGGGCGACTGCTTCGTCGTAGTCTGTTACAAAAGCATCCAAGGGTACCTGTTCTTCCAGGGGAAACGCAAAGATGACGGAAAGAAAAGTTGTGCCGATGAGTGCATCCACGTCGTGCTTTGATCCGGACCTAGCAGTCGCGAGTGCGGCTCGATACAGCGAGAGACCATCCCGCCAGTGCTCGGCCTCCGCCATGTCGTAAGCACGGCTCTGTTGCGGGCTCTGTGGTGTCGACCTGAGGCGACTAAGATGCGCAGACGAGACGGCCAGCAGCATGTGCATAAGGTAAGATTCACTCCATCCCGAGTGCGCGACGTAACTACTCATGACTCTTTGTACTGTCGAGTCGCCTAGAGTGACTGAGGTTACTGTTTGAAAGTGCTGCAGCAGACGTACTGTACTGATTGATGCCGGGGAAGAGCTTGCTCTCATTGGTGTGTGAAGTCGGAACAGGTCGTTGAAATCGCTGACGACACAATTCACCGCCATGGTATGTGTCGCAGTGCTCAGACTGCCCGACTGGTTCGCTTCAGCCGCTTCTGGGACCTGCATTTGCCCAGTGCAGGAAAGCATTGCGGACTCAGGCTTGTAATTGCAGAGTACGCCGAGTTGCGAGCACCTGACACAGCATGGCTTCTCTTCGCCACACTGAGTACATCAGCCGAAGACCATACTGTAGCAGAGAAACCTCTTCGACTAGGAAAGGACTTCTGCTTCCTACCTTGACCCTACGTTTCTTGCATACTGCACAACCACTCCGGGATTTCTTATTCGATCTCCGGGGTAGGTGAGTATCTGGTCTCGCACGAAAGATCGTTATCTCGAAGAGGCGCATCTCAATTATCTCACTGGCTGAGGCCTGTATCTCCGATTGCAAGGGCTGATGCTGCCTTTCGAAGCAGGATAGGTTTAGTGACCGCAGACGCTTAGTGAAACCAGCTCAGAACAGTACCTGTGTACATCTTTTAGTCTATATTGCCAGTGCGATGGTGAGCTGTGCTGGAGCTGAATCTCTCTATGCCCGCATCATCGAGGGACTGCCCGATGTCTGCGGAATGGCCAGTGGCCAGATCTCGGAAACGCCATCATGGATCTAGCGACCATTACATTCATGACTCGCCATACGATGAACCAGATTAAGACTAGCGTGCCAAGCCCCCCCGAGCCTTCGACATCTCTCGTCATCAAAGAGACCATCTCGCAATATACCACCGAAACCCGATGATGGTCGTATTCGTCTCCCCATTGCTCTCCGACCGAGTTCCGTGGCGAAGACGCTTCGCTTGTCCAACGCACGCCGCCTCCGCAGCCGCAAGCAAGCCGTCAGGGCCTGACACATACACCCAGGCATCAATGTGTGGACCAGCGCGCGTGGCCAGAAACTCGCTTAGCTCGTTGCCTGGCTGCAGTCGACCTTGATGACCGGAAACGTGTATGGCAATTTCCATGTTCCGAAACACCGCCATGGTGATTCGTAAATCCTGTATTTCTCGAAGATGCACTTCGTCCTCAGTGCGGACCGACCATAGGAGGCGGAGCGATCTCGATTGGTCGGTTCTAGATCCGTAGTTATCTGCCCACCAATTCGCAATGCTTATAGCTCCGGTAATCCCCGTACCACCGACTATCAGGAGAAGATGATTCGAGCGACGCAACTCCGGGACTGCAGGCGAGTAGGGACCTTCGATACGGACCTGCCAGCGTAGTTAGCCTCGATTCCTTCCACACCCTATCTTCCGCTGCATGCCTACCTCTATCGATGATGGGACTTCAGGGATGTCCCCAGCAGCAGCAGCTAGTGCCCAGGTGAATTCCTTCTGCGTGCGCCGGGCTTTCTTCCTCTCCGGCCCTCTCCGGAACAACAACACTGGCCCAGTCTCCGCAGATCCAGCGCTTGCTGCTGTGAATGGATGGATCTGGAGCTTACTGACCCGTGGGAAGTTGATGTAGTAAGTTGAGAGCACCGAAATCTCGAATGCTGGCGACATGATGCTTGTACCCTTCTCACCGCTACTGGCTGTCTCAAGTCGCTTGGGAGGTAGCGTGACTCTGGTCCAGCCATTGCCAGCATTCTCCACGACGGCTTCTACTTTGTTGGTGAGCGAGTTCCGAAGTCGCCAAACCCAATCCGCGACCCAGAGCAAAAGACCAGGTAGTAAGAAGTAGAAGTTCGTACTAGCGTGCAAACAAGCGAACACCAAGATGATGACGACCAGTATGATGTGCACAAAATAGAAGGTGTTGAAGCTTTTCCGGCGAAGGATCGGCAAAGACGTAATTGTAACGGCCACGAGCAGTACAAACGCAAAAACGCCGGTCGGGAGCACTAGATACGATATAGGTCCCTGAGCTGCTGCTTCGGTGACCGAGACTGTAGGGTTATCGACCACAAATTCGTTCTGCACGGTCGCAGATGCCGAGACAAGCGAAGCAACGAAAACCTATCGTGAACTTAGCTCGCTTGCGGCCTACTGAGGCGAATCGCATGAACTCACATAGTAAGTGATCCCGTGTACTAGTGTGCCCAGGAACAGTCCATAAGCGAGGACCTTGTGGGCATAGAGCAGAGTCGACGTGTGCAACGAGAAAGCCTTACCAATGATGCTGTTTCTGCCGACCGGAATCATAACCAAGCCAATCCAGATGTCACACCAGTGGCCGGTGACTCCAGTCCATGCGACAAGGCTCAAGACTTTTGGCGTCCAGCTTACGAATGCACCTCGGTGGTACCACCAGTCACGCTCAGCCGGTAGCCAGTATGCGCAAGATGCGAATGTCGTAGCCAATATCCACAGCATCAAAAGCAGGCCACCGATGCTGACTCGCTTGCCTGTGACTGGAATCACTCCATCCCAGATATACGTATCCATGAAGCGACGCACTAGTGATAGGTACGTCTTCGCAGCCATACAAAGACCGATGCTGGTGAGCAAAGCATAGTAGACGCCAATGTGTATGCGCGTCTGAAGTGGGTTCAGCTGCTCAACACACAGACTGCTGTGACAGGGCGCGAAGGTGATGCCAATGGTAAAAGCTGCGCACACAATCAACAGAGTCGCAATCAGACAAAGGTAAAGTACTTGTTGGCCTTTCGAGCCCACGAGAGAAGCCATCTGAAGGGATGCGTAAGTCGGAAAGATTGCGGTTCGAACAGCGAAGAATGATACTGGCGCATACGACCTTTTGGAGAAAACTAGGAAAATGGTAGTCCTTTATGTCTTAACCAGCTGTTGCAGCCTTGGCCAAGAAGGTTACGACTGCCCGCATGCGGTATCTCGTGTGAGTAAGATGTCACAACCATAGCGATAATAGCACTAACACGGATCATTTGTCGTGAAGTCATTACAGAGGAAGTGGATCGCGCTCGACTTATACAATGTCGATGCGCAGGGTTTGGGCTTGGGCGTATACGACTTGCCTGTTGTAGTTAGTTGTCGTCGAAAAGCTTAGCTCTTGTTTCGCGATCCGTACGCTGAAATACGTTAAGACAGCTAATATTTATAAGGCCTACAAAAGAACAGTATAAGATCTATATTATTTAGGGTTAGTATATAGAATATTATAGTTTATAGAAAAGTATTACTATTTAAAGTTCTAAGATTAAAGCTTATTAATTTCTATCTAACAACTAGTTTAAAAAGTAAATAATAATCTTCTATTAGTATAGTTATTATAGACATTAGATCTATAATAGGTAAACTATTATATACCTACGGTATAAGGGGGTTAGAGCTTATTAGACGAGTAAGTTCTAAGCGATAGGTCGGGTAAGTAACTACTCTAAGGTTTAAGCTTTCGGCGGGTTAGTAACTATTATATACCTATAGTATAAGGGGTTAGAGCTCGTTAGACGAGTAAGTTCTAAGCGATAGGTTAGCTAAGTAACTACTCTAAGGTTTAACCTTTTAGTAGGTTAGTAACTTAGGTTAAATATAAACTACCTATATAAGAAACGTTTATTCTATATATATAGGAGATTCGTATATAGTTATAATTACTAATAGTAATTATAACCTAATTATAGTTACCTATAGTAATTATAATCTAGATTACTTAATTGCCTAATAATAAAGTAATTCTATATCTAGCCCTAGAGTTAGTCTATTAGCCTTAGGCCTTAGTCCCTAACTTGTTACTAATAATTAAATTCTATATAGGTAATATTACCCCCTATCTATAGTCCTATATCCTTATAGTAGCCTATCCTAACGGATTGTTATTACGCTAGCGCGTAGTAATCGGTCTAATATAGCTTAGCGCGCTTTCTAGCTTAGCGCGCTTTCTAGCTTAGTCTATAAGTAACTATAGGGTCCCGTAACCTTAAAGTCCGTTATTTAAAGATTAGTTCCCCTATAACTAAGAATTAACTTCGCCTTACTTAAGAAATATAATAGTATAGGAAGTCTACCGTAATCCCTTACGAGCGCTATCTCTTCTTTAGTTACTACTACGTTATAATAGAATCGAACTCCCGCCTAAGATATTCTAAGTATATCTTTAGTTCCTATATATTATCTTCGCTAGAGTATTCTTTTTATCTAACTAAGTATTTCTAACCTCTTTTCTCTAGGATTTCTTCTACTTTCTATTCCTAACTAATATAAGGCCTAGGAGGCAACTAAATATTAATAGGATCCTCCCTAAATCCGGTAAGGCGCGAAGCTACATAGTCTAGATTTTAGTAGAATCCTATTTAGTAGGATCCGTACTTCTAGAACTACCTATAGGCGCCGTTCTATACGCTAAAATAGGATATATTGTTATAAGGGGTTGCTAATAGGGGAGGAAGGTAACTAGGCGTAGACGGTTAAGGCGTAGACAGAAGCGTAACTAATTAGTAGTAGGTAAAACCTATCGCTAACTCCTATACTTAAGGTTAAGCACGAAGCTCCTAACTACTAACACCTTCGTGCTTACATATATCTACTAGGTCGCGCCTCGCGCGCCCGGTACGACCTCTCGCGTAGAGCGTCCCGATCGCACCTTATAAGTATACGCTTATAGGAGCGCCCGTTGTAAGCGTTCCGGTAGTTACGTGCTATTAGTCCCCCGCGAGGGTCTTAACACTATCCCCTATCTAGCGTAGCGTCGTCTCGACGCTTAAGACTTAATTTCCTAGATTTATACGACGTACTTCCTTTATCTAACTATGTCCTTAGGGCGTAATGCCTCCTAGGAATATAACGACATTAGAACGCATCGGTAACCTATCGAAAACTATTACTCGTCGCTTTCGCGAAATACTAACGCCCTATAGTCGCTATAAGTCCCTAGGACTAGATTGTCGCGTAGAGGTTTCCTCGGGTCGCTACTCTACCTACGCTACCTAGTACAAGACCTACGACCTAAGAGTTACTTTCTAGGAATTTTAGAAGCTCGCTAGCGTTCGTAAAAAACTAGAATCCGAGATAGACGACGCCGAGAAGGAGCTTAAGCTAGCGGAAGACCGAGCCTAAAGAGCTTGTACAAAGGTAAGGCGTATCCGTAAGGTTCTACGTCGTACGGAGATAAAGGAATCTAAGAAGATCGAGTAGGAGATAAATTCCCTAGCTAAAGTAGAGTAGCTAGAAGCTAGTCCTCTCGCCGCATCCTCCCTTAGTCTTCCGGATTAATCCGTACCTAAGAACCCGCTGCCCGAGTTCCCCTTAGACGCGTAGGCGGGGGTCGACCCTCTCCTCGACTTTTCGTCTTATAGGCTCCTCCTTAGCGACCCTATTAATATATTAGTATCGGTTGCTCCGAGTTAAAATACTCTAGCGGCTCCTAGGTAGCCTCGGTATAGCTATACCCTTTCTATTTAACTAAGTACCTTTACTAACCGTTTATCTAGGTATTATCGAGGATCCTATTAACGGTATATACTAGTTCTTCGACCTCGGGGTCGAGTAGTAATAGTTCTATTTATAGCGCGGCGTCCGGCGCTACTAGTTTAAGTAGCGAGACATAGAACACCGGGTGTATCCTTATCTACTTTAGTAGCTATAAGGCAAAGTTAATAGGTCCCTTCTTAGCCTTAATCCTAAACGGACTAAGCTTAACCGTATCTAATTTCTTACTTAGCTTATCTAACTTAATATTTCGGCGGAGGAGATATACCTTGTCCCCCTCTTTAAG